GGTACATTCTACTGAACCCGGAGATCAAGGGGCAGCGTTGTGCCTGTGTTGGCTTCACTATCAACCGGACTCTCCCAGGCGTCACCTGCGACTGTGGTCACCTCTCGTGTTACCACATCCAGTCTGCCGAACCGCCCCAAAATAAAAATGAAGTTGACATACTTCGCCGGCGTATCAAATTACTCGAGGACCAGCTTGACCGAGAGAACGATGAAGGGCTTGGCGGTGCGTTAGGTAGCGTGGTTCGGCGCCTAGGGGACTTGGAGGAACAGGTCGAGAAGAATAGAGATGAGACCAGTCAAGAGATGAAAGGCTGCTATAAAAACGTTGACCGTATGTGGCAGTCAGTCACCCAGCTTGAAAGGCGGCAAACAGGATACGAAGATCGTCTCCTTATGTTTGACGAACGGTTGGACGGCCATGATGATACTCTACATGGCTTAGGCGACAGGCTGATGGAGTTTGATGAAGCATCCATGATTCTTGAAGACCGCGTATATGCATTAGAGGAACAGGACTGCCAACGAATTCCATTCCGTAGGCGTCGACGAAGATCTACATCAGGCTCGGAAGACTCGGTGAATTTCAAAGTAGCACGCCGGTCCCGCCCATTGGATAACCGTGACCCAGCACGATCCACCTCAACTTCGGTCTCGGGCTCTCGCCGCGGATCTGCCGATAGCCCAGTAGAGGTGACAGGATCCTGGACCGTGCACATATCGCTTCTCCCGACAGCCTCACAGCCATTTCCTTTCGAGAAGGACACAAATGCGTACAAGCGGTGTCTATCTCGTGGGCTTCACCAAATGATCGCAGTCGGAGGGACAGATGGCGAGTCCTTCGCTAAAGCCGTGTCCAAGGCGTTTGGAAGACTCCTCCGAGGTAGAGAGTGGGTTCCGCTGCAGGCCCGGCTCTGTGACGCCGCAACATTGCAGGGACTTCCGATGCTCAAGCCCCTAGACCCAGATTTAATCGGCGGGAGCTATGATCTCGATTTTCTACGCAAATATTGCGCCGTTTGCTTGCCAAATGGTAAGGTGGAATCCATGTATATTGCAATGCAGTCAGATACCTTCTCGTGGCATTTCCTGAGGCGATCGCCGTGCTATTTAGATGGTCTTGAGGAATGCTGGGCCTACGATCCGCTACTTGACCCGAACGACAACTTCGAGGATTTCAACGGCGAGGTGGAAGATGGAAGGTCGGCAGGGGAGATTGTACCGCCTCTACCCTCTTTAAAAAGGACAGCATCAGAGATGTCTCGGACACCGAGTATGGGTTCAATGTCGGCAAATGAAGTAAACGACAGTTCGCGGCAAAAATTACCACGAACATGCATGCAAACACCTATGGAAGTTCGTAGACAGGGAGTGGAGACGGTTTAGACTTGAGGGTTGGATATACCATATAGAAGCACGACGAAGTGCATATAGACATGGGAGGGCGTTTCTCTTTTTCCCTTTTCCCTAGGAGACGGGGCGCAAACAGACGACAGGAAAGGAATACTAATGGATTCCTACAAGTTTAATTATTCTCACTCCTTTCGCCCCTATTCACCTATTCGCCTACAAACAACTGAAGGGGGCCTATGTGCTCTAGGCTGATGGATATTCCCTATCATTTTAATCGGACAGTTTGTATATCCACAAGACGGATATGAAAGAGGATGGTGATGATGACGACGATGAATTTTCTTGAAAGAGAGAGGACGTGATGGTCTAGTAGAAAGTTTTAAGCAGCAGCAGCAAATTGGGAGTCTTGACTATCTACAAATTTTTAAACAGTAAGTGTAAGACAGAGGTACGAATTATACAACCGGGCAGAGCGGAATGTCAACAAGCAGCGGTCAAGATTGTCGATGGGAAGGGGAAAGAAGAAATAGAAAGAAAAAGTCCAGTGGCTCAACCGGTATTGGGCCGAGCCACATGAAACCGGACAGCCTGCTTAGGTAGTCTTACACTGTCTTACATTGGCTTACATATACAGTGTTAGTCAACACGTTATATGCACATATATGCAGTCAATAATTTGGAGCGTATCCAAACGAAGGACCTTGGGTAAGCGAGCCTTGGAGATTCATTTGGAGTTGAAGAGGAAAGGGAGAGGAGGTAATACTCATCATTCGTTATATTATTAAATTTCAGTTTCTCCAACTTATAACTATACTTCATATATCTGAAATGTTACGTGTAGGCGGCGATCCAGCTAAACACATAGTCAGGTACTATGTATAAACCGCATGTTTCTAATGTGCCTAGCCTTTGTTGCAGATGAGACACGTGAGAAGAGCAGACAAGAAGACAAAGAGCAGATAGGTACAAAGGTACCAGGGGTAATAGAGAAAACACCCACCTGAATGGTGGGGGTTAGTCAGCTAAGGCACCCTAGGCTTTCTGCAATGTCTAAAATGACTAAGGTACCTAAATACCTACCAAGCTACCACCTCCTTCAAAGCTTCAACTTCATACATGTAGGTCACGAATTACATTGGATACATTAGGTACTTGAACAGACCAAATAGAGCGAAGGCAGCGCAGATATATTCCCCTTTGCATATGCTGCGCATCTACATACCTTCTTCTTATCTCCCTCCACTCATCATAATTACTTCATTCAATGATTCGGAGCTTCAGTCTACAATATTCACCTAATTGCATGCAATATCCATTATCCATTAGTCACCATCGCATCACACCAATATATACGCACCGAGTAATATCAAAAATATAGCTTGAAGTTCCTGGGTGTTTCCTCGGGTTGCTTTGATCACTCCTTCTTCTCGGCGCGCCTTACACCTTTGGATTCAACGATTCAACGATTCAACGATTCCACTCGATCAGTTTCCTTACAACTCCGCCCCTGCCATCAAAAACGCGCCTTGGCAGGTAGATATTAGACACGATGGACACTATGGATCTCGACATGGAGATGGATGTGGATGTTGACCTCGTGCCTGACGAGCCTATAATTCCCGAACCAGAATATCAAGACGCGCCTGTAAGCTAAATTACCGTAACCTACGTTAGGCGAGACAAGATAAGATGCTAACAAATGTCTTTCTAGGGCGATCGCTCACCCGGAGAAATAGTAGACGACGATACTCCTATACCTGTCAAAGTCTATATCAGAGGTCTCGATGTCATGAATTCCGAAGAGGTTAAGACTTATGTCGCCGAACACTTTCCAGAGGAACCAGTGGAGAGGATAGAGTGGATAGACGATTCCTCAGCCAACTTGTTATTTGGTTCCGAATCGGCCGCGTCCAGCGCGCTCAGCTCCTTAGCAGCTCAAGACATATACGACGTTTCTCAACTTCCCTTGCGGCAACTTTTATCCGCCAAGCCTTTCTCAAAGAGGCCAGAGGTTATGTTACAAGTCCGGTTAGCTGTCGCATCCGATAAGAAGCAAGTCGGCGCTGCTTCGAGGAGCCGCTTCTATCTCCTAAACCCCGAATATGACCCAGAAGAACGGCGGCGGCGCAACGAGGCCCGGAGGTATCGTGACCGGGATGGTGATGGGTATAACCGTAGGCGAACAAGGGAAGCCCGAAACCGGGAGGATGAGGAGCAATTTGATGTCAACCTATACGACGACGATGAAGCCGCCTTATCTCGTCGCGCGTCGTACTCGCGACCTCAGCGCAGGCGGTCATATACACCAAATACGAGCGAAGAGGGATATGGAAGGGATTCGTATCGTCCTGACAATCGCGGCAAAGAGCTATTTCCTAGTGGTTCAAACGGCCAGAACGAGTCGAAGCGGAGGCGGTCAGCTTCACCCCGTGGTCGAGATAGCGACCAGGCAATGGACGAAATTGCGAGTGACGGGTTAGCAGCTCGAAATCGTGACAAAGCACGTGCACTCAAGAGCCGCATGTCGCGTAGCAATAGAGCTAGGGAGCTTTTCCCGGACAAGTCAGGGGAGGGATCCGGGCGGCTCGGGGATGAAATAGAAGATACGACTACTTTACTAGCCAAGGGGATCATGCTACCTCTGATGGACGAGAGAAACGATACGCGAGCAGCGTCAGGGCGTAGGCTCGAGGATAGGATTACCGTTCTGGGGAAGAGTAAGTTGGCAGACAGGATTACGACTGTAGAGGAGGTTAGGGACTCTGGCTTCAATATTCGTGGGACAGCAAGCCAGAGGAGCGCCAACCAAGGGTTTGCAATTAAGGGCAGTGCGGGCAAGTCAGCGAAAGAACTATTCCCCGAAAAACTAGGGGCGAATTCCGGAAAGGAGCTCTTCGCTGATAGACTTGAAGGAAGATCAAGACAGCGGCAGAGAGCGGGAGACTTATTTGACTGATAGACGCACGTATGCGACATGGATTCTGAGGTGGGCACTGCGACGACAGGCGTATATGAGAAAAGCGTTGACTTTGTAACATGGCTAGGTAGGTACCTTAGGTAGTTATATAGTATCGTTCGGCGAATGCATTAAGAGGATAAGGATAGTAGTCTGATATTTTGGAATCCGCGTATATTGCCTCCTTTAACGTACGTATGCGTGCATAGAGCGTAGAACGTGGAGCATGGAGCATGGAGCATAGGTACATACCTCAGATACCTTAGATACATAGATACACAGATACACGTATATGAGGTATGCACTTGCCCTTCAGGCGCGTCATAGGAGGTACATATGGACATGTATGATGGGAAGTCACGTAACTGCCAGGAATAGTTGATTGTTACAGTCAACTGTGACTTCCGCCAATTGAAGAATTGAATAATGGAAGGAACAAATCTAGCGACCAAACAACAGTCAAAGGTTCGTCCCCTTTACAATCAATTCACTTCATCCCTTTTGCATCGTTTCCCGAGCACTCACATGTTGTTCACATGTTGTTCTTTTATCTATTCCGGTTTCCCCAAGAGCTACACCTAACTCTTCGTGCCATAACACATAATTCAAGTCAGTGCCCGTTAGTCAATCCTTAGGTATATTTTACCTTTTGTATTTCGTATTGGACCTAGAGACACGTCTGCGTCTGCAACATGACCGACTTCAGCTGGCTTCGGCTCGGGCAGCGTTCTCGTACTCCTAGCATCCCCCGAACGCCGACGTCCCCTGAACGCGCGCCCAGACGGGCCGCCAGCAACTTGAGTCTAGCCAGCCAGTCTTCGCACGAGCCATTGACCGGTAGCAGTGGTGCTAGTTTATTTATCCGCGAACAGGATAAGATATGGTATAATCCCTCGCTAGACCAGATGGTCGAGGCGCTCCAGGTCGTTCTTATGACCCAGGGCGCACTACGACCCATCCCTATCGAGTACAACTCGTACATCCTGCACCTAATCGAAGGATTCGCCAACGCCCAGGAGAGAATTCAGACCATTGATGCTGCTTATACCGAAGCTAGGCACTCGCTTGAGTATCACCTGGAGCACTTCAAGTCTGTAGCCGACGAATGGCTGGAACGCGAGAGTCAGTATAAAGCCGAGATCAAACGGCTCGAAGTACTATTGTCGAGAACATCCAGCGATGGTCTAGAAGCAGTAACGCTAGCAAGGACGAACAGTGTTGTTGATAGGAATGGTCCTCAGGCTAAGCAGTTCGCCTCCAAATTGAAGCGCCTCAGCACGCAAACCATGCAAGGTAAGTACATCTGCTATCCACCTAGTACCTCTCTGCTCGACAGGAGTATCTTACGTATACATCTGTAGATGCGTCTCTTGGCGTACCTAGAGACGTGAACAGATACGGAACCAAGCCAGTACCCAAAGTACTCGACAGTAACAGCGACTTCCTCATGAGCGAAAGGATACGGCGACATGATACTGTCATAAATGCTGGTATGACTCACCCTAAAGGTAGGCGTCGACGCTGTGAGACAGTAGTGACCCCAGGAGCGAGTGAAGATTCGTCTGGGCTAGAGAAAAAACCAGTGGAACCCACAGCTTCTACCGGTCGAAAAACACCAAAGCCACTATTCTCGGATGATGTATCCGATGCGTCTGAGATAGACAGCAAAATAGAAACCGGGGTAAAATCGTCTGGGTGGCGTAGAAAGCAAGCGAGGCGGCAGATATTAGAAAACTTACTAGACTGCGAGGAACCTCTCATTGGCAGCAGCGATGACGCCTCCCCACGCTCAGAGAACGTTCACCGGCATCTAAGCGGCTATAGGCTCGATGAGGCGCCAAAAGACATAAGTCTCCACCTCGACGAAAGACGCCTACGATGCATGTCTGGGTTCTCGTTTGTGCCTGGAGACGACGTATCTCCTGTTCTCACGAGCGGCGGCTCTGCCAATGAACTTCCAGCAGGCGCTTCTCCTAGGAGAAATGAGGATAGAGATGTTGAGCTATGGAAACCCAGACTTAAAGACACGAAAGAAAACTCAACCGAGGAGATAAGCGAAGGACCGACGGGTGACTTGTCTAGCTCCCCGTCCCCGGAGTCTTGGGAAGACCGGTGGCCATCAGCTGCGGAAAAGATCTGCTCACAAAATTCGTGTACGAGCAGTCTAGACACAGTAATTCAAGCAGGTACAGGGAGCCCGTCGGTGGCTGCTTATTTCAACTCTCCAAGAGTACCAATGCCAGAATAATATATGAGGCGTTGGGTAGTGTATCACCAATACATGTAGAATGGATGGAGTAGGTAACGTTTATGCAGTGGTTCTTGGACGGTGGGTTTAATCTTTGAGGGATCCATCTGTTTGCGATACCTATTGAGCTCGTGCTCACAAGGTCCTAGGTTAGGCTAACCCTATGCAAGTAAAGAAAAAGTTTGACCTATAAGTAGGTAGTCCGGGTATTTTACACATGTAATTTCATAAAAGACTTCCCGTAATTCTACGGCGTCTAGATTGAATATATTTTATGACTAATCACTGGCATAAACCGCATGGGCTTCTGCGTGTGCCAGGCTTGAAGTCTCTCTACAAGATTTCGGCCGAAAAGCTAGAGAGTCGATGAGCAAGGAGGATTAATAGTACACTGAATGTATACCTACCTATCATCAGTACCTACCTACCTATGGAGGGTCATGGGGATGGAAAGTAGATCTTAGATCTTCAGGGTCAAGAGGGATCCGAGCACGTGTATCATTGGACGGAATAGCTTCCGAAGATGGTGTGTTGTATGTGCAGGGACAGGGACGGCACAGATAAAGATAGAGAGATTTTACATATTATGTAGAAGATGCAAAAGATTGCTAACGGCCGGTTTTTCCCGAGTTTTGTGCTCTGGTACATTATGGTGTTAGGTAGTATTTGATTTGTGTTATGTTGTATGTACCTATGTAGGTAGGTAGGTAGGTATGTACATATATGTACGGGGTTAAGCTTATTTTTAAGCGTTACGTTTTGTTATCAAGATTTAACTAATAAACTAGCTTAACTAGCTTAACCTAATAATTTAATAAACTTGTTTAATTTTTATCTTTCCATAGATGTAATTTAAAATATTTTAACATTTTATTTTTTAAAAAAAAAATTTCGAGATTTAAATTCGAGTTTTATGTCCGTGCTAAACACTTCCCTCGCTTTTCGCAAGTCGTTGAAAACTAAAGATGATAATAATGATGATGATACCTAATGATGATGATGATGATGATGAATGATGACGATGGTCGGTGGGCGTTTCCGGTGAAAGGTGCCAAGGATTAGTTTGGGTTACGGGTGGTGGATATGTACCTATGTATTGTACCTAATGTATGTAAGGTAGGTAAGCATGGATATGGGGTATGGGGGATACCTGCCTACGTAACTTGGGGTTCGGTTCTCGATAACCGAGCGTGCCGACCCAGATCTCCGGGCCTGTGTACCCTGCGGAGATCGGAGAAAGCGACTACTTTAAGTACTTTTTATTTTCATTGTTTTTTTTTTTTAGGAAAAAAAAAAAATCTCTTCTCATTCCCTTGTCTCCGCATTATTATTATTATTATTATTGTTGTTGTTGTTGTTGTTGTTGTTATGAATTAGTAATTAGTTTTTTCAGCGGATTCTCCTGTCTCGGAACGGTATACCTATCCGTACGGAGAGCCAAGGCACCGTGCTTCGCAGGCAAGAGTAAGAAAGAAAGAAAGAGCGGCAGGCCAGGCCGTAATATTACAAATTCAATATATCACGCCTCCGGCGGCATAATACGTAGGACAATCTCTAACATGTGGATCTTGCATCTCATCGGCGACCTAGAGTATTTATGGCAAAGTACATAACTAGGTATAAGTATACATGTAATTATACTTGATTATATGTACTTATAAAGTTAAGTATATATATCTATATTTATATATCTACCCAAGTACCGACAGCAAACACGGCGGATCACGCCCAGCCAAACCCAACCAAACCTTGGTCGATAATTTATCTCGACTTCGCATGGCCGTCTCGACACGTACGTACGATAGATGATCTGTACGAGGTCACGTAGGTATGCATGCAGTAACCCGATTTAGAGAATAAGATAAAATAACAATATATTAAATAAATAAGAAGAAACAATAAAAAAATAAAAATAAAAGATCCCTGCGCCAACTCGCCAGTACCAGGCTGCCGGTAACACTCCCCTCTCAATAGTCAAACGGTCGGGATTCCACTGAGCCGGGAGATAACCGAAGAAAGACGCACAAACACAAAGGGTCTTTCCGCAATCCGCAATCCGCAATCTGCAATCCGCATTCCCCATTATCCATTATCTATCATTCATTATCCATTATTGAATAGATAGTGCTACCTATTTCGTCCCCATGTCCCTGTCGCGCGGTTAATTTGCGGTGTATGGACGCGCATGGCTATTCTATTCTATTCTATTATATTCTATTCTATTATCCAGCACCCCGTGATACCCGAGTCCATCCCGGCCATGTATGTACCTACATAAGTGAGTTTTAAACCTGCCTCGCCTTCTCTTGCCTCGGAGAAGAAGAAGAGAAATATGTATCCATACGAACGTGGCCCTCCCATCTTCCCGCTCTGGAGCTAAAGCTGGAGCGGTCTGCAAGGGAGCGGCTGGCCGCATGGGGCTTATCATACGTGTATAATAAATACACCACGCATATACACATGGACATTCATATTCATTCATTCATTCATTCATACATACATACATACATACATACACGTAGGTAGAGCTAGCCCTACATGTGCGTAAGACGACATGTAGGTTACCTAGGTCCTTGTTACCCCCTGTGTCCATGTCCAGTTTATCGGACAAGAATCGAGCAGAGGCAAGATCAGGGACGTGCATATATATAGGTAGGTATATATATAACCTATATAGGTAGGTAGGTATTCCTCCGCCGTTAAAAAGAAAAGCCCCTTAATAAATCTAAACACCTTTCTCTCGCAGCCCCCCCCCTCCCCCATGGGCGCGTGGCGGCCGTTGTCCGCCAAGTAGATGATGTGCCGACAAACGCCAACGACGGGTGTTAGAGGGGGGGTGCGGTGCGTGGGTAGGGTACGGAAACAACCATATATTGGCGAACGGTATTGCTGTATAAGGTATTGGTAAGGTGTGCGTGCGTATAACCACACTCAATATATGTATAGTATAGGCAGGCATACATACATACATACATACATACATACATACATACATACTTACTTACTTACTTACTTACCGGATCTCGGATCCCGATGGTAGCTCTTTATTCTTTTCCCTTTCCCATCGTCTCAACGATCCAAAACTCGGGGTTCAAACCCAGCTAGCTCATGCTACACCAAAAGCCAACAGGAGATAGCGTAGCAAAGCGCTGCAGCATATGCACCAGGATCAGAGATCTGCACTACCCGGACTATACTGGGGGTGTATGTGTGTATGTGTTCCCTCCCTCCCTCCTCCCTCCCTTGTTGTACCGGCTTGTTCGGCAACGTTTATATTACCATCCTTGGTCTACCAATATCTACTCTTCCCTTGTGACACTTTCCCCCGGCGGGTGCTCTCGAATAGGGGTAAACCTTGAAACCGTTCTATAACGTCCACTTCGCTGTTGATCTCGGAGAGACATCGACATGGAACAATAACTTCCATCGCTAGAACCACAGTGGCCTCCCCTTTTCTACACCTAGTGTGTTCCACAGCATCACACAGCATCGTCGAGTCCTGTCGGCCACTTTCTACTCGCGAACCAGGAGCATCAGAGACCACGCCATATCGGCCGCCGTTGAAGAATAATCTTGCTCCTCGCGAAGGGAAGAGGAGGAGGGGTGTTCCACCTAGTCCATCATATCCAGCCGTTAGTACGCGGCTGGTCCTATTCACAAATGTCTAAATTGTATTAATTCATCCCGTAGTAGTGCTAAGCTAGAGTTACCGAAGGATTTGAATTGAGAAGAAGCATAGAGCGTTCTCCGTTTTCTTAATCCGTATGTCAAGCTCATACATTGAGCGCCAACATATTCCAAGCAGTCTCCAGCATCCCCTACTCTATCTATGGGGTACATACTCAATTCTCGCGATAAATTACAACATACCAGACATATTTAATTCCCATCGCTTCCTAACTACGAACATCCTTACTATCTCGGTGACGGGACGTCTTCGTCGATTTGCACCAACAAATATACATCCTCAAATACCAACACGAAATAGACACCAAACAGGTTATTTTTCGTGTTTTCCAGTGCAACAACATCTTGATGACTCCCTTTTGGGGGGGTTTCTTCGTAGTCCATGAATTCAACGACCCTTTGATAGATTCTTGCATACTTAATGAGTCAGGAATTTTAAATTCATCCTAGGGTCCACAGCGCAGTGCTTGTCTCCGAACCGTGATGACGGGGATCGACGCTGTAGGTGTGGAGACTTGCGTTGTAATAATGGAGATCGGCGCTGTATGTATGGTGATACGCGCTGTGAGGTTGGAGATCCCGATCCCGAATTACGTCGTTCCGGGCGTTGCGCCGGATGACGTGGCGGTGTATCAGGTGCCGTGCGCGGTCGACGATGTAAGTCATAACTTCCCGGGAAGCATTCGGCAATATGCGGTAGTTGTACCCCGTTTGGACGAACAACTTCACTTGCTGGCTGTGAACCGTGACTGGGATTCAGTGCTTCGATCCCATGCGACGGTGAGGATAGTCCACTAACCCGTAATGGAGGTAGTTCATGGAGAGGCTCTCGGGAGTGGCTAGAAGTGTGTATATCGCGGTACGGCAAGCTATGATCCGGCTTCCAAGGAAAGGGAGTAGGTGGTTCTAGAAGCTCAACAGGGGATATCGAAGATGCAGAAGGCGATGGGAGCCCCAAGAACTCTGAGTAGTCTTCCCACGAACTAGCACGACGACTTCTGTAGTTATATGGTGAGGTGGAACCGTATATAGAAGGATCGACAGAACGATACGCAGGAGGATAGGGAGAAGTAGAGGCTGGGCGCGATAGGCTAATGGCCTCATTTATAAGTGCATGTTGTTCATAGTCATGGTGCCTGTGATTTTCATGATGTTCATGATGTTCATGATGTTCATGATGCTTGTGGTGTCCGTAGAGTGAGCAGCTTGAGTAGCCTGGACGTGGATGGAGGTGACGTGGGTCATGGCAGTGGTATGATGGTGGAGCCTGCGATAGTTCCGGAGTAGACTCGTCGTGAGCATTTTGGCTATGAACCCTGGCGTAGTGGTTTTCAGCTGCTCTACGCATTAGACGCTGTCGGCGGTTCATACTGCCATTCCACCAATTCTTGACCGCATTATCGCTTCGGTTGTTGAGAGCTCTAGCAATCTCAGCCCATCGTTTCCCCTTGGAGCGGACCAAATTCTCTATTAAAATCCCCTCTTCAGGTGTGATAGGGCTGTGGTTGAGACCGGGCTTTAGGTTCTGGTGATAGCGCTCCCTACACTGCTTTGGCGACCTTGTTTGAACGCGCTGTGCAATTTTAACCCAGTTCAAGGCACCTTGTTGTTCGACGATCTCCTTCAACATCTCATCTTCGCGATTAGTCCAGGGGCCACGTCTCGACATCGCGCCGGTATTATTATTCAGCGATAAGTATGTGTAGTAGTAATAAAAGCAATATAAGAGCGAGGGACAGTGGGGACAAGATCGTGATGCGACAGACCAGGTCCAGAAAAATATATGTACGATTTAGAGTGAGGATATCCAAGTAGAAGTGATAACCAAATTATAAGGGGGGTTTCCATCGATCTCGGCTATATACCGTCAAATTTATAACAGAACTAATGTGATGGTTAAGCCCAGTCAACCTTTTATGGTTCTGGCTAGCTAGGCGGCTTGAGAACTCCAAACTCTAGTTCTTCATTTACAGCCACAGATTCCGTGGGAATTTAGTTCCGACTACTCGTAGAGGCAGCTTACATAGTCGAAATATCGAGGTAGTTTTGAGTTGTTGAAGAGCTTGTCTAGACTACGGCGAATGGTAACATATAGAGTAAGATCGGGTAGGGAACTGACGTAGACCAAGATAAGGCATATGTGCTAGGTATAGAAAAAGTAGCAAAGGTAGAAAAGGTAGAAAAGGTATAGGAGTACAGAACATAGAACAGAGGATGTGCATTGGCTGTAGGGTTAGATGTAGATTGGGGGTTAGAGTTGAACGAATGAAGGAGCGGGATGGGGCGGAAGATGGCACAAGATCAAGTTATGTTGAGAAGAGAAGGTAAGCATGAACGAGCACGAGTATAAGCGTTGGCAACTGTAAAAACAATACATAGTAGTAGCAGCACCGATAATAGCAAATGGCAGCAGCAGCAGCAGCAGCAGCAGCAGCAGGAGCAGTATACCTAATAACCGGTAGTAACATGCTGCAGGCGGGTGTAGATCTGTAAGTTCTAAGAGATCCACATCCTTCCTACCTTCTCAGCAGCCTTCTCATCAGCTAAGTGTTCGTCAGGTACGTAGCAGTGTTCCTTCCCCTGTCTGACCGTTCTCTAAGATAGGTAGGTAGATACAATGTAGGTATGTACCTACATACATATATAGGGTATGTATATATGTATGTACCTATGTGGCCCACCTACATGTATGTAGGTTATGTGTATGTGTACCGTAGTTTCTGCTGGATCTAGCTGATTTGTTCTGAATAGGTGCTTCCCAAGGTTCAAGGTTCGTACCACCTGCATTCTTTAGCTCCTAGCTCTTTTTTTCTTAGCTTAAGCATAGGAAGTACATACCTAGGATGAGGGAAAAAGCAAGTCTAGAAAGACTCAGAAAAAAAGAAAGAAAAGGGAAACGTCCAGCCACCGCCTCTGGCGTCAAGTAAGATAGGCAAGGCAGGCAAGGCCAGAAAAATAAGCGCAATACGTGGAAAGGGGATGTCCCATATCCGCGGCCAACGTAGTGGGGGATGAGGAGGGAGGGGGGGGGGAGGATTGCGTACAAGTTCAACGCCTTCGCTCCCTTCCTCCCTTTTTTGCTTTTATTCTTGTATTGTATTTTTAATCACATCGTATCTATTCGCCCGTCAGCGCCGTCTAGGTTAGTACCAGTATAAGTCAACACTATCGGCAGTAGAGGTCGTCATAAAGATGCCCACGTCCTATCCGATAAATAAATAAGCTTAGGCTTAGGCCGTGCCGGTTTGTAGGTTCAGGCTAGACGAAACTTCAAGTTAGATAGACAGCTTAGTTCCTGTCTAGCGAAGAACCACGAGGCTCAGTTATTTCCGATTTGAGATGGCAGCTGCCGAGTGAGGTTTAGATGTGCGAACCCCAGATCCGACAAGGGGTCCCGGACAGGTCTCCCCAGTGTATTATACCCCCTGCTTGGTACCGTACTTACACACGTAAGTAGTATGTAAATTATTTGTATATAGCTCGCGTATAGGTACTTGATAAAACGATCAGCATGGCCCGGCCGTTTATAGTTCGTTAGGGTGACGATCTGCACATGTGGCTTTTTTACTTCCCCAGCGACCCATTGACTTGGGATCCCCCGTCATCTTTACCGGCTGAAACTAAAAAATATATTTATTTATTTACAGTTAGACATTTACTAGGGTTCTTCAACCTGTTAGGGGGGGCTTTGATATGCTTACTGTGTGTAAAGGGTTTTTCTTTTTTTTCCTTTTTTTTCTCTTTCTTTTTTGGTCTTCAGTCTTTAATAACTCTCCAACACTACAGATATAATAGGTATGCATAATATTTTATTTTAATTCTTAATTGAAAACGTACCTTGCTCTGTCTTAATTTATATACCTATTTATCTATATATTCTCCAAGACTTATTCGTCGCCTTAAAACAGTAAAGCCAAGCAAACCTAACATCTTTAGCTTGCGGGGATATCGTTTGACTATTTGGTCGATAGTGCTTAAGACGTCGTGACCGTTGAGAAAATAAAAATAAAAATAAAAACTTACCCACAGATAACCTCAGCCGCACTCCATCTTCTCTCTTCGCCGGCTGAAATGATCCACCCCCACTACCTACCACAAGACCAGGGAAAAGGGATAACGAGCTAGGACGAGTCGGCACATTTCCATCTACTGGTACAGTGGTACATATCTACCTAGGTAGGTATTGTACCTATGTATGTAGTATGTACTTACTAAGGTACTACCTACCTTGGATGTATGTAGATAGGTAGGTAGTCATCGTATCCCAAATATCCAACTAATCCAACGTACATCTGACTTACTTTTGCGTAACCTCAACCTTGATTTATCAAGCCACCTGTTGCGGACTTTAATGCACTCGCTGTCCTGATAGTGAGTAGAACAACGGTCTTTACAAATTTTTGAAAGGGTTACGGCTAGTCTAGGGGTATTCTACGTATGAAGAGCAAAAATGACTATTTTTGTTTCTTTTGATCAAGATGAATCATAAGAAGGGAGAAGGTAAAATAAGAAAGAGATATAAAAATAAGAAGAAAAGAAACTCATAACCGAGAAACATAATTGGCTTTACCCATCCGTAGGGCGTCAGCTCTGGGTATATTTACATGATTCCGTCGACAGCATAGCCTGATAAATTCACGCTGCCATAATACCAAACGCCCCTGTCCGTCGCTGCTGAAACGACTGCATATTTCTGTCCCAAAGGTAATGTAACCCTACCAGCACTTGGTCCGAGTCCGCTACCTGCTCTATCATAGAAACTTCGAGTTCTTCGTCCAAAGCCAGCCTAATCAGGTTCAAAATGCAATCAAAGGCCTTTTGAAATCCAACATGGTTCATTCAAGTCTCCCTCTCATGTTGTCCGGAACTCCCATGCTCTTTCACAGATGGGTAATATGTGAATGCCATGTACCACCATCCAATGTCATGAATATCCTTGGCCGATACCGAACATCCCCGAGCTCGTTTCCTGCCCACGTCAAATGCGTCAAATGCGTCAAATGCGAGACACATGGGTATTAAAACTAACCCCCAACCCGGAAATATCTCACTATTCTTCTATAGGTAGATAGATATCGCCGCCTTGCCCGGCCACCCAACGCCGCCATGCTTCTTCGTATGCCCATTCTAAATCAGACACCCATCTTCGTGTATTGAAGAGTGCGCATTTCCATTTTGCTTCGAAAAAAATCTTTCGCATCTCGGCCAGTCGTCCTTTCCCTTCGCAATACTCTCCGTCCATGTACCGATAAGTCAAGTTTCCCGCAAGTCTGGTTGCTAGTGCTTCGTAGTCAGAGTCACCAGAAGCAATAAGCTCCCGAGCAACTTCATCCCCAGCGGATGTCTTCGGTAATGCTCCTTTGAGAATCGACGCTGCCATGCGAGAGCACATCTTATATGGATATCTCGGTAGAGTTAGTAATGGGGTGCTTGACCATAAGACATCTGCTGCCGTTGTGTGCGCGTTGCACTCTGGCGTGTCTAGAAAGAGGTCACAGATACGCGCTCGCGAAATGTGCTGCTGCTTCGGCGCTACGTCTGTAAAGACAATCCGGCTTGCCACCTCCTCACCCGCCCAGGCCCTAGCTGTTTTCTTCAGGTTGTTTTCACCGAGCTCAGGGAATCTGAGAAGCCACAATATGGCTTTGGGGACGTTGGAGAGGATACGCAGCCACGTGCGAAACGTGGAAGGGTCGATCTGAATGGTACAGTTAGTCGTGGCTAATATGTGTTTTTAGCATTAGGAAAAAATACCTTGTATAACTGGTTAAAATTGCCAAGTATAATAGTATCGTCCGGGAGATTCGGAAAAAGTTCCTTACGCATCTTCCATCGTCGTCGTTGTTCGTCTACCCAAGTCAAACGCCTTTCAGCCGGGTCGCACGATTGCGCGTGGTCGCAGCAGAAGAACGTATCACGGCAGAAGACGATATTTTCGGAATACATCCATTCACCCTCTTCGCTAAACTCGTCATCTCTAAAGACGTCCTCTAGGTCTGTGTTGCTTCTCGAAGGTCGTAGTGTAGATGGAGGAATGGCGGTCCTATCGGCTAAGATATAATCACACCATTCAGCACCAAGGGTACCTGCGAATCCCATGAAAGACATTTGGATTGGCGCCGGCCGGGCTGCGAATATCTCGTTCCTGGCGCCCCGGGTATAGCCGTTCAGGTTAACAAGAATATGGATCCCATCTTCGACTATCTGTTCCACAAGCTTCTCTGAAGGCCAATTGCTCACATCGCGAAACACGGGGGCTTCACGCTCTATTTGCAACCGATGAACCGATTTATCGCTCGCTGTAGTAGCGTAACAGAAAGCTTTCGCTCGTGATGGATCGTGAAATCCGAATACGGATTGCATTCTGCATGTGGTTAATTAACCAAAACAAGTGCTATTCACACGTTATAGATAGGCATATAACTTACAGGTGCGCGAGTGGATGATTGTTGAAGTCCGATGATACATATCCAATATTGAGGTGTGGACTAGGTGGAGGGGGCGGTGCATACACGGAATTGGGAAGCCACGGCGACTTCAGAGTTGAGCATGATATCCTCGCGGCGTTCCGCTGAGAAATCATACGTATGTCCTTGGCCGTTAATGGACAGGTGAAGGTATGGAAAGGAAGAACAGTCGGTGCTGCTGGCACCGCTAGAGAGGCTGGCAGCTTGAGTCGTGGGTATCCCGATTGCGATGCGCGGTTGTGAACGTATTTATCTAAATACCAACGGCGCATCGTCACTTTCATTGAACGCTCCACGAGACGGAGGATCTTCGAGCCTTCCCATGGTTGGCCTGCCCATCTACGCAGAGCATCCTCGATATTCACCCCTTTTCGTGTTCCCTCCGCCGCCAGAAAATTGACCTGCGAAACTAGGAGTTCGAGGGTTCCATTCCGCAAAATGCCTGCGCCCCAATGGCAAGACTCTGCAAGCTGCTTTGAGACAATGTCAACAACTTTCTTTATCAAGCCACTGCCAGTTTTTTCCATCTTGGCGTCCCGAAGCATCCCCTTGTCATCAACATGCCAGCGGTCGTATGTACCACCATATAGCAGTACACCGCCTCGACCACTCCAATCACAGACCGAGTTAAGAGCCGTAGAAAGACCACACACCGCTTCCGCAAAGTCCGGATTAGAGTTGACAGCGCGCCTATAATACATGATAGCATCACTAATGCGGCCACGGTCCTTGACAGCATTGGCAAGGTTCGTAAGAGCGATATCAAAGTTTCCGTCACAAGCAACGGCCTGCTCATACATTTGTATTGCTAGATCAAGTTGACCAATATCTTTTAGTAGGCTTCCGAGGTTCGTATGGAGATGAACATGCTTGGAGTCTAAGCTCAAGCCATAGTTATAATAGGCAAGAGCCAAGGCGAGACCACTGCCGGGAGCAATTCCGGGTATCGGTGGTATGTTCGGACTTTCTAGGATCTGTAACTGCGAGGCAGGACTGGTGTGCTGAACGCTGGCTAGTAGAATCCCTACATTGTTAGCCGTCGAAGGGCTCTCGGAGAGCGATAGGGATAAATAGTAGAGCGCTAAAATATCGCCAATTCCAGAGGGCTGGCGTAACAGCCTTGGAAATGAACCACCATTCGACATGGCATCTTGGAATATCTTTGCTAATGACAACAGTGAGTTACTGGTGGTGGAGATTGCCGACCTTTTCGGCGCACCGTCCGGCACGAAACGTAATCCAGGAAGCTCGCCATGGGTCGCAAAAACTAATTGGGCAGTATGCCTTGCCTTCTCAGGAGGTAGCAGCAGCGGTCCAGTAGATGGCGTACGAAGGCTACCCCGTCTCGAGGGCCCGCATATATCCGTGGGAGACAAGACAGACTGTATTCTGCGTATCAATGAATTAATGCATTTGAGCTTATTCCCGGCACTGATAAGCACGGCCTCTTCGAAGGCCTCAGAAGCCTGGTCGATATCTTTCAACGCATATAGCATGTTTCCTTTGGCGTGAATCAGAGCTATAATGCGGCCATTCTCGTTGCCACTGACACAATAACCACTTGAACCAAAGCCAGACAACCTCGACTCTTCAACATTATCGCTATTGTGTATTAGCTCGCAACGTTGATGCAGGTGTAGTTTGGCTTCGTCGTACACAGAGTTGTTGGTGTCGCCACTTCTATCGAGACTGATATCGCAGCTAGACTGATCAGGGAGACGAAGAGATTGTTGAACAAAATTAATTATATCAACAGCTTCCTTACTTCTATGACTAGAGCATAAAAGCCCGACGAGATGCTCAACAGCTTCTAGATAGCTGGGTCGCAGTCGGACAGCCCGCAGCCAATGCTGTTCGGCCTCTTCGTGTCTATTTAGACAATAAAGAGTCGCCGCAACATTTGAAATCGCCTCAACATGGCTTTAAGCACGGTTAGCTTAGTACAACCAACTATGGGAAGGAGATAGGCTTAAAACAAGAACCTACGTCTCATCTAGAGATATGATCCTCTGAAACCACTCCAATGACTGCTCGTAACGCTCAAGGCCGTAGTGTAAACAGCCACCAAGTACCATACCATCGACCCATTTCCAACCGCTTTGTTCGCACAAATGAGTTAGCATCTCAACAGCGGCCTTAGCACTAGAGAGAGGCTTGACCGGTAATCTCCCCCGTTCAGCGTCCGTAGCAGGGTATCCTGAACTATCACCATTGAATGGGTAATAGAAGGCCGAGCGGGAAACTTCATCGTCTCGTACTTGATATTTGATAGTGTGCTGCCCGTACAAGCTCGACGATCCGTCAAGTTGAGGACTAAGTACATGGTTGCTGCCACTGCCACTGTTCAAGTCTCTATAGCTATGTGTATCTCGGAAACGCCGCGGGGTGACGACACAACTGGGATGATTTGAAGGCCTTGGTAGTTTTGGGAATATAACCATCTTGGAAGACCTGGCGTCCTGAGCAGAACGACCTTGAGATTTCTTGCTGTAATGCAAGTACGCTAGAAGCTCAATATATGATCGATGAGCATTTGCAAGAGCCTTTTCCCTAAACATCGCAGGTGCAGAATTCTCATTCAACTCGGATCTGGGTCTGCCATATTGGGTAGGTTCGAGTGTAAGAGACTCCAACCCCTGGGACGGCGTGTGTAGACCGACTGGGCTCTCCCCATAATGGGTCATAGTATTATACGGTGTTCTAGCCGGCATGAAGGCATTGTGTGAACGAACATGGGGCATTGGCGCATAATTCAAGGTATGATAGTTCAAGCTACCCGGGTGTGCACTGGGGTGATAACTAGGGACGTTCGTCTCAGGCCAAGCCGAAGGCGGGAGCAATCCTCCATTATCAAATATAGCGGGACACGGAGAGTACTGGTATATAGGTTGTAGAGCTGTCGGTATATTGACACCATTATTATAAGGATAAGCGGCCGTTGGTAGTCCATTAGGAGTAGCATCGACGGTCATGGGGGTACGAGAATCGTTGATGACCCCACGTCGCCAACCGCCTGCGAACGCCAATGAGTTAGAGTCAAGAGCGAGACCACCATGATCCGGGACATTGAAAATTGGAGGTCGCTGGAGTGACCAGTCATTGATTAAGGGCTTAATATGATGTTTCATTGTATGATGATCTTGATGAGGATAAGCCGCAGTAGGCAAGATCATATGCTTCAAAGGCGGGGGGCCCGAGGCTAGCTGGGCAGGGTTACCATCGTATCCAGCATCTATCGTGCCATTCGGCGTTTTGCGTCTAAGCTGATGTTCGTCGTGATCGGATAGGTGAGATGGGATCCTAAAAGCATTCGATCTCGGATGCATCGGCAGCGATGGCGGTGGCGGCTGCGAGGAACGAATGGGAAAAGCGTTGTGTCCAGAGGTGAAGCTAAAATCCAGCGACGGTTCAGACGCTCTCGAAGCACTGCGAGTGTAATATTGAAAAGAATGGCGATCCTGCTTGCGATCTAGCTGAAAGGGCGACGAAGAGTCGAGGCGATGGGATGGATGCACCATCCGGTGCATCTGAACAGAGGGTAACATCTCTCAAGGACAGTATAGGCCTGGAAAGGGAAGTGTCGAGGCCTAGGGTCGAAGTGAGATCTCATTATAGCCTGCTGGTTAGAGCACGGCTGAAGGAAACTGGCTGATATGCATTGGGAAGTATGTATTCAATTCCGGCGCTGAAAACCCAAGTGGAAATATCTTAGCCAGGGGGGACTGAGCCAAAACTATCGTCCGATGTATACCTTAGTCCAAATCCAATCTTCCTTTTTGACCTGATCTCCAATCTCTAATCTCTAATTCAGAGTTAACTAGCCCCTCACCCTCTGCTCTGCCTCGCACGACGCGAAAGCTCCGGAGCCAGCCAGGCGCAAGGACGGAGGCGAGGCAGGGAAGAGAGATATGTATGCGGAGGGGAAATAATCGAGATGCAAGAGACGCGGGTTTCGAGGTCAAAGCGGAAGGGAAGTGGATTCCAATAAATACTTGTGGATAGAACACCTTAGTTTATAGATGGCCTGAAAGATGTTTGGTATGGAACAAGGAAAGTCCCGTTAAAAAGTTGGCGCTGTTGATAAGTTCCCCGTGTTCATGTCTAGGTAGGTAGGTTAGAATTATGTTAGATGTAGGTATGTTGTAGATATGTAGATCCCAGTAGAGGGAAAGGCTATGAGGGTTGAAAAGGACGGCGCTTGCTTGTACGTGGGGGGGCTGAGTCTAAATCGATTTTGGTTCACGTTGGTCTCCATCAGCTCCTGTCACATTTCTTCCTCAGTGGGGCCTTAAAATAAGGACGTTTTAGGTACCTGCCTCAATGAAAAGATCCATGGCGTATTCGCCCCAAGTACATGTATATTTGACGTAGCTTCACGGAAGTATATGTATCATGCACGTTTATTAAGTACATACGTACATTATGTACGCTGCACAGGCGTGTATTAAAACTTATGCAGGCTGTTGACATATCAGAATCTGCACATTAAACATATTATGCCTTTAATTCTACATAGGTAGTGAAAAACGACAGTACTAAATAAGTAAAATCAGAAAAGACAAGAAGAGAGAGAGGGATATCAAAATAAAGAGACTTGGTCTTAACAGAGGGCATCTTACACCGTAAAATCTCTAGGTATGGTGATCAGCTACATCTGGAATGCATAAGAAACCGCCACATAGTAAGCCACTCAGTCCTAGAAATGCAAGGTTATAAATCATGTTGTGACCTAAATGCTAAGTGCTTATGCACAACCAAAGTACCTAAATGTATACATATACATAGAGAGCAAAGAGGGAAAGGGAAAAAAAACCCCCTACCTTAGGTTGTTTTTATATTATTACCTATAAAGCCCATTGAAAATTGTAGAAACATGATATTATATGTGCCATTATCAAACATTCTCGGAATTATTCTTCTTACTTTCATGCCTAACTATAACGAGCAAGCCCTTACCAACACCGAAAATAGCCTATTATAAAGTACCACTAATAAGCCGCATCAGACTTGGAAAGAGAGATGCGCTATCAAATGCAAAGGTAAGCAATACGAATATTAGGCTACACAAGGCTATCAAAACATTAGATCAGCACACAGATGGTTGCAGGATTATTAATTAGCAGTGGTATGACCTGATGCTAGCAGGCGGAAAGACTTAGAAACAATATATCACAACCAATCTACTTACCTTATCGAACGATGTGTCCTTATCATAGAGGTCAAGTCACAATTCCTCGTGGACTCGCAGTGACATTCTCTTACGAATTATATCCATGCTGCATCTTAACTAGCAGATAGAACAAGAAAAGAATTTAAGAGAAAAAAAAAACATATAAAGAGGTATTCAAATGTCGACCGAGCAAAATGGACCTCCGCCTCCACGCTTTGGTAGCAAGAAAGCCGCGGTGAGTAGTTGGTCGGATTTCAATATTCCTTGACACGAAATAGAAATAGACCACGGGGAGCTAGGTTTATCTCAGAGTGTAGGCAAGGGTGTAACGAGGGTATTCGGGGGATATGAGATACATATCACGAAAACAACGAGGTTTATTTCATTCGTCTCAATTCAGAGTGTGTCGGCGACGACTATCGCAAGCCATTCCTGAACTCCTGTCGAAATATGCATCGAAAAAAAAGAAGCCCATTTTCAGCCCACCCAGTCCATATTTATTCTTCCGGAACTATGTCGGCCGGCGTTAGTAACCTGTATAGTAGAGAGAGCGCATTGGTTATGACTTACTGTCTATCTCGCCACTCTCGATGTCGTCGCTGATATCCTTGGGGCTTCGTCCATCCACTTGGCAGCCTACACTGAATGCTGTTCCTAGGATCTCTTTGACGGATCCCTTCAGGTCCTTGGAGAAAGACTTGAATCGCATTGTTCGGGCGATCTCGATGATGTCTTCGAGAGGTACGCTCTTCGAGTGCTTGATATTCTTCTCCTTCTTCCTGTCACGGGGCGGCTCCTTCAATGCCTTGATGATGAGGGAGGATGCTGTGGGAACGACGGAGACGGCGGCTTGACGGTTCTGGATTGTGAGCTTCACAGTGACTCGTAGGCCTTTCTATTAATCAAACATTGTCAGCCTGGCACATTGACTTCGCGCCACATTAATCAAAAACATACCCAGTCGCCAGTAGCCTTGGCAATGTCTTCTCCGACCTTCTTGGGCGACAGACCGAGAGGACCAATCTTGGGGGCAAGCGCCGATGAGGCACCGACCTCTCCACCGGTCGCTCGAAGGTGGCTATAGAATTATCTGTTAGCCTCGAATTTGGAGCAATCGCAATTTCCTGTCCTTAGCGATATTGAAATCGGATCGATTTTTTTTCTTTGTTTTTTTTTTAACGTACATGACCTTCACCTCATTGGGATCAATCTTGGGAGCTATATTCTGTAAGTTAGTTTGCGTTGACAAACCGAGCAGGGTCGGATTCATTGACTTACGCATCTTCGCTCAAATGTAAAGTCTCACGAGTTTGCCAATAAAAATCCTGAGGAGACTTTTTGCGTAAGATGTTGTGAGCCTCGTGAGCAGCGCTTGCAAATAGGAGGGTGAAAGTTGAGAAAGTGGTCTTGAGGAAATTCAGTTGTGGGCTAGAGAAACCCTAGACAGTGGGGTTTGTATTTTCGTACTCGCGATACGCTAGATACGCAGCAGCCCTAGAGGAAACAAGTGGGACCAGGTGAGCAAATTGATAATTGATTGGACTAAAATGTTAAGGTGTAGCATGCACCTTCGCTTCGTCAATTCAAAACCAAGGGATTCAACCTTAATTAGTTAACTCCATTGGATTCAGACTCCGATTACGTAAGGCCAAACATTCCATTGTTACCTACCTGGTTGTAGAAGGTACCTACCTAGGTATAATGGAAGTCTTGCATTGCATTAAGCCGATACGGGGAAGACCATGTAATCCCCTACCCGGGTACCAACGAGGTGGAAGCTTTAAAAACAAGAAGGGTTAAGAGGAAAACGACACATACTAATATCGAGGACATACGGTTTATTGACGCATGAACTGGCTGCTGTCTACGATAATACTTGAGTACATGAGCCGCTCCGAGCCAACTTCGGTTTTTTTTATAAGAATTAGTATACTATAAGACTAACACTTAAGACAGCGAACTCGCCAAATTCATCATGAACGGAGTTTGGAGAGACAATCATGACGAAGCAGCTGTTAGGCCCAAAAGTTTTATGTAGCACAAGCATCATGAACTCCTCGTCTAAAGGGGTGGGCTTTACTACACAATTAATTCGTCCCGCTCACGGCCAACCTGTTATACTGTTAGTCTTGAAAGTTGGGTTGAGAGTAGTAGATTACTAACTTCATCAAGTGATCCATGAAGGTTTGTAGTGATACATCATCAGTAAAGATTGTCTGCGCAGTCTGCGCACCAACACCGCCGTATGCCCCTGTGGTGTGTGTCGTCGACGGGTTAAGTTTTGACAGTAAAAACCGCGCTTGCGAGCCACCAGCATCACATACAATAAACCGAGGAAGTGGGAAGCGGTCTGCAATAAGATCCTATTGAAAGGATTAATATTAATATCATGCTCCATCATCATCAAAGCAAACATCTTCGAACTTACTCTTGCGTCTTCTTTTGGCTGTTCTAGGAGCGTGGCGAAATTCTCATAACCTTCTTGATCCTGATACCCCGCTTTCTTCCATTCTGCAATAGTTTCTCCATGAAAGATGAGGATGTGGAAAAACGTATCCAGCAATAAAATATGTGTAGGCTGAATAGAAGTCGAGTCTAACAAGACAGGCTGTCCTCCATCCTGGTCGAAGGTATACGAATCGAGAGTTGGTTGTATCATGATGAGAGAATTGCTCACATCTTCGTGATTCAGCACATGGCGATAAAAGGCTGTTTCATCAGGGGAGTTATTGAAGACCTGTAGAAACTGGCTTCGCCGGAGGTGAAACATAAACTGGGGGTAGAGAGTGAAGTTCTTCTCCAGCCTAAACGAGGAAGGATCGTCTTTCCTGTAGTCGGCAAAACGTGAACATAATCGAATAAGCATCCGGTCCACCCATCGAAGAACATCGGGTCCATCATCAACTTCTGCCTTAAAAACGGCAATTCTCGACATGAGTACCGCGGCCGCTTCCTGGTCGAAGGACTGTGCGATAGCGGGATCTCCGGCTGGGCCGCTCAAGTTCCTAGCAATAGTAGTTACACGTAGGTGGAACTGCCCAGAAGAATGCTGGTAATACGTCAAGAACTGCATCATACCCTTCTGCTGGCCCTGCTGATGTTGCGTGGGGCCACCTTGACTTGCAATTTCGAAGTAGACGCCATAGCTAGCATTGGGGTCGATGCCACACATCTTCCACGAGCACGTGTTGCCAATACCACACTCGGTCTCTCCAACCGAAGTCGACTTCTTGTTCAATGACACGGCATGTCCAATCAAGCCGGTAACCTTCAACTCCTTAGTTGTCAAAACTTCGAGGACAGCATTGAAGCCCATTAATAGATTATCATCCCCATCCTTTTCGAAGACTCGAATAAATGACTGCTTAAACATAGATGATGTAAAGCTATCAGTGAGGATCATATGACCGCCTGTTGAGTTGCACAAGCCTTTCATCTCAAGCAATCCTACTTGATCTAAGCAGCCGGCGAATATATCTATTATGTGGCCATTGTGGGCAGTCCGTTTCGCAAGATTGTCATAGAACTAAAGGGGTTAGCCACCAAGCGAGCCCAAGTGTATACAAAATGAGAATAAAACCAACCTTAAGTGCTTTCTTATAATATTTGATATTGTCACGATCAATGTCGTGGTGTGAGCGAATTGGTTCTCTCAATTCGGGGCCAACGACCATTCCTGGGCCTTCAGTTGCAGGACCGCCGGCGAAGAGCATGATCCTGCCACCAGCGTTTTGGAATGAAGACTCAAGCAGGCCAACAGCAACGCTAAGCGCAACACCAGAGCATCGAAGATTTCTCCTGTCACTGGCGACAGGCCATGGATCCTTCTGCAATTGTTCGAGGATCTTGGTAAGCTGAAACTCACACTGCTGAACGGGTAACAGGAATCTAGTAGCAGGCCCCATAGGCAACATAGGTCGGCCAGGCTGCTGCTGCGGCATGCCAGGGCGGAGACTCGGGGCAAGCAGACCTAACATCTCCTGAACTTGTTTGGCAGAATAATCTTTGCTACCACGAAAAACGTATGACTTGGCGCATTCGGTATACCCGATCTCGTGAACTTGGGCCTGGGAACTCTGGTGTCAGCAATAAAAATTGCCCCAATATTAGGGACGAGATAAGCGCACCATTGTTCCATAAGTAATCAAGCCAACCAAGGCATTCTCGGGGAGAAGGCTCAAACTCATGATGAGCGACTCCTTCAAGGCCGACAAACTATCATCCTCTTGACACGTATCGACAACATAGAGAAAAATAGGCGGACTGGGCGCTGGTCGGGAGAGCCGATACTCGATCGTTGTGTTCGACGGGTGCAGCTCGGGGGGGATGGCATTAGGCGTGATGTCCTTGTAATGAGGAGGAAGGGGGTTCCTCGAAAGGCAGAATGGGCAGATCCATAGACGTGCCCTAACGTCGACTTGACTGGGTATCATTAGCTATGCGATTCGAAACTATGGCGGGATTTCGAGGACAACAGACCAGAAAGGGTTCAAGACAGAGCGACACGGTTGTTTACACGTAACAGGCTCGAATTGTAGTAAAGGTGTATCTGGCTTCTCTTTCAGGGGGGTGTAGAGAGCACCGATAGGGACGACGAGGCGAGACGCTTCCTATACAAAGCTTCAGAATACATGCGCTCACGAAGATGCAGCCAAAATAGTAGAGGGCCAAGTTACCATTCGAGAGCTAGGAAAAACATTCCAACTCAATCGAACACCGTCACGGTCTTCCACCTCGCTCCATTGTTCTTTTAGAGCTTCGTAATCCATATCGTCGATGCGCTCGCGATAGCTCGCCAAGCTCGTCGGACGTCGAGTATCAATACACCCGCAACAATTGCTGGTAGTGGAATGTGTGTGTGATGTCCTAAGTGCAGTGCAGTTTGCAACGGCTTCGAGATTAAGAGGGAATTCCCTTTACGAGAGTCGCGGTACGTGTTCGGTGTATGGTATCAATGATATTTCCAGTAGGTATGTCAACCGCAAAAGCTTAAGGACAGACTGGCTCTGTGGGGTAAGAGCCAAAACCAATCTTGATGTCGTCCTATTGTGTACAATAATAAAAGTACAGGTATGTAGGTACTTTCGATATGGACAAGTTGCATCCTAGGACCTTAGGTACCTAAGGTACCCAAGGGGGGGGAAAGCATGGGCACTATCCCTGTAATATTTGAATACCATTTTAAGAATGTTACCTTTTAAATGCATCATCGTGTTATTAGGTTAGGTAGGTACTGCCGTGAAAGTCCAAGTACAATGTACCTTGGGTACATTCCTCCGTTACATGTAGGTACCTACAACTAATGACCCGAGGATGATTATCTATTATCTAACGTAAACATGACTTAACTAAGTACATGTATACCGTAAATAGAATCTGCATCCCAATCAGTACAAGCCGATGCGCGTCTGGGATCCTGTAGGAAGTTCCGAGACGACTTAGCTATTTCCACCTTCCACTCTGTGATGATATTCCAAACTTTGTTGGCTCCGTCGGAAGATGATGCCATCTCTGCTATTTATTCATTTGCTATTTATTTATTAAGGGATGGCCTCCTCTAAATCTGCACCAAGCATCCAAGCCCTTCATTTTTGCCTACACACAGGTCTAGGTGTCGTGTTGTTGGTGAATCGTGAATCTCATGATTGAAATGACCACGCGTGGAATATAATTGGCATAACCGGCTCTCTCCAGAATCAATTCGTCAAGATGAACGCGCCTACTATGTTGGGGGATCAGGAATTGAAGTTTCCAATATTATCTCGCCCCCGATCGACTTCGAACATGTTCCAAGCTGTTGAAAGCTCTTCAAGGAATGAGCCGAAAGCAAAGCCACAGGAACATCCGCTCTCATATATTCCCCATTATCTACTTTCAGGGGAAGCGGCCCAGCATGGCCACTCTTCCCGTCTAAGATCGCATTCCTCACCCAGCGCGCCTCTACGAGAAACACCCCGCTGCCAATCTGAGCAATCAGAAACAGCCTCGTCAAGAATAGCTAGGACGCGTCCACTTGCGATGGGCCACGGAACCTTGCTTGGCGCGAGGCGGCGTTTAGAGGTCAATACAAAGGATCTCACTCAGTCAAGTCTAGCAGCCTCTCAAGATCAGTCGCTGCCCGAATCACCAGGATTTCCTAATATGTTAGCAGCGATGAGCTTCCCTATCCCGCCTACAACATCAAGACCGTCTACCGCGGATGCATTTATGGGTTCTATGACACGCTATCAATCGAGTATTACCACTCCCCCGATAGTACGACCTCGTTCGTCGAGTAAGCGCGCAACGAGCTCCAATGGGATACTTACGGCTTCACTAGATGAGCTAATAATGCAGCGCACTATACCACCCCATCGACATAGTGATCCTGGTGAAACTTCTCATGCCTCTTCTAAGCCAGAAAGACTTGTGATAAATACCACCATGACTAGAAGCTCAAGGTCAGCTACAGTAGGTGAAGCGGGGGAGTTGCTAGCAATGGGCAACCTCAGACCCAGGGCTTCCTCAGCTGCATCTTCCACGCGTGTGGGTCACGATTCACAGACTGTTATGACGAATGACAATGGGGGAGAATCCCTCCGAAACAATATAAAGGTAGTGTCGAGTTTGCCTCAGGGGTTGCCTGGCAAGAATGAGCCATACAATCTCCCAATAGGGATTGCCATCAGCAGCCCCAGAGATATTGCACCTGGTGTAAATAAACCATTATCGGCGTCGGAAGGAGCAACGAGTCAACATCCTACTCATACAGTTCCAATTATCAGTCTTACTTTACCATCACCTTACGAAGAGAAAGATCCTAATAGACGGGATCTGACACCGAAATGCTTCCAACAAGATTCAGATAAGACTGTTCCGAGCAAGCCAATGTTGACCTCTACCAGCCATGATACAACTCTTTTTGACTCGACTATACCATTAATCCTCAACAACGATGATTCGAAAGATTCTCCTATTCTCGGGCGGTTCCTGGGTAATTCCCCTGCTACAAGGAGATTTCCATCGAGGTCGTCATCCCGAACACGTGAGGATCAATCAGTCTCTATACAGAGCGAGGTGGCACAAATTACCCCCAGCGGAACCATGGAAAATGTTTCGCCTACATTAACGACAGTAGGTCCAGAAAACAACTGGAACCTTTCTTATATCATGACAACGGAGATTACACCAATGACTACCAATGACATTACCATGACGCCAATCATGGTCGTGGCTAATATAAACCCTCAACCAGCCCCGACATCATCAGTTCCATCTTTAAACACCGGTCTTCCATCTTCGAGGCCTCCGTTCAATAAGTTGAGGATTATGTCGAAACCACGTCAAAGGCCTATGTCAATGATGATTCATAAGAGCGCTATATCCAGCCATAGCGAGCACGCCCAATTAGCTATAGATAAATTCAGCCGTCATAGCTTGACAGATGTGCCAACACTACCGACATCGCCTAGCAGCGACTCGCCAAACCGAAATAGTCATGCTACAGAAATCACGCAGCGAATTCAATCCGGCGTAGCTGGAAAGCCGATGCTCAAGTCGGAACCAACTATATACCATGAGGATAACCAAGAAAAGGTTAATGACAAAGTGTGGCGGGCTGCATCAACAAAGGAACGATTGGAGAAGGCAAAGCTAGCCAGAGAAGAGGAGATATCGAGGCTGGTTGAGAAGATGCTCGGCGTAGCTAAGGCCAAAGAAACAGACGAGAGGGAAGATTTGCAGAATTTGCAAAGGGAGAATGCGGAGGAACAAATCGAAAAACGATTACAACGTCTTGAAGAGGATGGAGATGCATGCCTTCGAGATGTCAAATCAGCATTACAAAACATGTCGAAAACTCTGAACGAACTACGAAAAGAAAGTAATGGTAAAAGGTTAATAATGAACGAGTTTAATGTATAATATTTTATATTATATAACTTTTGAAAAATTAAAAATTAATATATAATAATATTGTCGGGATATTGGGAATAGCCAATTATGTAATCTAGTCACGTGCCATCACGTGCATGGGGCTTACCTTTTAGGCTAACCCACACACATACAACTTAACCATAGACAACAACAGATCGTGATAGCCTCATTTCAATATTCGTGTTTCCTTTCCCTTTTAAGTGTACACCACCACCCTTGCCTTGTCTCCCGACAATATATTATATAATTTATATGGGTTTATAAAAGCTTCAACCCAAAATGCGTAAAACGGTACGTCCGTCACTTACAGGTATAAATATATAAACTAAAGGTTTTAAAACGCAGTAGCGCTTACGAAACCAATTCAAGTCATTACACTTAGATAAATTATAACAGCTTTTCGATCATTTAACACGCAACCTTATCATGTAACCTTTACCCCACCAGCAGTACTCCACGTGACCTAACAGCCTTGTGGCTAACCTTGTGGCTACTTAAGCTTACGTACTTAATGATCGTTAATAAGCTTAGTTTATTAAAAGAACTTTCTTTAACTACTTAACGTTTACCAAAAAAACTTATACTACCTTACTTAGGCCAATAGGTACTAAGCTAATTACTAAGCCATGCAAGTCTGCTAATAACCTTTTATAACCCTTGGGCAACCCTACCAAGTTTAAGAAGTGGTTAATTATATGGCATTTGTTTTATAAATTTGTAAACCTTGAAAATATAAGTAGTATCTCGAGGCTCACGCATGCGTCCTCTTTTAAGCTTTGATTACCTAGCTTGTTAATATTGGTCACAGGCCAAGGCCCCTTGCAACCTGTGAGTAGGGGATATCAATTGTTATTATGCAACGAACTAGGTTAAAACCAACAAGAACCAACAACCAACACACCAACACACCAAATACCCTAGCACTCTGACTGTGTTTCACCGAACCCCCCCCCCCAAAAAAAGAACAATAAGGCGTATCGCTGCATTTGAGTTTCCATTTCAGCTGTGCCACGCTCCTAAGCGATTTGTAGCACTTACAACAAGGTTTGCCTGTTGTTTGCTCTTGTCTTCCGTATTCCTACTTGTTATTCTAACAAAATAGCTCTACTCCCGCGTGAAGCAATGTCTCGAAAATATTTCATTATCATCAGTGCAGTTATTTTATTATGTCTTCTAGCATTCGGGTCTTCCTATGTCTCCGTCGGCTCCAGTCCGCTGAACTGTCAGTTTGTTTTACTCTAACGAAGCTTCCTTTAGGCTCCAAGCTTATTAATTTATTATAGCCAATTCGCCGGTCAAGATTAGCTCACAGGTTGAGCCCGAATCTTCACCTCCCCTGGGCTTCCCCAAGAAGATCTGGCAGAGCTGGAAAGATGATTCCGACGACCCAACTGACCGAACGGTTGGCTTCCCGCACCAATGGCGTATGGTAAATCCTCAGCACCGATATGAACGGATCACAGACGCCAACGGTGAAACCTTCGTTGCAGACCGTCTTCCTCCGGCTATTGCGGATCTGTTTGCTAGTTTCACAGATCCTATCTTAAGGGCCGACTTTTTGCGGTATTGTGTGATGCTTGTGGAAGGGGGAGTATGGGCTGATATCGATGTCCTGCCTCATCGTCCCATCTCCGAATGGGTTCCTCGGCAATACCTGGACAATGTGAATCTCGTTGTTGGGATTGAAAACGACCACCACAAAATGCCCATCTGGCGAGGCTCCCCGTATTCTGTTCAGCTAGCGCAATATACAATCTTGGCGAAACCTCACCACCCGGCTATCGCTAAACTGGTGGATCGAGTCAAAGAGAATCTCGAGAAGTTGTTTCAATCGAAGAAGCCCGGAGGCACAGTCACGTTCGAGGATGTTATGGCGACAACGGGTCCGTTCGCATTCACCGAGGTTCTAATGGACTATTTCACGAATGCTACAGGTATCAAGCATACAGGTGATGAACTCGACAGCCTTCGAGAGCCAAAGCTCATTGGGGATGTATTGGTGCTGCCTAAAGATTCCTTTGGCTGGCTACCACATGATAATTATCTGGAAAAGGGGGATCCCGGTATTCTAGTTGAGCATCTGTTTATAGCTTCATGGCGTGGAAGCCATCCGGGTTAACGACGGCTACCTTAGTTTGCATTATAATGTATATTATATTTCGAGCATGCTTCACAGCTGATTTTCATACCGCTTTGTTATTTGCGGATTCTATGACGGCGTTTCGTACACGATAGGATTTGCATTATTGTGCGAAACTGCGCTGAACCCGGGATACTAGAGATAGTTGTTTTCTATAATACTTGTCCCTACTAAATATCTACCTTAGGAGGTAACCTCCCAGCGGCCCACACTCGCGTAGGATTTGTAAAAACAAGCGGGCTCGGTAAGACATTTCGGGAGACACATCGTAATATGAAGCTTTTTTTTTTTTTTAAAAAAAAAAAAAAAGTTGACTGGTAGCACTGATTATTTAACTTGCGACTCGAAACATATTCTCTTATTTTTGAAGCTGGTTCGCCTATATAGTACTATAAAGCATATTATATGAAAAATATTATATGATAACTTAGGTCTTAGGCTTCGCGGGAACCACGAAGAAACAATGGCGTTTTAGGCCCTTGGCCTGAAGTAGGCTACCATTGGAAGACGGTGGCGTCTTCGGGGACTTCCCGGTCGTCTATTGTCTGTTGGTTGTAATTATTGGCTGCTTATCTTGAGGTGTTGGTTGTAGTTAATTGTCAAATACATGGATGTGGACCCATAAATAGCCCCTGACTTTCGATTATATGCTCTCTTTCTGGCATTGCACGAGCCTTCCAGACATCGGAGAGGAGGTAGTTCATATCTGCTACACATGGAGCATTTCGCCAAAGCATAATATGCCGCTGATCGAGTCGCCATATTCGGATATGGATTCGGATATGGATTCGGATGTGGCTACATTGGCATCCTTCAGGCTATGGACGACAAGCAGGGGTTGAAAGCGGCGAGGTATCTATAGTATGGGCGGTATACTGCCTCCAATCTCCACCACAGGTCGTTGTTCTCCTGATCGTTCGGCTTTTTTCTTTTTCCTGTTCGTGCGTTGTATTCTTCCATTCCCGACTAAACTGCAACGACTTGCAAGTTACAATGGCGAGGCCGATGCTGTTCTGTTTACAACTTGTTCTTTTCCACTTCGCCTATACTACTCTTGCTGTCCTCAACCATTGCTATTACCCAAATAGAAAAGAGGCTGAAGATGATTCCCCCTGTAATCCCGATTCAGACTCCAGTGCCTGTTGTGGTGGTAGTATTGGTACTGTTTGTCTTTCCAATGGCCTATGTCAAGGACCTAACGGAGCTGTAATTCGGGGCTCTTGTTCGGATATGAATTGGGATTCAGGGAACTGTGCAAATTACTGCTTAGGTGAGTTAATCAACTTGCTGCTTAGACACCTGCTGGCTCGGCTTGAGACATTATTAGCTTACATGAACTCTGAATACGAAGGCGCCTCGCTTGGCGGCACTGACCTGATTTCTTGCGCAAACGTTACCAAGGACGACACGTCGTATTGTTGTAATGGTGCTGAAAATTGTTGTGATTCTGGAGATGGGAGGTTTTCTGTTGGACCGCATAATCCAACCACATCAGCAACCTGGAATGCCGCTTCAACTAAATTCATAGTGGTGGGAATAACATCAACATCAACATCAACAACATCAGCAACAACACCAACAACACCAACAATTTCTTCGACAAGCGCTACGTCAACAAAAGACTCAACGACGTCGGCATCTGGTTCAACTACGCCTAGTGCTGCTAGCTATAGTTCCACAAACGGTGTTTCTACTAACACAGGTGTGGCTTTCCAACCAGATATCACCCCTTCTTCTGCCGGCACGGCAGCCTCTTCTTCATCTGATCTTAGCGATGGCGCGAAGGCCGGAATTGGCATTGGCGCCGTAATAGGGGTGCTACTCATTATTGGCTTGGTATACGCATTGTGGAGGCTGCAGAAGATGAACAAGATGTTAGCCAAGGAACAACCCGGAAATCAATACGGCCAAATCCCCGTGCATCCGACATCACAGGTCGCAACATCACAGATCGCAACAGCTCCGAACGGTGTTAACGTAGCGCCACCTGTACCTCCCAAGAGCGAAGGCCAGATATCGGAATTGTACGGACACTACAGCCCTCTTCATGAATTACCCGCCGAATCTACATAACATATATATGCCTTAGATAATTCGGGTTTAGAAAAGGGGGTTTGGTGGTTAATTAATTGATAAAATGGCAGAGCTGTATAGCTAATAAGCCGTCTCTTGTGGCCGACGGTATACTCCACGCATAGGCAAGACTAGACGGTGGGCTGAGCCAGCCCGGGAGTCTAAGACATAAGCAATGGTCGGATGTTGTTGAATAGTAATCTGCCTCTCTCTTACTGGGCCTTGCCGTCATAATTGGAGCTGTCGATATTCTGCACCGTGGTGGCATCATCGGCGCCAAGCCGGAGTGGATGGTGGGTTTAGGAAGGCGACTACCGTTATTGTTAATGCTTGCGACTTTGCGTTGCATTGCTCGACCCCAAATGCCTTTTGGAACTGCAAAATGTACTTATTAGAATAGTGTATATATAGGTATATATATATAGATATATATAATATATCTTTTTGTCTTCTCTGGCCCTGTGAACTCCGGCTTGTACGCTTCAATTCATAGAGGACATGAAGCTCACTACTGCTATTTGGTTTACTGGGGCTCTCAAGGCTATTGTTCTGGCTAACCAGGACGATAGTATCAGCTTCGAAGGCTTCAAGGTTTATAGGATCGATACGAGCGATCAAATTGCCGACCTAAAATCAACCTTCGCCGATTTATTTATCATAGAGCTTAACTATAATCGTCATCGTGATAGCTTAGCGACTATTGACGTTGCGGTTCCTCCAGAACACGTCGCGGTCTTCGATGCGCTCGACTTCAATACTACTATCTTGAGCAGAAATTTAGGGGCAGACATCGCAACTGAAGGTTCCTTGGGTAACTATCCAGGTTTGTGTTCAAAATCCGATTCTCTAATACGTTTCTGCTAACCGTCGACGCAGAACTTGACGACGATGGTGTCCCAGGATTGTCTTGGTTTGATTCATATCACGCCTACGAGGATCACGTTCGCTACTGGGCCGATCTCCAAGCATCGTTTGTCAACAACTCAGAGCTTATTCAAGTGGGATACTCATTTGAGGGAAGGCCAATTCAGGGGATTCATCTCGTATGCAATATTAAGAGCTCCCTCCCTTTTTTAATTTTATACTTCATCTAACCCTTTATTAAAAGAAACGCTGATTGACTTTTGATGCTATAGTGGGGTAGCAGCGGCAAGAATTCGAAGCCGGCAGTCTTCTTTAATGGGAATGTACATGCTCGTGAATGGATCACTTCAATTGTACGTCTTTGCATGTATTAACTCGACAGGTATATTGAACTACTAACACAATTTTATTCCAGGTAGTCGAGTACCTCTTGTACCAAATAGTGACTGGGTATAATAAAAAAGACACGGCGATACAAGCTGCGCTAGACAACTACGACTTTTACGTCCTACCAGTTGTAAATCCCGATGGTGAGTAACTGGGTTCAGAATAACTCCAGGAGAATATAATCCAGATCTCTAGTTAATCCCACCAAGGCTTCGTATATTCCCAGACAACCAACCGGCTCTGGAGGAAGAATCGGCAGACGAGAGACAACACGACAGCAGTCGGCACAGATATCAACCGGAACTGGTCTGTCGGATTCGGAGGCGATGGGTCTTCTTCCAACCCGAGTTCCGAGACCTTCAGCGGTTACCAGCCTGGCGACGCGCCTGAAACTGCCGCACTGATGGAATTCGCTCAGACGCTAGCTGTTGATAAAGGCATTAAATTGTACATCGACTGGCACAGCTACGCCCAGGTAATCTTGCTCTCATACGGCTACATCTGTGATAGCTTTCCAAAAAATATCGACCGTCAGATAAGTCTAGCTGGCGAGACAGCTGTCAGGATCGCACAGCCATGTATGTATATATATATATATCCCTCCAACCCAACCCCCTCCTAACATTTATGTTTATTCCATATCCCCAAATATAACCCCACGCCTTGACGGAATCAACTCGGGAACTCCTCGTCAGCTCCTTGCATCCTAACAAGATCAATATAGACAACACAACGTTCGACTATGGCCCTGGCTGTCTAGTACTGTACCAGTCAAGTGGAAATGGCAGAGACTACATGACCGACGCAGCTGGAGCAGAGTTCGGATGGGGAATTGAGCTTAGATCGACTTCTTACGGCTTCGTACTTCCTGCCGACCAGATTCTACCTAGCAGCGTGGAAATTTGGGAAGGTATGAAATATTTATGGGCGAATATGTAATAATATCATCTCATTGTAGCGATGCTACTTCTACTATCCATATCATGTACGGAGATATTTATTAGTATTACCTATTATAGGAGATGCTTGATAGGTAAGTTTTTTTTATGTTAACTAGTTGCGATATAGTCGAGATTATTGCCTTGGATTACAACACCGAATTTCCTCTATACTTACTGGTCGCAGTAATGATATGGCGTCCTACTAAATCCAGCAGCAAAGCTATAGAGCTGGGTGATAAACTTAGTTTTAATATTAAGTAGGTACTTTTACCAGCAGGACTATATAACGGGTAAACCTAAAGAACATATAGACCGCGAACCCCCCCCCCCCTATTTAAAACACTTCCGGGTATGATACAATACTATTTCCTAACAGAGGTCTCATTCCCCAACAATGACACCTTTAGTATTTGTACTTACCAAAATTTATGCGTAAAGCCTCGGTGTTTGCCATGACTTTTGTGCCCGTCGTGTGTTTCTTAGAACGCATGCGATATCTAGCATCATTCATTGCATTGACTAGTGGGTTGTTGTCATACCCCCTGAGCCCTTCCAAAGATCTGCCTTCCTTCCTGACTTCTTCCAGAGAGAAAGGTTGTGACCTATCATCACGCCCACCGCATCCGCTGGACGTGGTATTTGCCATCGCTCCGAGTGCAGTCCAGCTTAGACGCTCCCTTCGTGTTCTTAGTCGCTCGTTTGTAACGCTCTGTGCCAAGGCAGCCAGCTCTCGCATTTCACTCAGTTCGCGATCTATCTTGCATACTTGGCCGAGAATACCCTGTCGAGGATTCCCATCAGGTAGAAGAGCGTTTAAGTAATCATCTAAAGTATAATGACAACTACGAGGTAATAGGCGATATTTTGCTGAAACTGGCGTGGTGCTATGAATCGTGTACAGACTTCCTACGAAGCGACCTTCTAGTCTCTGGCGGATCCCAAGGAGCACACCGATTTGCGCAAATGGGTCGTCTGTGAACGCAAAATGGGTGACTAAAGGGAAAAGGGAAACCGATTCATCTTTAATTTGTTGATACGAGACATGTCCAAGAGGCAAGGTCATTTCTATGGATGCAGCGCCGAATGTGAACACCTGGAGCTTGCCTAGTCGATCTCCAGGAGGGAAATCGGCGCAAAGGCGGGAGAGTATCCATGAGACATCTAGAGCCCCGGTGTTATGCGCAAGGATGCGAACACCTTTCGTTTCTGGCTTCAGTAGGCTTGCTCGAACGGAGTTATAGAGGTTTACAGATCTTGTCGTAGGGATATGGAGGCTTCGTTGGAGGAATATAAGTATGATGTCGAATAAGAGGCCTAGCTCATAAGCTACAAAGATATGCATATCATGACCAAAGATTCTCGTTAGCTTTGGGGCGTCCTGGTGCATGTGCTCATCGTGCATAAAACCACCAACAACAAACCAATCGAAGCGCTGCTCTTCGCTACTTGAGATGTCATCTTCAAACCTCTCCGTGACGAATTTTGAGGACCGCGGCCCACCGTTGATATAACGGATAAGAATCCATATGGAAGCGGTTTGCAAGGCCAACCAAGGTAAAATGATTAAGCCAGGAAATACCAACCACAGTAGAGAGATAGATAGTAATAATTGTAGTTCGAGAAGAGATAGCAGGGAATAAAACGCCACCCCCCTTAACTCAGCCCAGCTTGCTTCTCGTCCGCGATTTACTATTGACGCGCTAACGGCGGAGAGAATACGCGGGATGGCAGCAGCAACATAAGGAGCGTCTGCTTTGAGTAAAGACAAGAAGGTTTGCTGGTGGCTCAACGGAGTTGTTCCTAGAGCGCTGTCTTTTAGGGCTAAAGCGAGACTCAACGACATGTTTTCCGTATGAGCACGCCGCAGCAGTTCCTGCTTTGGGACATGATATGAGGCCATGCGAGAGTTAGCCATTGGTTCATATCGCATAATTCAGCGGAGAGCTATCAATCCCATGAAGCTCAGCGCAGCTAGGACTGGATGCGTAAAGAAGAAGATACCATGTTTGGTGTTATTCCTCGATGGAATTTGTCGACAATCCAGACTAGGCCCAACATACATTCCAGCGGCACACGCGTTCACATTGAGGCCTTTGTTCCTCCAACAAAGCAAAAAAAAAAAAAAAAAAAAAAACTATCCATAGCGATATGCATCAAGTCGTGCTCCTTTCAGGAGATTCTGGTGTTGACTATTGCATCGTGCGCTAGGCGCCTGTAAGAAAACATTATAGAGTAGACTTACCAGGTAAGATGATTTCCTAGCTGGCAGCACATGCACATCGTATCCGAAGCCATTAAGGTCTATGAGATCATGTGAATGGATAGGCGATAGCGCAACGTGGCTAAACTAAACGTAAAACCCGGGATTCTGGAGGTAGGCGAGCAAGGTAGAGAAGGTGTCGAGATCTTTGTTTCTAGGTATGTAGTCATGGATCAAATATCCTCCCTTGCTTTTGCTTTTATCCTCCAGGGGCGATGTAACCCCGGCGAGTTTAAAGATAGAAATAGACAATAGATACCTATCTTTTGAAGAAGAACCTATACTTTTCTATGTCGGTCTACAAAACGTATAGACGGAGGTGTGTTCCGCTTCCGTCGAACGGATCTTGTCTCAGTCAGCCATGTCTCCGAGTTGTAGGATATAGATATTCGTAGAAGAACGGATAACATCAGGGATTGTGGATATTTGGCCATTCTGACAGCTTCTGGAACCGTGGCAGCGGAAGAAGAGAATAAGATAGAAGGGGAGTTAAGTCGTTGCGGGGATGCTTGGAGATGCTTGGAGATGCTTGGCGTGGGAGTTGATTTAGCCTACGGTTGAAGTAATCCCAGGAACTTGTGGTTTATGGTCTGTTATGGGGAACTTGGTGGTAGATCATCCTACCTTGTAGCGGACTAAGGAACCTATTGGGTCAATCCTGAGCTAAAATTAGTACACCACACGACCCTAATATACCAAACTTAATATGCCTAGGTACTGTAGGCACTGGGCTCTTTGGAAACCTCTAACCTGAGATACCCGAGTTCTAGAATGATAAGGGGTACGTATAGTTACTTGTATGGGCTAGAATTCTTGGGTGTCATCAATGTTATATAAAATTTCTACATGTGGTGTGAGATGTGTCGTGATTTCCCTTGATCTGATAGTGATACCATCATCGTACCTTCTACTTTAGACCTCCTGTCTCGAGGCTAGTATACAGACGTGAGGAAGGACCACCTGTCATTGCACATGCCGTGAATCTTGGGATGCGATTGCCTGTTTACTACTTATGGAAAGTATGTAGACCGGCAGATAACCTTAGCTAATTAACCTTTTTGTTTTTGCCTTAGCCCTCTCGTACTTTCCATCATCGTCCCATCCCATACCCCAGGCGCCTTCGGTTGAAAAGAACATAAATTCACCAGTTTCTTCTCCTCGAATTCTAACATCGTCTTCTAATCATCACATCATATCCTAAGTCACAAGCAAGAACACAAAGTTCTACCTCTGTAGACTGTGCTACACAATCACTCTGACCCTACAATCCTCAATCTCCTCGTACTACTTCTTGATAATATTAACCTCTTTCAACAAAACTCACAATGAAGTGGCCCGTCAGCCTTCTCCCTCTCGGCCTCCTTGCCACTTTCGCCTCCGCTGCCCCTCTTGTGGAGCGACAACTCGACCTCTACGAGCTCCAGATCTCTTGGTAATTGCAAGCCATTCTTTCGTACTATTGCCATGCTCCTTACCGTCGCTGACAATACCTGTAGCCCGGCTAACAAGAAAGTCGATGGCCGCTTCATTTCGCTCAAGAACAACACATTGGGTATTTTCGACGGAGACGATGTCTCCCCTGTCAAGGTGTACACCGTAGACAGCGAAAAGCAGGGCTGTAATGAGCTACACACGTACCCAGTTGGCATCGTCGACCACTCTATTGGACTCATGGGTCCGCCTGATCTGTTGACTCTTGTCGACATGATGAACCCGCAAACCGTCAAGCCTGGTGAAGGAGACATTGCCCAGTGGGATACTTTCCAGCTTGTGGATGGAAAGGTTACCAACAATGCCGAAGGACAATGGCTAGCATTTCCGAACGGCCACGATACTTGGAAGGTCAAATGGACTGATGGTAAGTAGTAAAACATACCCTAGGACTTCGATAGTTACTAACTGATGCAGGCTCGGCTGTTATCACCACCGACTTCATGATCGTTGACGTTCTACTCAAGAGTGCCGGCGAGGGTCGTAATAACGGGGACTAAACTAGTGGCCCATGTTACTGGATGAGAGCCAAGGGAAAAGAAAAAGAATAAAAATTCCGTGATGCATGAACGAGACACAAAACATGTGAAGTATTGCTATTGGACTCGCCTAATGCTGTATGGCCTAATTATCCAATCATAGGGTTGATAAAAGTTCAAGTTTGCCTTTAGTTGATCTCTCTAGTTGAAAGACTACCTACCTAATGTGCTTATTGTATTTGCTTCTTTGAATTACTGTAATATAGTATTATTAGGGTTTCCATCTTGAAGGTATTCCGTGCTGCTGTTCGGTCGAAATAGTCTTGATATCAACTTCATCGTCAATAGCATATTGGGTGCCGACCTCTTGATAACGTTACTTGGCAGTTTCTCCAACTATGGAAGATTAGGTACTTTAATAAGACAGCATTGAGGAATATGTATGTTACTGCGGTTCTACATATACTATTTTATAACAATCATCGAAAAAAAGGTTCATAGCTCTACCAATTTATTAAAGAGCTGTTTCTTACTCCTAGTTCACTATGTGTATATGTGGATATTATCGAATGAATAGAAGTAATAAAACTGTTGACTAGTGTGCTCTAAATAAATGCACTGATGTGATATTTAAGCTTCTCATCTATTCCTTTAGTCGACTATTTGAAAGGGGGCTTCGATTCTGCATGATATAATACCTATGGGTCATGTTAAACAGCCTCAAACACTTCTCATCCTGAAAATCACGCAATGTGGCTTATGCATAGGTATGCATACGCAGGCAGCAGAATAAACCGATTGGGTTCTTATATACGGATCAGAGCAGGTAACAATCGTAGGTAGTTTTATACGTAGGGCTGAACTATTCGCTCTTCTAATTTGCGGGCTCGGATTTGATCCCCACTTGTACAATCCTTGGGCCTGCATTTCCAGCTGCGCCCCCTGACCCCTGACCCCTGACCCCTGACCCCTTACCCCCTGAGCTTCGACTACCTATGTTAGGTAGGTTAAGAAATTGATGGATTTATCATTGCTTAACGACGATATCAATCCAAATACCTCTCACGTCTATTTATCTATTTAAGCGGGACTTCACTTAGATTATCACAGGCTCGATCGGATCGAGCCCCGTTTACAACTCTAGTCTCGACGTAGCTGTTGACACTACTATGGCTCGTAAAGGTAGCACCAAAGTTAGGACGGGTTGTTTAACATGCAAGTACGTTGATCTCGAATGTAACGATATTAGCAAAATATAAAAAGAAAAGACCGGGAAGCTAATAAGAAAAGAATCCGCAAAGTAAAATGCGACGAAGGCAAGCCGCACTGCCAGCGCTGTGTGTCTACTGGCCGAAAGTGTGACGGATATGTACAGGCTACAACCTCTTCGGACCTCACATGGCACCGCCCGCGTCATTTATTCCCAGGAATCGACAATGTAGACGAGAGGAGAGCGCGTACGTAACATTGAACGTCCCTTTACCCCCGCTGACCTTTATTATCATGGGTCAGGACTCCCTAGTGGGATGAACCGAGGGTCACTGGCTCAGACCCTGCTTAATTTTCATGAATGGTTTATAGAAGTACGAAGTAAATACTAACACTTATGTCAAGTACAATTCTTCTGCCAGGCTGCCGGGCCCTCTCTATCGGGGCCGATGGACCCTTACTTCTGGACCCATCTGGTAATGCAATTCAGCAATTTCGAGCCCGCTGTCAGGCATTCCGTAGTGGCAATTAGTTCGCTTTACGAGTGCATGCAAACCCGTTCACAGTCTGCCCAGCGGCTGGTCGACAACAGGTTTGCACTTAGCCACTATAATTCGGCGATCCGAGAGTTGAAGTCTATGAACAGCGAGCCCTTAGTGTTATTAGTGTGTATCTTGTTTGTATGCATCGAGTTTTTACAAGATAACCAAGGGGCAGCTATACAACATTGCAAACATGGAGTCTCTATCCTAAAGGATGCCGAGGCTGCCTTTCCTTGGACTAAAGAGTATCTCGCTCCAATATTTCGGCGGCTAACCATCTTCCCCTTCTTCTTCGCGCTAGATGAAACAAGCTTTCCTGAACTTATCAATCTAGAGGACCAGGTTCCAGAATCCTTCTTTTCCTTTGAAGAGGCGCAATACTTCATCGACGGAATCTTACTTAGAACTATTCGCCTCGTTCGAAGCGGAGATTGTCACCGGCTTGGGAATATGCGACACTGCCATGTAAGCCCAGCTCTCCTAGCAGAGCAGGATAAGACCCGAGTTTTGCTAGACAGCTGGAACAGTCGCTTCTCGGATCTGCAAAACCGTCCTTCGACACCTACAAGGCCGGAGGAGATGCTCTGTAGCATCTTTCTGCGGTACGAGGTTGCTCGAGTATGGGTAGAAACAGCGTTCGAATACGACGAGACGACATACGACAAGTATATTGATAGATTCCGCCTGATGGTCGCTACGGCAGCTAAACTATACCCTTCGAAGGCGCTTAAACCCGACAATCTACGCGGCACCCGGAAATTCATCTTTGAAATGGGATTTGTACCACTGCTTTACTATATCGTGATGAAATGCCGATGCCTAAAGACTAGGATCGAAGCGCTCTCCTTAATGAAAAAGCTAGGAGCCGCCAGGGAAAACCTCTGGGAAGTCTCTACAATGCATGCAGTTGGCCGTCGCATTGTTGAGATTGAACACGACGTTCTGCTAGATGAGAAAGACAACCCGTTTACAACGCCCTTTTGGCCTGGTTTACCCCCTGATGAGATGAGAGTACGAGATTCTACCACAAGGCCTGCGCTTAGTGTACAGGTCGACTCACGGGACCAGGAGGTTCGAGGGAGGATGGCTGGCTTCTATAGGAGGACCATCGAAGGCGATATATATCTTCAAACAGATTTCGTTGCTGAGATAATATGATACTTGGGATGGGTTTTCTTGGAAGAGACCAATGCGAATCTGAGATTTGGGTTAGATCGAAGATATAGTAACTACCTACTTAGAATAGAATTGCCTAAAATTAACTTGGCTACCTGGGAATAAACTGTTTACGATTAATCTAACGTCTAAGATTTGTGCATATGTACCTACGATCAATTGCCTGTTTTCGAGCTACAACTGGTGGAACTTTGAGTATCTGCCTGGCTGGGGCGGAGCTGTGTATTAATGGAACGCTTCCAAAACACTGATTGGCCAGCTCGGACTATGTAGCAGCCCTGGATTCAGCCATAGATCCTTGCCAGAGCCTACAGCATTGTATGATAGATTGTGATAGGTACGAAGCTATGTTTGGGTTTGTTGGCATACAGGAGCATATAAGAGTTGGGGGGAGGCCGTAGCCTACATCGTCTAAATAGAACAGACATTTTTCAACATTATCAAGCACTCTTGGAGTCTGATTTGGTCACTGTTATTGTTGCTGTTCGATACGATCCCCTTGCTAGCACAACAATAGGCAACCGATTCCAATGGCTACACTGACGCTCATGGCATCTGAAGGGCCTACCCATACTACACAGGTAGCAATCAGACAAGCAACACATATCGTGACGGACGCCCCAGCAAATACGGGGGTATATTTTTTAACTACGCAACATGCTACGATAGACGGGTTTACCAACGCTCACGCTACCGTACCGGCGAAGACAATCGACATCGTAATCCCGACATGTATTCAGACAATAGAGCCAGACGCGAACGGATACCTGCCCCCAGGAACATGCAATGCTCTTTGGAGCTACTACCCGAGCTTCTCGGCCGCAATGGTCTTCGCCATTATTTCTGGGCTTCTCACTCTCGCCCACTTATACCAAGCAATAGCCCATAGGAAGGTAACTAGATCCCGGGGGCTGCTTGATACCGAATGACACTAATACGACCTGATAGAAATTCTGCTGGGTCATTGTCATGGCTAGTTTTTGGGAAACGATGGCTTACCTATTTCGTACTGTCAGCACTCGCTACCAGCAAAGTTCTGGTATATATCTTGTGTTCCAGATCTTCATTTTGCTCTCGCCGCTGTGTAAGTAGACGCATAACTAAAATATCTAAGTGAGCTCTGCTCTGCTCTGCTCTGCTCTGCTCTGCTCTGCTCTGCTCTGCTCTGCTCTGCTCTGCTCTGCTTCTAACACGCTGTAACAGGGGTAAACGCATTCGACTATATGGTTCTTGGTCGAATGATATACTATTTCGTCCCTTCGCGGCAGATATTCAACATACCAGCACAAGCAATAGCTGCAGGCTTTGTCACATTTGGTAAGGACTTCTCTCGCTTTTAAGAGCCGTTGCATATTCGGTGTGCTTGGCCATTGGAAAAAAGATTTCATGTTAATCGCAGAAAAAAAACGCTAGACTTTGTTGCGTTCGTCATCCAACTCGTAGGTGGCTCAATGGCTGGCCCAACGGCACCACTAGAGGATCAGTTAAAGGCCATCCGTATTTATATGGGAGGTATCGGCTTGCAGCAGTTCTTTATATTTATATTTGTTGCGTTTGCAGTTGGGTTCCAGCTGGAAATGCGTAACGTGAAAACTCCCGAAGCGACAACAACTGGGAAATTAAGCTGGCGTCCTTTATTATTTACGCTATATGCTACGTTAACCTGCATCACGGTAAGTATTCGGCATAAGTGTCGTTTATAATTATTGCTAATGAGTTCACGAAGATTCGTATCGTGTTTCGACTGGTCGAGTTCTCGTCCGGCTCGACTGGCGTATCGAACCCCTTGGTGACCAACGAAACTTACTTCTATGTGCTCGAGGCTGCTCCCATGATGTTAGCTATTCTCGGCTTTAACATCATACATCCGGGAAAGGTTCTCGTAGGATCTCAGTCCGAGATGCCTGGGTTTTTTGCGACCTGCATGGGTTTATTTCGGAAGAGGAAAGAAAGAGGGCAATTCAGAAAGCTTGAAGGATCTGAAAACGAAGAGATGGACAATCTGCGGCCATGATAGGTTGGCCAATCAAGCCCTTCCTAAGCCATATCAGGCTCGTCTAATGAGATGACGCTGTCCGATTCGCGGAGTAGTCTGTCGGATAACCCCAACTATCCGTGTAGCCTAGACATGCATACGCATTATGAAGGATCGGGAATATATTCAGAATAGCACTTATCCCCCCGACGATCTCTAGGTGTCACCTTGGGGTACTCTACCTGAACCCCTCACCGTATTTTGCTCCTGGATCTTGTCTTTACTTCGCCCGTCACAACGGCTCATATATCATATATCTCGGATAAACTTGATCGTACCTAATACAAGAACACATATCCAAAGTAATTAAGCACTTACAAGAGCCTCATCTCATATCCATACAAAATGACCACAGGCTCTAGTGCCTCAGACAAACCGGCGAAGCCGTCTCCTCAACTTTCCACTGATCTTCCGAGTACTACCACGTACCTGACAGGTCACAATGACGAGGGAAAGGCAACTGTTCAATCGTCGCGGCCGGCAGCATGGAAGGCTTTCGAAGGGGGTATCAGTATGTTTTTGCTTTAACGACATCCCTCCCTTTAGATTCAGACCGTAAATTGCCTCCGTTGTCCCGGCTCCGAATTCTCGAATGGAGATAATCTCGGGCTTCGAGTCCCTCGTCGAGCTCCTGTATGTCACATATTCTAACCTACGCCGTTATCTGTTATAGTGGGTTTCAACCAGATTTATACCAACAAATTTCTGCCCGATTTGAACGACGATGCCGATATAAAATTCCACGACGAGATAATCGCGGGGGGAAACCTCGGATTAGCTACTAAAGGCGGGACCGTCTGCCGCATGGTCGATTTCGGGCCGCAGTATGAGTGTATGATGCACAGAACCAAGTCGCTGGACTTTGGTATATTGATCGAGGGAGAACTGGAATTGAAACTAGACGACGGCAGTATTACGAATATGAAGCGCGGTGATATAGCAGTCCAGCGAGCAACGATGCACTCCTGGCGCAATCCGAGCACCACCAACTGGGCTCGTATGGTGTTTGTGCTTCAGGATACGCAGCCATTGTTTATTGGGGGGAAGAAATTTGGAGAAGACTACGGCAGAGGTACTAAAGACCTTCCGCCGAGTGGGAACGACGATGAATGAAGCGGATGATGTCTCCTGCTAGAAGCGAGAAGATGAGGTTTGGTAGTTAGTATATCTTATATTATGTACTCACGAATAGATGTAGGTTAGATGGTTGATATATTGGAAATTTCGCAAAGAATGTGTTGGTGAGGTGTGTAATTGTATGTAATTCCCACCCCACGTACGCCATTGGTCAATCACATGAAAATCGACAGCGGAACGGTCAAACTTTCAATCGCTACCCCGCCGACGGGTACTTAATCGTAGTATCGATTAAACGTTAGGTTAGGTAGGTACATCCCGGCTTGCTATATGGTTAAGTAGGTAGGTACCTAGGTTTAGGTACTGCAAGGAAGCTGCGGGCTCCTGCAAGCTCTAAAGTTGTTATGTTATCCATCAGTCGATTTTTACCTATTGCGAACCTCAAAAATTTATCGGCGACCTATGATAAATGTGACGGCTTGAAGAATACACGCCACTCCGCCTTGACAAACACCATAAGAAGTTACTGAACGAAGTTAATCCCGATTAAATACGCCTCCACAAATACGCATACAAAATTATGGCTATAAACTACAGCCCGCGGAGTGTCGCCGACGCTACGCGATTTACATCCAATACCCCCCATGCGAATGCGAAAGCCGCATCCCGCTCTCCCCCGTCGTCAAGCAGCTCTTCCCCCTCCACTACCTCATCACAGCCAACCCAGAGAAGTATGCCGCCGCCCGGCATGCCCAGGCCTTCGGCGCCCGAGACCATGGAAGAGCGCGTACGTCGGTTGCGGGCCGCACACCTCGCGGCGAGGAAGCATGAGACATCGCGGTTTGACCGTGTTGTCGGCGTATCCAGGAGGTACTTTGATGCCGCTCACAAGTTCACTGTTCTGGGCTTAATCGGATTTAGCGGTAATGCTCCCTTTTAAAATTGCATCATGATTATGGTTCTATGTAAAAGAGGACATACATTCTCTGGTTTTTCGTGCCCTGTTCTAATTGATATATGCTTGAATAGGCCTTGCACTCTTCGTCACAGTCTACGCAACAGCCGATATGATGGTATACAATCACAAGCGCCGGAACGAGTTTTTCTCACTCCGGAAGCAACTTAAGACCGACAGTCTGGAAGCTGCACGGTTGGCGTACATGACGGGCACAGCATCCGAGGAACAAATTACGCTTGTAGAGGAAGCCGAGGAAAAAGCCAGACAGTCGGGCATAAGCCTACCGCCCTTACTGTCTTCGCCAAAGCCAATTGCTTCGGAAGCGGGCGCAATTGAGAGCATGGAAAGAAGCGCCTGGCCGGGAGAGTCTATGGTCGAGAGTAGTGGGTCCGCTGCGAACGAGGTAGAGAAGCCTAAGAAGAAGGGCTTCACTTCGTGGTTATTCGGGGGGCTAAAGAATGAAGAGGCTGGCGAGGAGCCCTTACAATTCGACAAAGAAGCCGCGGCAGCTTCGGGTCTACCTTCGCGATCGAGTATCGCCAATGCGGTTGACGGGTCGCAACAGGCGTTAAAGGACAAGGCGAAGGCAGCATTCGACCAGGAGCGGGAGAATCAAAGGAATGGAGGGCCTCTAGACCAGGTCGGTTCGAGCGGGAAGTTGACTAGTAATGAAACCAAGAAGAGCGGGTGGCAGTAGTGAGGTTGATAAAAACTACTACCATAGTCTTCAAGATCTTCAACGATGTAGGACCGGCGAAGTTAAGAGGACGGTGGCAATTGCTATATAAGCCAACCGGCTGCAATACTCCGCTGTATATAGGTTACTAACGACGTTTATATCGGATATGGCATGAGTTTGGTATACTCGTTGATGAAAAGAATATCGGTGTATCATTACCGTATGAAAAGGACAGAGCATTACACTGGGCGTACCGGACGATAAATGAATATTCTGCTGTATAATTCCTAGGGGTTTTTTTTTTTTTTTTGGATCAGGTTATATGTTGAACGCCGTCATATTAAATTTAAAGGCGCAACAATATGTAAACCCACCACTGACCATATGCCTATTCTATACTCCTTAACAGCCCATTTTCGGATTCACCTTTTAAAGGCTTTTATCTCGAACGACTACTTTGCCTCCCATTTGTCCGACAACTCCACCCAAGCTAATGCTCTCGGTACAGAGGATATTCACTATTTGAACCATCCCTCAACTTAGTTCAGCTTTTTTTTTTTGCCTTTGGACGCCAATGACACCATGATTTCTCAAACGCAAGAAATAGAAAAGGGGGAAGCAGAGAGAAGGGAAATTATAGACTTGGTGTAAAGATCCCATATCCCCCTAGCTTCTGATTTATCCTCGAATGAATGCACACATATCCCCTTGAGGCCAATAACCAATGACCAATGACCAAATGCAATAACGACCGTAAAATTGGGTATTGGCGTAATGAACGAATGTCATATGCAGGTAACAAGAAAACCAGGGTAATCATGGACAAAATAATCATGGACGAAATTATGACACAAAAAATTGCCACGTGGGTTCACTATAGTGTAATGTCTGTGTCTGAGGCAGAACATCTTGAAATACAACAAGAAAAAAGCCATACTACCGAGCTCCAAGGTAATCCACGTATCATTACCGTTTCTACTACCGTAATAGTAGGATCTAAGGAAAGAACTTGGGGACCTGCTTCGCCCTTATAAGTTTGTCAAGCCCAAGCTACTGATGTTAAACAGCGTTTGAACAGGCCTGGTGCTTCTCATAGAGAAAAGGATAACTGTCGAAACCTCGGGTGTATCTACTACAACCAGAGCGTTGCCTGGGATATGGCCCACGTATTTTTCGCAGGTAGTCGAAAAAAAAAGACATTTGAGCACGTCTTCATATGTCATTTATCCTTGCTCGTCTCCTTTTGGGAACGTTCATGTTAAGGTAACATCTCGTCTTCGGCAAACCTTATCATAGGTACCCTCAAGCTAGGTACGTAGCTTCATGATAACCCTATGCTAGCTATGCTAGGAGATAATGATGTGATTAAAGTGACCCGGAATCTTCATGCGGCACTTCTCGCAGTCAGCTCGGTAACCTATACTGAATGACTTCTTCATGCCGGGTTGGAGTGTCCAGTTATTGACGGTATGTTTGCTACGTGAATGGCCAAACTTGCCTCTTGGCGACGGTGTAGCTGGCGCCGAGGAGGGTGACGATGCGGGATCCGTATCCATCATACCGGCATCGTTGTCGACGACTTGGGGGATGGTCTGGATATTGGGGTGGAGAGCCATGGCGTGAGGGTTTGTAGAATGAGGCATATGAGGTAAGTAAGGTCTCTGGGGCTGAGACGTTGTAGAGTCCAGCACCATACCTGGGCTTACTGGCGTATCTTCGCCGCCACTCTCACTAATAGGAGACGGGAGACGCCGGGTTTGGACCATGGACCATTCAATAGCACCACCTAGAGATCTTGGTACCGAAGATTCGTCATGTTTCGTAGGGAACGGCTGAGCGTGCGCAAAATCGCATTCATTATCCGGTACCATAGCATTGCTCGACCGGTTTGTTGCATGCGCCGTCTGGTTCATCGGGCCCCAGCTCTGTCCTCGCACTTGCGCTGCAAAAGTACAATGTATAGGGGTGGGTAACCGTCCGGTAATGCTGGCGTTGAGGGAGTCCGCTTGAGACGGGCCAGGTTGGAAAGGTTCGGACGAATCCATCATCATGTCCATGTCCCTATCAATGTCCATGGGTGGATTTGATTGTTGCCGATGTTGCATATCTTCCGAGTCGGAATCGGTCGGTGTGATGGTGGAAGGGAGAATTGTTGCTGCGGTTGCTGCGGCCGCCGGAAAGCCCGGTGGCCCTGACCATCGTTTCTGTGTTGGAGAGGTGCGTAGAGGAAGAGACTGTAGACGTTTCTATTCGTAAAGGTTAGGTTAGCCGTGACTCGTTGGGCTGTGCGAACAAGATCATAGTGTCGCATGGGTTGCCATTGATAGTCGCGAGTGGTATATGAATCAACATTGTTAATACTAACATTGCGATGCTCGGTAAAGCCTAAAGTCCCATTCATACCGCCCCCCATGTTGACCTGTGTACTGTTATATTGCTCCTCATCTTCCCTCTGGCGTTTCCGCGGAAGCTCCTGCCAGTGAGGATCAAACATGTTTATTATCGGAGATAACTTGGTGGTGAAGATGCCGAAGAAGAGAAATCAAGACTGAAACGTAAGGAAGATCGAACTATGCTCGAAAGTGGTCGCCAATTAAAGGTAGGAATGATGATAATATCAAATTGTAAAAGAGGCCAGAACTAGCAGGCCGAGGGGCATTATATGTCAATTGTACGATATGCCGCAGTGCCAGGCTTCAGCGGGGAGAGGGGGGGGGATGACGGAGGTGGGAATAGGAATGGGGAATCGAGACTGGAATCTTGGTTCGTGGCTGGCTCCCAGACCGACGGTGGTCTTTCAGTTGTTGATCAACCGTTTATGGCGTTTACGGGGGAAGAATAGCCAAATGGTTGGTAGTTTTCTTCTCGGAACGAATCCCCAAATGGCAGATTATACATATAAACAAAACGCCCGAAGCACATGCTCGAAAATCAAAAGAAAGGAGAAAGAAGTTAGAAAAGATGTAAGAAGGCACCTACAATAATTCGCAGGTGACGGTGCCTGCCTCAGCCCCAAGTTTCCGCCAGTCCCAAAGCACCTGACGATTGTGGGGATCTAAGTCTAACGTTCTTGCTCTTGCCCTGCTCTTGCAGGGGGCGTCCTTTGTAGTGGATCATCACATCAGGGACGCCAGCCTTGTGAGGTATGTATTCTGTGCGTAAGTCATCTACTTAGGTATTGTACATCATATGCTTGTACCTACCTCAGTTTAGTACGCCCGTACTCAGACACCCAGGTACCTAACCGCGTGCATAAAACATGTACGCAATTTGCACAATATATTATTATGCAAGACCCATAAATTCCGTCGGTGGGACCGTCTACATAACTTGGCATTCATAGATCAGGTAGCACAAGTAACACAAGACATACCTAGGTAGTTAACACAACAAGAATTGTACTTTAGTTAGGTATGTACAAGTGCACATGTGCCTTACCAACTTCTCAACACCAATGCTCTTTATTTCCTTCCTCTTTCTTTCTTCTTGCGTTAAATCAACTTAATTCCAACTTACATATAAATTCTATTGTTTTCTCTGTATAGTTCAATAATTTAAATAAATCATGATATGGAAGTGGCGTAGATCCGTCCAGTCGCTTCGTTTCGGATACCCCTAACCTAGATGTCTCTAACTGTCTGAGAACTCTCTGGCTAGTCCGGCTGTCTTGGTAGGCGTCTAGCAAGGGCACGAGATAGAATTCCACCGGCGGTCTTTTATGTTCCTACGACTGGAGAGACATCAGATTCGTACCCTGATCTTGAACGGGTGGTTGCATCGATGAGATACAAGGCATGTTTCACGATCGATGCCACCGCAGCCAAACAGGTATGTATTCAGCGGCTGCCCCGCTTTGATAGCAGTCCGGGCCGGATATCGTCGCCTGAGTTTCGGTATCGCGGGTGGTTCCGTTCGATTCCAATCCAGTGGTCTGGACTACTTACCATATAATGAAAAATACTGTTTAACGTGGTATCCCGATCTTGCAGGCCAGTCTAGAGTAGTAAAGTTATTATAGCACTCTGGCGTTTTGTTGCTATCCCTATACCTATAAGGGAGTCTAGAAACTTACCCATCTCATCACGTTATTTTCAGTGTGCTGTGAAAATCAACAGGTGCAGGTGGTGGGGTTGGTAAAGCGTGCCAGATAACAATGTCCAGTAGTCTCTCGGCCTCATCCTCCTCGCTCCATTCAACTTGTTCCTGTGGGCTCGGATACTTCAGTCTCCTTTCCGAGCTCGCATCACCTTCTTCTCTTAGAGTCCAGTTTAGCCAGGCACCGACGATGAGGCAACATGGATAAAATAGAGTCACGAAACCTGTCAAAATCATGATATAAAACATCACATAGGAGATGGCCACTAAGACCCATTTGCTGATTAAAGAAAGCCCCTCGTACGGCATATTATTACCTAGCGAAATTAGCTATTTCTAGGGATTATGTATAACCAGTCCGGTTTACTATGGATAATCTAGTGTCTTGAAGAAGTCAGCTTTGTGGGCAAGTATACCACTTATGTACCTAGGTATGTTTCGGTAAGTTAAATCTCTATATCGCTACAAAGCAATTGTATTCATGTACAGCAACGTACGAGGACTATCAAATACTAGTTAATTCAATCATTCAAAGAACGTGTACTTTACTTGGTAAGTAATGTTTTCCCTTCACACGATCTGGGATCCGTAGTCTTCATTGCATGTTATTATTCGTCATCAGATATACCTTTTATACCTTTTGGCAGGTTACTAACAGCAACCGACGTAGCGAGTTGAGTAATTACCAATTATCCGAGTGGTCAATACTTAGATGATTCGTTCGAGTCTGTTTCCTCTGTTTCTATTGCACTGGTAAACATAGAGCTGGAATGATTTGTGGATTCAGGACATCCCATATAATAACCCCGAGCTAGTTAGGGCTGACTGCTTACACGGCAGTAGCGTTACCCCCAAAAATATCCAGAGGGAATTGATCGGCGATTGCCTGGTATCCAGCAACGTTGGGGTGTAAATGGTCGCCGCCATCGTACTGAGAAGCCAGGTTAGCGGCGTTGGTGGGGTTAGCCACGATCTTAGCAAAGTCGATCGAAGCATCAAAACTGCCATCTCCACCTCCTAGAATCCATTTATTCACCGTCTGCCTCGTTTGATCCCTCGTTGGGTTACTGTAGCTCTGTCCGTTTCCGCCGAATGGTGTGATTGTTGCCCCAAAGACAGTCAAGCCGGCTGCCTTCGCATCCTTGGCAATTGTCGTGAAGGACGATGTTAGACTACTTCCGATACGCGATTGTGTTCCCGAGTCCGTAGATCCTCCTCCGATGTCGTTTACACCTTCGAAAATGAGAGCATATTTAACGCCGGCAGTTGTGAGCAGATCACGCTTGTAACGCTGCATGAGCGGTGGACCAAGACCACCAGTAAGAACGGTATTACCGCCTGCTGCTTGGTTGCACACGGCGACGTTGGTGATTCCTTCTTTCTGCATCCGAGCTAGAAGTAGGTCAGGCCAGCTGGGAGTATTTGTTAGCGAGATTCTTAGCTATAATAAAGATACTAACTATACCGGTTGTTGGCATTATCAGTGCTTCCTCGCCCATCCGTGATACTATCGCCGAGAATCACCAGAGCGGCGGTCGTCTTTGGGGCCCAGGCTTCGACAGCAGTGAGAAAATACCAGTGCGCCGTGCTCGCTCCCGTCACAGTCGAGGCATTAAGGTGATTACCCTGCTGCATCCAAGATGTCGTTCGACTGCCTGGGTGCCCAGTAATGCTACTTCCAGATTGGCCAGGTTGTGAATAGAGACTGATAGTAATCATGGCTTGCGGGTCAACTTTGAAGTCTACAGGGTCAGTGTAGGCAACCTGACCCTTCGGGATCGTGACCGAGCTAGAACCATTAAAAGTAAGACCCTTCAATGTTGCCGTATCGATTCCATTCACGCCCGCTTTGCCTCCTGTTGGAAGGGCTATAGATGCTTCTGTAATGGGAAGGTCACTGCCACCAAAAGTATTGGAGATCTGGAAGCGAAGCCTTTCTGCACCTATAGACAGGTGAAGCGTCTGGCGAAGAGTAGCATCCTTAAACGCGGCCGAGCCCGACTAAACTCGCGGTTAGATGGCTAATGCGCGACTCGATGAATAAGAAGAGTAGAACATACGAATGGGGATGGCGGCATGTTATTAGGTTCCACCAGCTGCGGCATTGAGGTCCATGTTGCTACCCAGTGAGAATCTTCATCCTGTCGGGGGATATTATAAGTAGGGCGTGCACCAATACACACCGCCCACCATAGTAACCAAGTGGTGAGTATTGAGAATCTGAGGCTGAGGCTGAGGCTTCTCAGCATACTTGAAGATGATACGGATGTCATATTGGCGACAAATAATAAGGAGACAAGCGCCAAGGCACAAGAGAGATCTCTAATATCTCCATGGCGGTAGCTTTGATACTTATTACCACAAGGGCAAAATGTAGCCGAGGTTTAAAGCGACGGACAATATACCTCCGCCGTTATTCTGCCTTGTTTTACCTTCTTTTGCCATGTTGCCATATTGCTATTTAGCCGTAGGGCTGGTTTTTGAACATTTAATCTAAGACAACCTAGCTTATATTTGAAATATATGGCAGATTGGTAGGAAAAGGAAAAGAAGGCTGAAGTTAAAAGAAAGTCCAATGGAATGTAATATTACGAAATGAAAAAGCACGTAATACATGATAAAACAATCATTTAAGATATGTGACAATATAGGATATAAGCAAACATCGGAGGATACGAACTCTCATACTGAGTTCAATTCTTGAATGTTCATACGTGAGTTCCAACTTGAGACCTTAGTGGACAGGTTATGAACATGAGCAACCAGTGGTATGCCAGCAGGACTCCACGAGCTCTTACGAAGGCGGTGTGGTAAGAGTTTCGTAACTATTGGTGTGGCATCAGTGCGTCCATCTTACGATTTCAAAGGAACGAAGAACAAGCCGCGAGGGGACCAGAAAGAAAAAAAAATGTTTTCGGAATAAGGATGGAGTATGGAGCACATGTATGGGGTTAGTACGAAGTACTACCTTAGGTACATGTCCGTATGTACGTAATACCCAATTGAGGATAAGTGATAAGTAATGTATAGGGTAGTACCCCTCCATTCGTAAAACACCCCACCTTCACCCAACGAACATTGGGACAATAAAATATTGCAACTACATACGTAGCTAGTTTAGTACCTTGGACCTACCTTACACATGTGTTGTGCTACCTTTGGCATTGTACCTAACTTATTGGTCAAGAACTTCAACTTACCTACCTATTTTTACACCAGCTCACCAATAAAGTTGACCAATTCGACTGTCTGGTTTTAATACTTACTAGATTTTCTAAAGAGTCTTTGGAAATTGGGACCTATATAAGAGACTGGAACGAGGAATTAAAGTATTAAGAGAAATATTTGCATCTCTCTTATTATCAAATTTTCTCCGTCCTTTTTTAAAGAGTCTGACTCACCTCAAATCGACGGCTCTTATATCGCACACCACGCATCTATCCGCTGCTCGCATTGTCCGTAGCAAACAGTTATTATTGCGTCCCTCGACCCTTGGGTGCTTACTTATTTACCATCCCACCAATCGAGTCTTCTTACATACTCCCAAGTACTTTGCTCACCCATCCATTACGATGCCAGGTGTCGATATGGCGCCCCTTGTGGCCGACGACATGAGAGGTATGTTAGACAATAAGCAAACACCAATCTACATTTTACTAGATTCGTGTCATTGCACCCCGTTCCGTTTCCTCTCGTCGCTCTTATATTCAGATCTCGAGTTCCTCATTCGCGTACAACTCGAGAGCACCCGTCCCCCCTTTACTGAGTCATTCGTACTCGAATATTGTTTGTGTCACAGACGAGGAAAAAAGAGACAGGATGCTGATTTACTTGGAAACTGCAGTCATAGGACAGGACCCTCTCATCCCGCCAGCATTGCTCATCTCTGAGATCCCCATGACCGATGCTTCGTTGCAGACGGTCGTTAAGGGTCGAAGAGATGCAGTTTCTATCATCATGGGCCGCAATGACCGCCTCTTGGTTGTTGTTGGACCCTGCTCTATTCACGATCCGGCTATGGCGCACGACTATGCTCAGCGTCTTAAGAAGCTTTCCGAGAAGCTGTCAGACGATTTATGCATCATCATGCGTGCCTACCTCGAGAAGCCGCGGACTACCGTAGGCTGGAAGGGTCTCATTAATGATCCCGATATCGACAACAGCTTCAAGATCAATAAGGGCCTTCGTATGTCACGACAGATGTTCAGCGATCTAACTAACGCAGGCGTACCGATTGCTAGCGAGATGCTAGATACCATCTCACCCCAGTTCTTGGCCGACTTCATCTCTGTTGGTGCCATTGGTGCTCGTACCACCGAGTCACAGCTACACCGTGAACTAGCGTCTGGTCTCTCATTCCCCATTGGCTTCAAAAACGGCACTGACGGCAACTTAAATGTTGCTATCGATGCTATTGGAGCGGCGGCTTCTAAGCATCATTTCATGGGTGTCACCAAACAGGGTCTAGCAGCCATCACACGAACCAAGGGGAACGAGCATGGCTTCGTCATTCTTAGGGGTGGTAGCAGGGGTACCAACTATGACAAGGAGAGCATCCAAAATGCTAAGGAAACGTTGATCAAGAAGGGACAGAAGTTGGCTATAATGGTTGACTGCTCGCACGGTGAATTACATTCGTACCATGAGACGCCTAGTTCTAAGCTAATAAATGAATAGGAAACTCGAATAAGGATCACCGAAACCAGCCCAAGGTTGCTAAGGTAATTGGTGACCAATTGAGAGAAGGTGAAAAGGCCATCGTTGGTGTCATGATCGAGTCCAATATCAATGAGGGCAATCAGAAAGTCCCGGCGGAGGGACCGTCAGGATTGAAGAAGGGTGTAAGCATCACCGATGCCTGCATTGATTGGGATAGCACCGTCGAAGTCCTCGAAGATCTCGCAGCTGCAGTCCGGGCTCGGAGAGAGAAGAATGGCGTGCCGAATGCCAACGGTAGCGAACAAGACCCCAAGACTACTCTCATTGAAGAGGAATAAACCCCCAGATGGGAGCACACGATCTATGAACAGGATTGATTTCGGGCGCATCAAAAGGTGGCATTTAGCTTCAAGTAAAATTAGTTGTGGGCAAAAGAAGCAGCTCCAACCTATATGTGAGTATTGATGGCTGTCGTGGAGGTAGGTATCCGGAAAACTCAACTCAACGATCTAGGAACTTGATTGGGAAAGCTCACACAAAAGGCTAGACGTTAGTATAATTTATAGATGATCACAAAATTAGACAAACACGTTTAATTTCTCCTCGCTCGTCAGATCACACTTAGCTTGCAGTATAGCATTGACTTCAACGTGTACACCGATGTACCTAGATATGAGAATCGTAGTATCTCTCTGTATGACTCCTCTGGAGCCTCCCTAAACGCTGTTTGCAATGTCGAAGTCTCGATATTTTAGACCAAAATTCATTCACGGGATATCAACCATGCTCTTGATTTTCACCTATTTAGCCCTTGCGTATCGTTATTGCCAACAGGCATATATGCACCCCTACCCTGGGCAGATGCTCGCCCACCTCTACTCCCTATGCCAGAGCCTCCCAATCCTAGAGCGGCAGCTTTCCTCCCTTCGCGGAACTCGACAACTCTTTTAGCAGCAGCCCAACCCAGCAGACTAATGGTACCCAGTATAAAACCCCAGACGATGATCTGGTCCTTGCGGCTATCGCGCTGGAAGCAGGTGGTGATAACGTCGGTCTCCTCGGCATCCTTGCAGATAGGGAGGTGTTGCGAAAGGCAAAAAGCTCGGGTACATTGGGTGCAGGACGCTGATGCGGCGCGCTTTTGGAGTTGTGGTGACGCCGGGTGTTCAGGATTGCCGAAGGATGAGTCGCCTTGCGGACCGAGTTGTATTAAGGTGCTATTCTTAAAACATGTGCATTTACAGAATGTCGGCGCGGCTGTGGTCAAGACGTACAAATCAGCAATAGCATGTGTATATCAAGCTAGGCTAGCTTACAGGAGGCGGCGATATAGGAGATGAAGGACCCTATGAAAAGGATTAAGAGATGAAGTCGCATCGTGTCGCGATCATTGACTGTCCATGTATATCTGATGTCGCGGCTTATGGAGTTGCTTACGTATAACTATCACTAATACCTTAAACTAATAACTAACAAGGTGAGTTGCGATTGATGATGATTGATGCGAGCAACGACACTAGGAACACTGGGAACAGAGCACATGCTTGCGCCGATAAGGCGGTTGTTAGATAACCGATAACCTCAAGTACGGATTACCTAAGGTACATCGGATGTACCTAAAGAGCTGCCAGGGTATGCAATGTACCTGTGGCTTGAGTCTCGACAGAGCCCCACGAAAGTGTACATCGGTACTTGGGAATTTTGCAGCTTAAGCATCGCGAACCGAAAAAAGTTCACAGCTCCTATCAAACATCCGAAGTCGACTTACGAATTAGATATCCTCTAATCCGGACAACTTCACCACAGATTCGCCAATTAGTCACAATGCGGCGGATACCACGATTGAGACGGCCATCCAGCCTGTCTACCTCGGCGCCATGCTCTTCAATCACTCCTCTAGTTGGCCAATCTGCGCCGGTATCCCAGACTATCTCGACCTCGTGCTGCCGGCCCATACCGACGACCTTCCAAAGTTCTTTATCCCTCCGGTTCTACTCATCCGATAAGCAGTCGAGCACACAGAGCCGGAGCTCTGCTCCTGAAACCGAACAAGCGCACAAAGAAGAGCTTCAGGAGCTAACCGAAGAGGTTATAGCAGAAGCAGAGAGTCTCCCACCGCAGTGGCAGGCATATATTCCCCCACCTCGGCGCAGTTATGCCGAACGGTTGGACGACGTCTCAGATTCTAGCTACGTACCTGCTTTGACGGCGGACGGTTTGGAGAAGGTCGGCGGACTGAATAACTGGTGGGACCAACCTAAGCATTGGACCTCTGATTTCGTCGGTTTCAAGCCGCCGAATCCGGTTCTTGACACCGCCGTTCTTGAGACTTCGGTACGGCGAGCCGTCGTGGAGGCGTTTGCGCTGAAACAGGCGGGGCGAGAAGACGAGCTGATAAAAGCTTGGCCGATAGCAGGCTTGGATGAATTACATCGCCTATTGGGCGTGGAGATCAACGTAACAAAGGACGGCGCTGTGTCGCTGACTGGGGATGTATCTGCAGTAGTAGACTCGCTAGTCCAAAAGAACGAGCTTGCAATTACCAATGAGTCCCCCGAGGAAAGCATAAGTGTACCGGTGCTCTCAGCGGAAGAGGCCCAGAAGTACAAGGATGCTTGGAGTCATGGATGGAAGGCCGTGTCTCTATCGGACCCCCGAATTAAGTTCGCTGTAAGTTCTGCCATGCTAGAGTTACTACGCTCCCCCCGTCGAAACGAAACATATTGGGATATGAGATTAACACGGTGGATCCTAGGTCACAAAGCGAATATTTCAGCTCACGGGGCAACTGATCCGCGACCACCAGCTATCCAGCATCGCAGACGTCCGGTCACTGCTACACGCGGTGCAGAAACCGCCAAAACTCAAGACCCTTACCCAGGAGATCCAGGAGCGCCGGCAAGATCTCGTACAGCTGCCCAACGTGTCCTTCGCGACGAAGCGCGTCACGCGCGGCGACAGGGAGAAGGCGGTTGGACGATTCAAGCTTATAGAAGAGGAGCTGAAGAAGAGAGATCTGCCTCTTGTGGGCCATGGGTTTGTTCGGAAGAACAGGGAGCTCTCGCGGCTTAAGGGTGGAGTCTAGTATTTATTCCCATGCGAGACGCTATGTATCAGTATGTCGAAGTGCAATATCTACCAACTCTGGCCTTGTACATATAGAACAATACAGTATTGCGATCGACTACGTGCAGAAACACATAAATTAGGTGCCTTATAATGTACCAATGGTTCATATAACCTATTCGGAAACAGTCATAATGCAAGCCATTTGCTCGCTTCAAAGCATGTTTGTATACAGACAGACCAGTCTATATATACATACCCCTGTCCGCTGAAAGCCCCTATCTAAATCTAGAATAATCGACATTTACAGAAGATAATATTTATTTCTAACAGCTCCCTCGAAAAGTTCAACCCGGCATGCTGGAGACCGGAATTTTGAACTCGATGTAATCGGACTCACTCCGTGAGGTTAACGTTGTCGACTGATTGTAGTTGTTGAATTTTCGAGTCTGCATGCTCCTGGCGATCCTGGACATCTGCGAGCTGTACCCTTCTCCTCGCGTCGATGTACATCATGTATTCTTCGTACGTGTCTTAAATACCAGGTAAGTTGCATGTCTATAGAAGAGAGAGATATATATATAATATATAATAAATAAAAAAAGGGGGAGGGGGCGGATAGCTAGTTGCTATCAATTGAAAAGGAAGAGACGGGAAATAAATAATAAGAGTATACATACGCGGTAGAACCTTGACGTCCTTAGGGACTGAGAACGTGTAATTAAACTGGCCAGTCGGCCTCGCGTTCCCATGCTCGACATCTCTCACCTTACTATCCACCCTAACATGCAGTCGCGTAACCGGATTCTCCGGGTCGTTCTGCCGGGGCTCGCTGCCATCCTCCTCTCCCAACAACGGCGGGTCCGTATACACGATCGTCGCGGTCAAGTACAAGACACTACCGACCGGGACCGGGTTCCGGAAAGTGCACGGATCGGCGCTGATGAACGTGGGGCGGGCGTGCGCGAAACTCGCCGCGCAGCAGAACGCCAGCTCGAACGTCTGCTTCAGGTGGAAGCCGCCGAAAATCATGGTCTGGTGCCGGTTGCGGTACTGCGGCTGCATGATGGACGCCGTCGAGAGCTGCGTCTTGGACATGGCGAGCACGTTGCGCGGCTGTCGGAGGTGGTTGTTCGGGTCGTGGTACGCTAGCTGTCGAAGCCAGATCTTGTGGATCAGAGCCGACTCTGGGTCGTTGGGCTCCGTCTCGAGTAGTGACGTCTTGAGTTTTTGCTTCGTAGCTAGGGCTTTGGCTTCCCCGGCTTTGAAGATGGTTTCCTCCTCGGGGGTCGAGCACTCTAGACGCGGTACGTTGATTGGTTTCTTGGTTCGGGGATCCAGGGCTACCATGGTGAAGGTGCATGTTAGCAATACATCCTCCGGCTTGCTGGGTTCGCCTTCGCCTCTGGCTCTGGCGACCTTGCAAGTGATTTCCACGCTACTCCGCCCCGACGCGTAGGTTACTTGCCCACTATACTCGAGATCGCATATCTCCGTCAGCGGGTGGGCGATGGTGATCCTGTCCAGCGCAGCGGTAACAACAGCTACGCCCGGCCCGGTATGTTTATAGACGATAATACCCGACAGGGCGTCGAGATCCATGAATATCGTGCCTAACCTAGAGTCTTGGTCAGAAAACCCAGCAGATTAGAGAGACGAGCTGAGGACCTTATGTGACCAGATGAGTTAATGTAGGTGTCGCTAAGCCATGGATCGCGGCCGAGAGGAAGTACGACCCGATGATAACTATCGCTCATCTTTTTCGGAGTAAGATCGCGTTCCTGCGGTTGAACCTCGTCGGCGGCTACATTTTTTCCTTCTTGCTGCAGCCTCCACGCCTCTATCCACGGCGTTGGTAGACGGTTATCTGTGAGGCCGCGAAATACTCCATCTGTACGGAGGGAGGCCGTGCCGTGCAGACATCTTTTCGACACTCGGGCCAAGGCAGCGCACGCATCCAATGTCTTAGATCTAGAAGCCAGAGCAACTAGGTGTCTGATTGGTAGGTTCCTATAGATCATGGCCGAGATATCGTTGGCCAGAGTTGCATTAATACGTACATCAGCATGTAGTAGTGTAGATCGGTGATGCGATAAAGCATGACTACAACATGTAGACGGATCCTTTAAGTACTCGGGTACCTATCGGGGCATTGCGGGAGCTCGGTAGGCAATTACGGGTCTAATCTGAGATCACGGTAACCGCGACCTGCCATAGGTGCAAACTGTAATTCACCTCATGGATACAACAAAAACACAAGAATAAAGAAACATGGAGCAAACAAACAAAATATATACGAAACAAAAAAAAACATTGGCTATTGAACAAACGCCTCAGGCGGGGGTCGAACCCGCAACCTTGGGATTCCCAAGTAATCCGGATTTATCGTCCGTTTAGTAAAAGTCCCACGCTCTAGCCAATTGAGCTACCAAGGCTGACGATGAGTTTGCTATGATGATGTATATATCTTAGTCCCCGCATATGGCGTTTTTCTAAGCCTACGAAGTTTGAAGGTCCGGGCTAAAAAGTTTTGCACATGTCTAACCTAGATTTTAGCGCCGTGTTTGTACATTGAATAGTGGCTCATCTACTAAATACAGATGGCTTACCGCTATATTTATAGTGATACCAGCCACTATAACTTAAATCAGACCGTGCCAATCCTGGCCTGGACCTTCGTATGTAGGTAGGTATTTATGTACTTAGTTACCATATCACCTAAACTTGAAAACTTCAATTTCCAAATATAAATTGAGCTTAACCAATCATCGATTTCAACCGCACCATCATCGCTATAAGTTCCCTTCTCATGTATTGATATAATACGACACTCTAGGGAATATATATCTTACACCTTCGAAACTAAATGGGGAACTCTTAATTGAATACATATGTACCTATGCACAATGTTAGCTAATGATCTACGATACAGTCTCTCCTGCTCTATGGCTAGCTTAACAGATTCTAGCCCTTCTAGGTCTCGTTTCCTAGACCACGTCTCTTCATAACCGTATTTAGTTAGGCATAATACCATACGGAGGCATATTAATACTGGAATGTTTGTTGTATTGTCGGGGTAATAGCACATGGTAAATCTTTGTAAGATCCGAGTATCTACAACTTTGGCCGGCTTACTTTCCAAGGAAATTTCCATTCTCCGTGGTATAGTTTTGAGACGATAAACGTCGGTAGTAGTTGGATTGCTTCATTTCCTCTCGTTAGCCTAAGTAAATGTTTCGTTCCATGGTCGCCGGGTCTGATCCCCTAAGCCTGGCATACATGTCACCGTGTCGGGTGGCTGGTCTACCCACTGGATTCTCATTGCATCTTCGTCTTCTTGTTCTGTCCATCGCGACGTATACCCTTTGGCCGCCTTGATTTTGGACGCAGCCTCATCGGAGTACTCGAGGTTGACTGATGGCACAACAGCGATGCGTCCATGACCCGTTCGCCAGAGGTCCTTACAGAATAACGTTGGCTCTCCTGAGTAACACTCGTCTTCCCTCGGTCCTCGAAATCCGATTCTCTCCTCCTTCCCAGGTGACTTTATGTCTCCTCGATCTCGGTCGGACTGCTCCCCAAGTATCGGCGCAGCGGTAAAAGCTACAGCTCCATTCCAACACGCAAATACCTGGAAAGGGAGAGTCCTTCTAAACCGCTCACCAGTTATTCGGTCATTCCAGAATAGATTCCACGCGCTATTCCAATTGCCGTCCGGTGGAATATCGAAGAATAAATCTCCCTGGAGAGTGCGCGCTACCCATACGTCGTAGAACGTCGGATCGCGGCCAACGTAGGTCCAGTCCATAGCGCAAGTCATATCTGCTGACTGGAAAATTCGCTGGTGTACCAGCTCGAGTATGTCAGATACACATATTGCTACATCGTTTAAGAATATGATAGTCGTGTTTGTATTTGGCACCAACGACGACTGCGAGGGGCTTGGCTTTGCATCTTGAGTCAAGCCAGCAAGGGACAGAAGTGGCGAGATGGCCAAGTTGCGAAGTTGTGCGAGTTTTGCTATCCTTTCTCCAGCCTTGGGATTTATATTGCTCGACTGAACATAATATGCGATACCCAAGTCCTTTAACTTGGGCTGGAGTGAGTAAAGGACTTCCTTCGTGCCATCATCCGAGTTACCTTCCACTATCGATAGAGCGCAAGCAGTCGGGCCAAGGAATTTGATTGATTCTATAATAGATCCTAATAGGCGAGGCAGAACATTGATAGACTGTCGAAGATCGAGAGCGAAAAAGTATTTCAGTTCCAGAAGCCCATTGTCTTCTGCCACTACTTTTAGATATTCATACCGAATTAGATTCGGACTTGGGCACTCCAAACGGGGAAATGTAGTATCTGTAGGGTCTAGGATAGCTTCGATATGTGCCGTTGTATTCCACGGGCCATCCAGATGGACCGGGTTGGATGCGCCATTCACTTCTTGACTGGTGTTGATTTCTATGGTGTTAGAAGGTATCAGCGTATTAAATGGATGAAAACCGGACGCCGGCGAGAAGTTCTGGTATCCGGCCCGGAATATGAGGACAATAAGAAGCAGGCAGGCCACTTGAAGAAGGATTAAGCGCGCTCGTTTCATCATGATCCTATTCTTCCAGGTTCGGGGAGACAAAGGGAAGACACATTATAGAGTAGTTGGTAGTTGTGATATGTATTGCAACACAGAAAATGTCCGATTTTTGGTCCCCGAAGAGGTTACGGGTACGCGTGTTCCGTTTCGTAAAGCGATTGGAGTCTACCCCCTGAGTAGGGATTTGTTTTAGTATCTGTCCAATTAACTTGCTTGAGATGTGCCACATACATTGCGTGTTGTAATAATAAGAGTGATAAAATGAGGTGTGACAATATGTAGATACCCGTCGGACGTATTGTATTTCCTACTATTCTTTTCGGTTTGCGGGAGTAGTACATATCCGATAATGTCCCCCCATACCTTGTACGTCTAATGGCTCTCTGCTATCTTGCAGAACCTGTTGTATCGTGATATTTGTAACAAAGGCTGTATGGGCTTGGAACGTATATTCAATTTACTAATAATTCTCAAGGGTCTTAAGGTCCTTAGTCTCTCCCTTCTTCAATGAGAAGGACTTAAAACCCTATTTGTAAACATTCTATAGTACGTATCTTGGGATGTAACCGCTATACTAAATCAGATCAGATGTTGGTTGTTTTGTATCCTTCCTGCATGTTCTTATGATAGGTATCATCCAATAATTTTGATGTGTTGCGACCAACATCCTCTTGGCAGTGTTATCCGTGTGAAAATATTGATCATGCTAATTCAAAGGATGTTTACCCATGTAGATTTACTTTCAGTCTAATTGAGGCAAGGTTTCCACGAATCCAACCTTGAAGAAGAAATATTAAGTATGACATTGAGAAACTATAATGCTATTGCTTTACACACATATCGCTATACAGTCGAGGCCATCGTGGTATATTAGTGGCACACCGGTGGCTTTCCGCCTTTTGTTTCTGTCTTACCAAACTAAATTTGCAATAACGATACCTGGCAATGAGGTTTACTTCCCATTGGCCACGCATGTAGTCCTATTGCCCGAAAAAGACGATACAAAATAGGATACGCAGGGGAAAACACTTCCAAATTGTTCATCTGGTTGACCGGTTAGGAGGACGAGTATGAGCTGAGAGGGCAACCCTTGGAAGACATTTCATGTTGAAGCGTCTCGTCTGACTCTAACGTTAACACGCGTATACTCACGCGTATATTCCACTTAGCGAGCTTTGTTATTTGCCCGTTTTTATTGCGTCTGGCTTGTGCTATTTGGTTATCTCTAAACCTGCCCGACAGAGTATGGAATTATCAATATGACCGCAAACTTCCGCATTATCCACCTTCTCCTATTCTTCTTCTGGCAGATAGTTGCTATTCTTGCCTACCAAGATGCCTCGGTCCTAGAACTAAGGATTGTCGAGTTTACTGTGTCTCAGCCCAACAAGAGAACCCGTCCGGCTACACGTGAACGACCTAGATTACGGGATGTCACAACTGAGATGTCCACTTGCGGTTACCAGGACGGCGACCCGTCAAAGCCCCGGACTGCTGAGCCGGATTACGACTGTCGCATTGACACTGCGGCTCAATTATGGGGATTCTGTCCCACGGCTATACGAAACCTTAGCGATTGCGGATTAGCTGGAGCTTGCGTAGATGGAGAAGGTACTTTCGGATTCGTCGGAGTCAAATCCATTGGCACCATCTACTGGTGAGTTGAGGTTTCCTTACGATATGTGCTGTCCTACGTGTTAATAGTTGCTCGTGCTATAGCACAGAGATGGACTTGGATCGTAGTTTTTGCTCCGTTGCCCTCATCGATTCGGGTGAAGACCAGACCTTTTATTATATAGCCTGCGGGCCAGACGCAGCGCAAATTACCTATTTCCCCACACCAACAGCTGAGCTCCAAGAGTCGCCATCTACAACTAGTGAAATAAGTTCAAGTTCCGAAAGCGCGCGGGATGGTTTGGAAAGTACACAAGATGGCTTAGGAGCCACGCCGTCGCTATCATCGCACCCAATAACGTCCACATCCAACCCAGACCCAAATTCTACAACAGACCCAAAGTCTACAACTACAAGCCAGCAACTATCCACCGAACCGACAACTAACATAGGTGCTATCATCGGAGGCGTGTTAGGTGGGTTGGCCCTTGTGTGCGGTACGGTAGTGGCTGTGGTTTATATCCTGCGACGGAACCAGCAAATACAAAACGGGGGTCAAGCGGGATACGACCAAGGGGGACTCGCGCAAGACGATAGGAATACCACAGCACAGCTACAGCCGGACAAGCACGCTATGAGGTATAGCGCGGTGCCACCTTCGGAGGCTGACGACACTGCATTGACTAGAGCTCAGATACAGTCATTTGAGATGTATAGTGCTCCAAGTTCGTGGCAACAGCATAGAGAAATGACAGAGTCGGGATGACTATATCAGATGTGTATCATTTTCCTAGCGAGTGAGCATACCTTTCCTACGGAAGGGCCTTGGTTGTTTTATATTAGGTCTTGTAGATAAGGCTTTCGAGTTCCGAACTAAGTCCTTGGGGTGTTAGAATAGGGGGAGATGTGGTCTGGTTAACTATTGTTGTGTTTTAGATACCTAGGTACCTATTAGAATATAATTTCCGAATGTCGTTGATAATGTAAAGAGGTATTAAAATAAAACGTAGGATGTGAAGCCATTTGCGGATTACACATTTGCGGATTTAAGCTTACATAGATAACTGTTTGATTAGTCAGCTGATCAAGTGAGAACAGCCCTCCATGGCAGCTGGTTAGGTACCGCTGTGGTCCCACTGTGGTCTCACTTCAGCCTCAGACCTTTAGAGCCTAAGCCACTTTTCCATTTCCCTAACGCACGCACAAACCCACAAACCCACAAACCCACAAACCCACAAACCCACAAACCCACAAACGTGTAAATGACCCACTTAAGATTGTAGGGTTTTCTAACCCTCCAAAAACTTTGCCGAAAGTGCGGGTTGGTTCAAGCTGCAACCTCTGGGAAATTCTCGTGCCTCTAATCTGGAGAACTGAGACGACTTGCGATAGACGACCATTCATTCCACAACCAACCCTTGATCGCAATCAGTCACAATGGTAAGTAATAACCTCTCTAACGATAGACGTTGTCGCAATGTCTATTATTCGGAAATTTCTCTTTCAAAAGGATTCATCGCTAATAAACATGAAATCTAGGCGATCAAGCACAACAACCAGATTCAACACAACCGTACGTTCAATCGAAGCCATTCCCTTTCCACAATACGAATCGATCAATTACACTCCAAAGGCATAGCGCAACAGTAAAACTGACCGGATACATGCAGATTTCCGAAAGGATTGGCAGCGCCGGGTCCGAACCCACTTCGACCAGGTATGAAGACGAATCCCCCTTCAGAGCTTTCAATGACGAGATGGAATCAAACGCGAAAGTCATTCGGATATTAACATTGGAAAAACTATAGCCTACTCAGAAGATCCGCCGTCGCTCTCTGCGTCGTGCTAAGGCCGCTGCCGTCGCTCCCCGACCCGTCGACAAGCTGAGACCTGTTGTCCGATGCCCGACCATCAAGTACAACCGCCGTGTTCGTGCCGGACGTGGTTTCACTCTGACTGAGCTGAAGGTATATATTCCTATCGCGAAACGCCCTGCGCATATTGTACAAATTCTATATCCTCAGCTACCGCCACTATACCTCCCGAAAGTTTACACTTTAAACCGCGATATTCTAACAATTTATATAGGAAGCTGGTATCCCCCGCCTCGTGGCCCCTACCGTCGGTATCTCGGTCGACTACCGCCGACAGAACCTCAGCGAAGAGTCTCTCGTAGCCAATGTAGCCCGCCTTAAGGCCTACAAGGAACGATTGATCGTATTCCCCCGCAAGGGTGCTAAGCACCCCAAGGCCGGTGACAGCAAGGACATCGACCTCAGCAACACCAAGACCGTCTCCACCGTCGGAGCTACCCTACCCATCATCCCTGTGGCTGAGGGTATTTCAGAGATCAAGAAGAGCGATCTGCCCAAGGCGATCGAGGGTGGTGCTTTCGCGCAGCTCCGCAAGGCGAGGAGCGAAGCCAGACTGCAAGGTGTGCGGGAGAAGCGAGCCAGAGACAAGGCCGAGGCTGAGGCCAACAAGAAATAAGATGGAGGTCTCTTACGGGAGTATGGACGGCATCATTAGGGTTCTGCTTTCGTTGTGTTGTTGGACGGTCACGGCGGGTTGGCTTGCGGTTCCTGTGTAGCCAGGAGAGAAACGAAATGATATCGTTCTCTCGCCACACAACAAAGGCCGAAGCATTATTGCATCTTCCGGTTTGCTCTAGGTCGTTCTCAATGGAAAAATGAATGGACATACTCTTCGTGCCTCTCAAAAGACCGTGACATGAAGCCGTAAACTATCATGCGAAACGGGAAAGCATACGAAATAACAGAGAGACTAATACTGATGATAAATAGGGAAACCACGCATAATTGACTGTATCTATCGAGATGCTATGTTTTGAACAATTCGCATATTTACAATAGTTCAAATCTAACTCTGGCACTGACCGGTCAGACTTGAGAGGGGTTCACTGGCTGGCCGCGGATTCGACCTTCTCGTTTCTATCGCCGAGTACTAGCTGCCCGCCCGTTTTCAACATCTGAATAAACACATTCCTTACCTCGGAGGGAAGCTCATCCGGACCACTCTTCGTCAGCTCAGCAATTAGTACCAGGGCGTTTTCTCGATCTATCTTGGTCATAGTTGCGGCCTTCTTTGGGTCTACTTGCTGCGGCTCCAGCTGGCCTATCGCCGAGAGATCTAACCCGTCCCCTACGGGTGGATTACTGCTTGCCTCTTGGTTCGCCTCACGCTCACCTGCGACAGCCGCTGCGAGGAGATCTTTCAGTTCGGGGTGTTGCAGTATGGCCTGTTTTACGATGGCAAATCCTTCGGCGGAGCGCGCCATGAGTGCGAGAACAAACCATAGGTCTGATCGTAAGACGGGGAATTTAGTCTGTAGACCGAGATATAATAGCGTGTCTAATAGAGTAGGATGCTTGCTGTAGAAATCCCGCAGGAGCAAGCTAGCCTCATCTTCGGAAGCAGGCGAGGGTAAAGATTCGGGAAGGAGTGATGACCCGGCCGGCTTGTCGGAGTGCAGGACGCGGCAGACACCGGCTACGGCGCGGGCTGTTTCCATCTTGGTAGGCTCTTGATCGGCTTTGCGGTGTAGGTCTATTAACTGTTGTATAAGAGCCTTGTCTTGCGTATCTGAGGCCACACAGACACGTCGCACGTTTTCGGGGCAGTTGACAAGGAGGATGCGTGTGAGCGACACGGCGTCAAATTGGACTTGCGGCTGCGTATCAAGATCCCATATCCGGGGCAGAACATTGAGGTCCAGTAGGCCCGCACCACCTAGCACGGCCTTGTTGCTCGCGGGGATGGATAAGTTCTTCAAGAAGCTAAGGGCGCAATGGAGCAGTTGAGCATCCGTTTCCGAGTCGGAGGATAGGATGGGAATTAGCGACTTATGCACAGACATCTCCTGTACGAAGGCGATGCTTTGAGCGTCGGTACGAGCGATATTACCGAAGGCCAGGCAAGCTGCGATCTGGAGCTCCGTATCATGAGATGAAGAAATCCAGCCGAGAAGCAGACCGGCTACTGGACTATCTAGTGAGCATAAAGAGGCAAACTGAGGGTGAGCAGATAGATCCGCCCAGGTTTTGGTGTACATGGATTGCAGCTGGGCGAGCTGCGCTTGCTCATCAGTATCGTCGATGTTAAAGACAGAAACGCCCTGGATAGCTCTTTGAAAAGCCGATATAAATACGGCTACGGCGCCAGGGGTCTCAAGGAAGCTGTCTTGGAGCTTTTGGTGAGAGAGGTAAGCTAAGGCGGCCGAGGATAGCCCTAGGAAGCCGTCGAAATCTGGAAAGCCTCGTTCAGAAGCATCTAGGGTGGCTTGCGATAAAAGGAGATATGGTGCCCGAGGGTTTATTAAGTCGGGCTCGAATTCTTTCAACTTGTTAATATTATTATACTGGACAATGGTATGACTTACTATAAGGGGAACAATTTACCTTGGGCTACTGCTATGCCTAGCAACTTGTAGATGATATTCATATATGGTAGTGCTTTTTCATGCAACGGGCGAGCCTGAATGATGTCGATTAGATATATGCCCAGATGAGCTTTAGAAGCCGCTTTCTGGGTCGGTTCTAATTATTATCACGTCAGTAAGACCATATGCTCCTATCCAATTTTTCGTCCTCACCATAATCAACACAAATATTAAATAAAACCGGGATAGCGAATTGGAGTAAGGAGTCGTGTGTCAATAGTTTCACCAGCTGGGGGAGACAATCCGAGTCGACGACTCGTTGACGATTCTCATCTGCCATCTAGTAAGCATGAGAAGGCCGAACCCCCAGGAACTAAAGAGACACAGACCTTGGTCTGCGCAAGAGTTCCCTGTTACTCGGAGAGCATGAGTTACCAGATCTGGATCTAGCTCATCCTCCTTAATTAAACCCAGGAAGAAGTCTAGTAAACCAGATCTTCCAAGTGGGATTCTCCATCGCTCTAGATGATGTGAGTGTTAGCTAAGCCCTTGTAAATGTACGTGAAGACAGGTATACAGAGACTTATATGAGTTTCTACGAGACTTTATGAGATTGGAGTTTTGTTCACCTTCTCGACTACCGTTCCCGACCTGCTCTGCTAAGACCTGGAGTTCAGGGGACTTGGTTTCTTGTAGTTCCCGCGCGGTGCTAAGAAGCTCTTCTAGCGCTTGGACCCTCGACTCCTCATCTTGGGGAATGTTGTTGAATAGGTCTTGGATCTCGTCAGGCGTCATGATCTCGGGCCCATCACAAGTCTAATTCCGAAATAATAAGGTTCTACGGGCTACTCTCGTAAGAAAAGATGATCAGAATTCTATTATGAGTAGATATCAAGAATTATTACAAAGATGATCATGAATTACAGAAGAACATCAGGTCAAAGGTGTAAAAATCGAGGTTCAACTAGTGATTACGTAAACAAATTGTTAGGTCCTTGAGGTAAGGAGGTATATACGTACCCGATCTCGGGAACGTCCCGTTACTTCCAAACCCACTAATCGGCTTCCGATCCGGATGAATATTAGGTGAGGCTCTGTGCCATTTTGCGGCGGGTCTATCCATTAATAATTGATTAGCGGGGCAGACGCGTCATCGCTTTTTCTTCTTCTTTCCTTTCGCGCGTCCTACAATTCCTTCTCCTATGTAATCCGTAATTCGTTATTGTTAGGCACATCGAAACCATCTTTCATATATAAAAGTAACAGCCAGAAAAACATTAGTAAAAGACAAGACATATTTGATACAGCTTAGGGGGGTAAGGGAAAGAAAGAAGAAGAAAGAGGTAAAACCCCAACCCTTGAAGTGACATACAACTTAAACAGAACCCCCGGAAACATTATCCTTGAGACATACCCAAAAGGTGTGGTTTCGATTGCTTTCTCTCTACTACTTGAGAGTTCAACAAAAAAAAAAAAAAACACGCCATCTGCACATATTCCGAGAGCATCTACTATGTCTCATGGTCGCGGCCGTGTAGTATGAAAACCACAGACTTGCAGATCGAGATGCGTCGTATCAAGTTACACGAGTAACCAGCACTACGGCCTTCTGATGGATAGGAGTCTGAGACTGTTACGTCAGGACAATGCAATTTAGAGGTGCTAATGCATCACGGCAGAAGATAGTACACGTCCTCCGATCCTGCTATTCTTTCGGGAGGCGAGATAACTGGCTGCTGGTCATTAGCTAGGACTCTCTGTGAACCTGACTGTGGCTCCATGCGAGAGAAGCAGAGAGGTGCCCCTCGAGTTCACGAGTGGACTAATTTCGGCGGTCCGTAGGTGAGATGTTGGATTCCGCCGCGAGCGCCCGTTCCACTCGGTAACAAACACGAAACTACTACGTCTGCAATAATCCTAGATTTCAGGCTAGACGATGTTGTTTAGATGTTCAATAGTTATACGGTAGTTTCCCCTGGTTACCCCCTTTTAATTAGAGCCCGATATACCACTCTCATGTCTTAGTAGTCAACCCACCGCTTTCTACTCGGTAGATGGGGATAGTTAAAACTTCTATTCCATCCCAAGTTCAAATGTTCATCGTACGGTGTCACTACCAAGTGCCATTTCACTAATCGTGATCGTACCATACGCTTACAAGATTGTCTCACGGATAGGCATGTATTCAAAACCAATTACCTAGGTAGGTATCCTCACTGACCAGAACGGCAGTAATAACGCTTCTTGACGCGAGTTCAACCATCCGCATGTTTCAGTATAGACCTAAGTCATACCTTGTAATCTCCGTCAACTCCCATTGTGCGACACAAGCGTCGTGGTGCTTGGAGCAAACCTACTCGTCTGAAGCTTTGGTATACCCTTCTTTTAGTACAAATCAATGCCTGTGCCACTAGTATTAGCAATAGCTTCAAATTGAAATGCCCCGCTAATCTGGGGATCATGCGCGTAGAGGGGAACAAGTAGGACAGGACGGCTTAAGATCTACCCAGATGAGATCAGTCAAGGTATTATAAAGAACGGCAGTCCTGATGCCCCCCCATCTAAGCTGCTTCGGCCTGTATATCCGGCTATACTACGTCCCCTCCTCCAAGTCACTCGTTCACAATGGCCATATACTGGCTTCTGTCACTCGTTTGCCTACTGACACCCCTCTCATCCGCCGCACAGGGCTATTCAGGCGGTGGTCTTGCGGACGAAACCGTTACCAAGAGCGTCACTGAGACTATCACGAAATATCTATCTCAATGCGGTACATTGGAAACTCCGTCTCATACTCCAGATATAACACTATCCGGAACCACTACGCTTACGAGCTCCCTCCAAGCAACCACCTTTGTCACAATAATATCCAATGTGACCAACCACTCGGAAGCTGCTCCTATCGGTTCTACCCTCTCCCAATCGGACAGCACGCTTCGTACTCCTAATATCACACCCACGGCTCTTACAACGGAAAGCAGTTACCCCGCGTCCCATTACTCTTCAACTCATGCCAATACCACGAAGATACCTTGCTCAACTTCGACTTCGACTCGTAAGTTAATGGTCGATGTCTTTTCCCATCACGATATAAGAAATCTAATACTTGTCTCATAGTCTTAGTCCCAGTCCCCCCCGGTTCATCTTCTCATTCTACGCCTTGTACCACATCGTTCCGTAGCACGTATTCTACGTCAGCACCGACTACATCACCAACCCAGATACCAGTTAGTGGATCGGCTAGACTTAGGGGAGTCGTAGCTACGCGGAAATTCCTAGGGGTATTAACTATAGTCTCCGTATTAATTGCGGGCTTTCTATGAAAGAAGCCATGCTGTAATGAGAGATGGCTACGGTTGACTCACTACGTTCTCGATGCTTACGGAGCCCTGGGCATGCTCATGAACTTGCGCCTATGTTCTCTAAGGCGATGTTTATGTAACGACAGCAGGCCTGATTCTGGCCACGGGGGGCTAATTAAAAATTGGTTTCGTTAGTTAATCTCTTCTAAGTAGTTCTAGTAATAGAGGTACAATTTGGATGGTTTTCTGGAAGTAAAGAACATTATATCGTCCTGTCGAGCATCGCTAGTAACGGATTCAAATGCAGATTCCAAGTTAATACGTGAACGTGTGGCCTCTATGCATGCATTGGATATGAGCTACGGGGTTTTTTATATTATTCGTCCCGAACAAATTGGAATTGGGGATTCAAAAGTGTGATTGGATTTGAGTAGGAACTTTCGAGTCGAATCTCTAGTGAGAGATACATGTCATAGCAACAACAAATCGTAATTCTCGGTCTTCGCTCATAATCGCAGTTTAAAATCAATTACTCTTCTCTTCTTCATCACCACCGCCGTCTCCTCCCCACTCCCCTCCGTCCCGGGCCCATCAGATACCGTCTTCTTCTTGTCCTTTTTATGAATGATTTTATCATTCGTAACTTCCCCCTCCCCGTCGCTCCCTCCCCCTCGCCTTCTCTTTAACCGGCTAATATGCTTCACCTTCTTTCGCATCATGTTTAGCCAGAATTCTCCTGGATCGAGTATACCCCGTAGCGATTTCCATGGGCGGCGTCTCAGGATAGATTCAGGCGGAATCATATTTTCTACGAGGAACTCTTGGTGTAAGAACTCTCGACGTTGTAGGATTTTAGTGCCGAATTGGTCGACCAGGTGCCTTGCATTCCATAACCTTTGGTGTCTATGGTCCCACGACGGGTGTGCTGGATCGAATTCGAGGACTTCGATGCCGGCGAATCCTCGGGCTTCACAAACTGCTGCTATGACCGTAACTTTGTTGAGATTGTCTGTAACGGAGAGAAAAGGGCTCGGACTCGAACAATTCCAATTAAGGTGTTTTTGGACTAGAACTTGGAAATGAAGAGGGTTGATATCAACGGTTCCGTAACCCCTAGCCTTAATTCCTCCGAATGGGTTTCTGGCGTGAACGACGCGGTATAGCCTTTTAGGCCGAGTATCACCGTCGCATGTCTCTATGGTGATTGCTGGTTTCAACATTGGACGACCTTGGAGGAAGCCACCACCACGAGTAATTTCCTCTGCGTTAGGGAGACTGGGATATAGCGCCTTGAGGTTCTCGTGCAACTCCGGCCTCATCCAGAGTTTGAAGGGTATTCCCTTCTCTACCTTGGAATCGACGACCCAGGCTTCGACATCAGGCATAGTTTCCTGTGCTACTCGCTGCTCACCGTATTGGGCAATAACTACCTTCTCAACAGGAACGAAAGACATGATTCAATGAGGATATTGGTACCTTCCTAGATAATATCAAGGATTCAAGGAATGAGGAGATGGTATGGTGGGATATGGTGGGATATGATATATATATGTGTGTGTATTTGTGTGTGTACACAATATAGTGGCGTATATATTTATGATTGTTAGAAAGTAACTGAGGTACGGATATTTCGAATAGGTGGTAGATATATGAGGATGATAATTTGGTAATCAAACCTGATATAGGTAAATGGTACCCTTGGTGGTCGTAATGCCGGGCCTGTGTATAGCTTTGCACGCTTGAATCTAAGAATGAGGAAGATGAGGCTTCAATAAAGATATCACTAGTGAGGTATTGATATGTTTTGTTGTCGATGTTCATGATTGATTGGTCTGGAGCTGACTGGAGGATGGTGTGTAGGTAGAAGGGATAGGCGAGAGGACTGTAGACTCAAGGTGAGACTATTTATATATTTTGGATATCAAAAATTTGGCTTGGAAATAGCAAGTAGGCAGCTTCGCTCAAAACCCGTAACTGCCATTCCTGCAATAACCTTAAGTTCCACGGGATCTCATGGAGAGGGGCCTCATGGGCCATACAAGTAAAAAGTTACCTATATCAAATAGCCTAAGAGGTGTACCATTCGGCTTACATGTTACGACTCTTTTGAGTCTCGTTGATATTATATGTCATTCACTACGTTCCAGCCTGGAAACATGAGCAAAGAAATTACGTTGTTCGCTGCTGTGGGAGTGATCTCGTTAGGATTACCTGGGGCGTACTAACCACCTTAATATAAGGTATTAAGTATATAAATAATTTGGTTCCTTCAGAGACACTTCAAAATCTTACTAAGTATATATCCAATATCGGGTTGGTTTATTACATCTTAGTTTTGCGCTTTACTTGTGTCTGTATCTTTAGGGTTACGCTCTGGTGTATTATATTTCGGTTTATAGTAAATCGTAATCTCATTAATTGAGTACCTGATGCTTCATGGAAACCAAATGGTCCCTTCGGTATATTATATCAATCACTTGATTTTTAAACTACGTGGCAAAAAGGCTATACTAGTATGAAGCTGTCGTAAGGAATGGTTATAAGAACATATTAGTCATATTGTATTGAATATTTAACAGGTAGCTTAAAAATTATCTGGCAGAACTTCATTTTTAAGCTCTCATAAAACGCCTGTTAATTTCTTAAATATGGAGAAAGGTCGAGTATAGCTTTCATTTAGAATTGAATTGTTATCACTAAAGACTTCATCTTAAGTTGGCTATATAATTATATGATCACATAATTAGTCTTCCTAATACATATGCCCAAACTTTCGGGAATATGAAGATTTTTGGGTTGAGGCTGGCAACGATCCTGTAACAAATTGCTATAGCATGGTCGAGCTTTGGAACGGGTCGCATGGGGATGATTTGTAAACTGAAGGGGATAGTTTGAATTATATGTGAGATGTTAACATCGAGTAAGAACTTAAGAAGTAGTTACTATTGGCTCTATACGTTGGCTTGTTCAGCAGTTCCTTTTTTCAGTCTTGTTTTCTTGCCCCCCCCCCCCTTTTTTTTTTTTTCCTTTTTCACAGGAGCTACCAACCTATTCTACTACAATGTTTCAAGTTAGTAATTGTACTTATGTGGTAAGGAAGTATCTACTTGCTGTGTGTTCCACACCTATAATAGAGCTAGATACGGATTTTATAGGAAGGTATGAGATAGCTAACTTCCGGAATTGTAAATGCTTACTTAAGTAGCTATAGTTGTGTGGGCTATCACGTATGAGTTGAAGCGACGGGTGAGTAAGAAGGAACGTGTTCAAAATTCTTTAGTAATACAGAAACGGTGGAACGAATGCTTTAAAATAACTAGCTATTTTGGAACGGATTAAAATGTATTAAAATAGCGGACTATGAGGAGATGTAATACGTATATTACGCTAAACGGTGCAAGTAAAAGTACCTGTATTGCAGGCACATTTTGATCTGAAACACAAGCTAAATAAGCCTTTCTTTCTAGGTAGTTATTTATATATAATAGTCGATGCTTTAGTATCGTATCTTTATGATGGTACAATTGAGTTTAGGGGAAACTGGAACACTTTAACCTAGGTAAGTAACAATCTGTCAATTGTTAGTTTTTTAATTTTGAGCCAAGGTATACTATCTAGTGTTTTATTCTTAATTATACTACACCTTTCAACTCGATCTAAAATTGGATTTGCCATTATTATATTTTGTTCTTATGCTGTCGTATTACCCATATACGCATAAGTGCGTATATATACATACCCCGATTACTTAAACGTCTAGGCTCCACTTATCGGATAGATTGACATGCGGTCCGCGTCGCGCAACGATAAAATAGACTTTATCCAATCTGGCCTGGACGACAACATCACCACCAAATTTCGACACTTACACCACTTACGCCACTTACACATACTCACTCCCTTCACGTCACTCCTTTAATAAACCTACCACGACCTTGATTTTTACGCGGGTGACGGTTCTATTACCATCTTATAATCTCATCAGCCTTCGTACATACATACACAAAATTATAATCAATATGACGCGTGCGCAACAGACCATCTCCGTCGGCCTCCTTGTCACCTCTGTACGTCGATTCGAGCCAGATCTTGCCGAATACCCTCAATTGCTCTGCTATATTGCCTTGGTAGCATACTAACGTATTGCCGTAGCTCTATCTCGCCCTGTACCTGAATCTCGTCCCTCTCCCCGAACTAGTGCAGACCGAGATCGTCCCTGTTGTACGTTGAATCCCAATCCAATTCTATTTATTTCATCCTCCCGTCTTTAAATTTAATATTGCGCCACCGTATGCAAATAGAAATGAGAAGAAGTTAGAACTAACTAATACTTGTCCAAAATAAACAGCTCCCCTTCTGGGCCCTCGTCTCCTTCGGCGCATACTTACTCTTCCGCCTCGGTTGGAACGTCATGACCTTCCACGATGTTCCCGAGGCCCACAAGGAACTTACGGCTGAGATCGAGTTGGCCAAGACCGACCTCCGACGTCTAGGTGTTGAGGTGGATTAATTACGGTCGCGAAGAGCGGTGGTAGAATGAGATAGAAGGGTCATAGGGATGGAGATTGTCATGTCATACACAAACCACCTATCTTGTTCCTACAGTTAGTTGTAAACTACAGCTTTCTAGTTTAGGACGGGGTGAGGGCATGTCGATAGAAAGAAATTAATTACCACAAGACCTGCAAATGTTATGGATTGCCCATTGGCAATTTATTAATCTGTTCCCGGCTCTGTACTTGTAGCTACCTGATCCAGGACACATAATAATCAACAAGAGGGCATTACCAAAATTACCCAGTCATAGCCTTGAAATTTTTTTTATTACTTAGTGGCTTATACTCTGTACCATAGACTGCATATGATTCTTTGTAGCTAAGCCCATGAAAACCGAGGGGGAGAGATCCAGGCAAGGTTTCTATTCCAAGTAACCTCGCCGCAGTTTGGAACAGACTCATCGGCTCAACTTGATGAATCCTAGCTATCTAGTTTCTCTCGATTTGGTATACAACTCGAAGTATCGTCATACCTCATAAGCACGTAATAGGTCATAACCTAACAGGTCAAGTTACTTGCTTGTATGCATGTACATTTCCCCTTTACTCTTCCCCAACTAGCAATGCGATTACTATCTTTAGAGCTTCCATCGGATCCTTGTTCTCTTGGATTAACTTGTCAAATATGCCAGGTATACTTGTTAAGCTACCCTTTGTGTCTTGCCCGTGCCCTATTATGAATTAGATTATTTATATACGTATTGTGTTGAATAGTTGAGTTGACTTACACGTCGCCGGAGTCCCTAGCAATAGTCCTATTTTGCTTCGTGCTTCTCCGGTCCAATCGAATTCGATCCGCCATTCGATACGGGTAGCTGGAACCTCCTCCGGGTCGCCAAGGCTAGTTAGCTCTAGGTCAAGGTGTGTTCTTCCTAGATGGGGTAGCATATCAGCTTTAGTGAAGCGCAATTTGTCGGCTTGGCCCTCAAGCTCATCGTCATCGTCGTCATCGTCCGTTGTCATAGCTCGACGACCTCGACCCTTCTTCCTCGTATCTGTCCTCATTTCCCTAGCACAAGTTGCCAACCCTTCACTGCTTCTCAGGTTCCTTTCAACGGCGCACCAAAATCGAGCTCTCTTGGTTGCGACGCGGAGCCATTCACTCATAGCCCAAGTTATGACGCTAACATTCCTTGTTAGAGCGCTGGTTCCCGTACCTCTGACGACCCGATCCACGAAAGGCCCCAGCTCGCCAACTGCAGACGGCTCAAGACGTGGGACTTTCAGCTCAGCAACAGATAGCCTTTTGGTGTTTACTGTCATTTCAATTGTCGCGGCAAACAGACCTGGTAGTGTTGACGAAGCGGATATAGTATATTTTTGCATAAGTGGTCCCGGATTTCCGGGATCGTCGCGGGGCATCATGGAGACAGTAGATGTAAAAGTTAAGGGGGTAAATACTTGGAGGTAAGGCAGTTCTTCCTCCGCTGTCATCGGCACGGGATGATGAGAAATAGGAAGCTTTTCGATTTCCGCATCATCATCATTTTGCGGTGAAGAAAATATAGATGGAAGCGACAAGTTCGATTTGCTAAAGGGGAGGAATGAGATGGGATTTAATGCGGCTTCAAGCCAGTCTTGTGTTGGATTGGGAGCCGCCTCTTTTTCAGGAGGAAGGGTGTGTCGACGGAGTAAATCCAGAAGAGACTCCCTGTCTTCTGGGTCTTTTGGCGCTGTACTAGATCTTCTTCCTTGTTGCAATTCGTGTAAGCGAGTATTCTCACGAGTTGCTAAGTCCAGATCTAATTTCAAGCGAGCAACTTCAGCAAGTAGCGAATCCCGCAGCGCTTTCTTCTCAGCTAGTGCATCGGGTTCTTCAGCATTCCGGGCTGGATGCGATTTCCGCCTCTTCTTCCGGCTCTGTGGTTGTGCCCTGAGCGTTCTCTCTGCCGCTCGGGATGGTGACTCTTCGCGTATGGCTTCTTTTGTAAATTCGGGATGACGGAGTGGTGGCTGTTTTAGAGGGGAACTCTTAATTCGCTCGGCTAATACTCTACTCCTTCTTGGGCGTTTAGTGGGTGTGTTATGAATTCCCACGGGAGAGGTTTGGATCGAGGCAGGGTCGGATATGCCTTGCTGTGTCGGCGTAGGTGGGAGCTCTGGTTCTTCCAGTATGGCCTCTCCGGGAGGCGGAGAACGCCGTAGTACTCGACCTTTAAAGGGGTTAATCAATTCTTCTTCTTCTTCGGCTGAAGGTACAGGTAATGGACGCGGCGATGGTTTATTTGGTGTCCTTCGTGGTCTGGAGGCCATAGCTCCTGTAGCGCGTCGAACGGGACTCCATGGTTGATCAGCCGAGGTAGATTGCGTTTGTTGCGCCTCGTGATTCCTTGTTTCTGTATCTTCTCCTGCTTGTATAATATCTGGATCACCTAGGGCATTGTCTGGGAGACTTCCTGCTTCTGACACTGCGAGCGCATCCTCCGAAGGTCGAGTTCTAGAGGTATTCCTTCGTTCTAGAATATCAGGGTTCGATCGCGCAAGGCTAGCTTTTGTTGGCGATGCAAAAGACGGTATCTGATGTCGCGTAGATCTTTTAACAGGGTCATCTTTGGATGACGGCGCAGTCGAACCGCCTATCGGAATATTCGTCGTGGGCGACGTCTTGCGGCGCTTCGGGGCTGAAGAGTCCATCGAATATCCTAAATATCCTCTCTTATCCAATCATAATATTCCCAATCGTATATCGACTTCATAGGTTTGGACTGGACTTGGCCGGATTTCGATAAGTTTAGGACCTGGATTTGGATTTGCATGTGTTGATGTCTGTTATTGTTCCACTACCGCAGATTTGACGTGGGACGGGTTATACAAAAAAATTGGAGAATATAAAGGGTTACTTTAGAACCTGTTTTATTACAAGCGCCCAGTTGAACTGAAATGACCCATCTCCTGTATACTTCACATTAATATTAACAAGGTTGAAATAGGTACATATTTTTATAAAACGCGTTCAAGTTGTATAAGTGGATGTTGACGCGCCGAAAAGCTATGTGCTACGTATTTCTTATCTTATCAGCCCTGTTTTCTTTAGCGCGGGTCTAGAAATAGGTCATGTCAATACATACGTTAGGTACATATAACATGCCCGTATTTAGGTATTTCGTACAGTTACACCAAGTTTGTTGCATTTATGCGTATAGTTTGCCACGTGATACAGCGAAGATGCTGTACCTGCCGCTAATTTGCCCCTCCTCTCCCCAAACTTCTTCCAATGACGTGAGGTCGACAGGAAAAAAGTCAACCCATTTTCTCTTTTTATTTCATTCGCTCGTCATTCTATCCCGCTTGCTCCTTATCCACCTCGGCCTTGTTCTCAATATTACGATTGAAGAGGCATACATTGGTCTTCACAATGCCGATCACTACAAGGCCTTTAATAAAAGCTTCTAGGCTCGGGTCGCTTATCCGACAGCCTCGGGCTCCTCGCGTCTTCTATTCGAGCGGCTCAAAACTACCCGGTGGCACTCCTGGTGAGGCCTCAGAGCAAGCGGTACCGCTAGGTCTCTATTACGAAGCTGTCCTCAACAGGCCGCAACCTATTCCCGACGTCAAGCCCGAAGAGCCCCCTACTTCATCGCCTAAATCTCCCCGGAGTATCGTTAAGAAGGCCCCCGCCAAGAAGTCCAAGGATGAGGCCACCCCGTCGTCTTCATCCTCTTCTACCGGGCCTGAAACCTCCGCAAAGTCGGCGACAGCACAACAAAAGGCACGTATTATCTTTGGCTCGCGACTCGCTGGCCCAGCCGAGAGAGCCGAGCGCCTCGAAGCCATCCGGAACCGCAGTACGCTAATAGCCGGCGTCTTAGTCCCCCCACGGCCAGAAGAGCCAGACAACTGCTGCATGAGTGGGTGTGTGAATTGTGTCTGGGACCGCTACCGTGACGAGATGGAGGACTGGGTTAGCGCGTCTGCGATAGCCCAAAAAGCTCTGCAAGCGCAACAATCGCAACAATCGCAACAAGGAAAGCCATCCAAAGAGGTTCCAAGCGCGGCCAAAGTTACGGGAGGAGGGCTATCAAGTCTGACCAGTGCTACGAGTATGGATGACGATGGTGGCGGCAGTGAAGTAAACTGGCAGCCGGACTTGAAGGTAGCTGATCGACCCAAGATTACCAAGGACTTTTGGGACGATGACCTATACAAGGACGTGCCGGTTGGCATTCGAGAGTTCATGAAGCAGGAAAAGAGACTTAAAGAAAAACATATCAGGGAGGGTACTTTCGGCGCTTAGAGAGAGATGGCTACATCATATATACCCCTATCGAGCAATAGAACAATCCGCCAAAGAACTACTTCACATTCGAGTCGGCTTTATGGAATGTCCGAAATTCTTATATTTCTTTGGTGTTTGGTTTGGGGCCTAAATTCTCGATGCGTATCGAGTTGCCCGCGGTGTCTATCTGGCACGCCATGTCCATCCTACCTATCCGAAAAGGAAAGACTCCAACCGCAACTCCAGTTACCGGCTGCACCTAAGCAGTACCGTTCCCGTTTGTTTGCTTCTTCGCTAGCTCGTCGTGTAGGTCGATATCCGTTGCCTCCCACGGATAGCATATCCATTCATCGCCTATCGTCCTCGCTGCTAGATATCGCGATTGCGCTATCATGTCTGAGGGCAATGTACCCTTCTTCTGCTTATCCTTGTTCTATTTGTTGTATCTGTTAGCATCTGCGGTAACAGACTTCCTGACACCCCAGGACTCGCGATCACTTACATGTAGGACAAAGATGCTGAATTCTGTCTTCTCATCATTGCCCAACTTTCGCCGCGCCTCCTCGACATCCTTCTCCAGTTCCTTAACGGCGTACTCTAGCGTCGTTCGCGTGTCGTCAACTTCGTCCACGATCAGGATGCGCTTGCCGACCAAGTTCTGGATCTCGCCCAGACTGCTCAGGTCAAGCCATTGAGTGCGAGTGACTTTAGTTCCAATCTGATCTACGACGCCTTCGTCCACGCTCGAGGAGTCTTTTACGGGCAACTGCTCGTATAGGGAGAGACCAATGGCCTGGATAGGGATGTTGGGACTACCAGGCTGTTTGAGGAAGGAGCGCAAGATTCGCGCCGGCACATAACCACCACCGCCGATGGCGATAATAAGTTGCGGGTTGAATGCACTCAGAATCTTGGGGGCTGCCTCTTGGCAGAGCTTGTGAACCTGTTGGTCGCCAAATCGGTTAGATAATTGCAGACGCAAACCAACTTTTTCAGATTTTCAGACGGCATAGCCAGTTTCTCACCGGCTCCCCGAAGCAAGAAGCAGGAACAGGGGGGGGTTATGTTGTGGTGAGGTTATGTTGTGGTGAGGTTGCAATAGGTAAACGAGCAAGATCAAGATCTGCTTACATCGTTGTAAGTGACGTAGATCTTCTCCACCATCTTGGTTGATGCAGAAGATAGAATGGTGGGGGAAATCTGATGTTTTTACGGCTTGTGTGCTTTTGAAGAACGCGGGAAAGAATTTAGAAGGAGAGGTGAAGAAGCTGGTGTTAGAGGAGCATATAGAAAAATAGAGAAGAAGGATTCCTGTATAGAAAAGGAAGGGCTAGAGGGAAAAGTCTCGAGTTTGAGTTGCGACTGGGACTCGAAGGGAAAGAAACTTTTAGTGGGGCAATGAATTTAGAGGGCTTTTTTTACGTGGGGCTTTGGGAGGGACCTTTTCCAGGTGCACGACCATTTCTGTAGCGACAAATTAGGCAAGTGACTGCCACTGGGACCTCGACCGTGACACTCAGACACTACAGCTTGGGGTACCTAGTACCACTAATACTCTAAATTCACGGCCATCTCCGCTACCTTAAATCTTCCGCTTAGGTACAATACTTACCTCTGACCTCCACCGCTCTTACCTAGGTATTGTACATAGGTACTTATATGTCTTATATGTTGTACCTAAGTCACACAAAACAGGAACATTCACCATATTTCATCCGGGTAAAAATCGATGTTTCAGGGTTATTTATAGAATATTCCCCGCTGTGCAACAGAACATGTCCAAATAAAATATACCTGCGACCTAAACATAACTGACCTGGACCTTGCAGGCAACCGAATACTCAGTATATAGCATATGTACCTATGTACCTCTTATGGATTGACATGGTGGGGAACGCCGAAGTTAACATTAATAGAAACTTTATGAGACGAACGGGTAAGAACGAGCATATGTCAAATCAAACTTAAAAGAGAAAAGTAGGGAACTACGATAAAATACTTTATCGCCTTGACCAACCAAATCTACCTAACCTAAGGCTTAGTCTCAAGATCTAATCCTTTCACATTAGGTACATAATACATCATCATATACTTCTACGCTACCTACCTATACACTACCTCCTATACATATAGGTACTACGCATTGATCTATCAACTCTAGACCTAAATATGCACACATCTCCTTTACTAGAAACAGTAGCGAATACATCAGTGGACTCCGCGTAGATCACAGACACCAAACCTCATATTGGCTAGCTTCACCCCGCGAGGCCATAGCACCGGTACGGCAGCCACTTTACCCTCGATCCCTTAACGAAAAAGGGTTCTCGAAAAGCGAAGACCTCTCAACAGTAATGGACGAAGCTAAAGTAGACATCCCTCTCATCACATCCTTACCTCCCTCGCAAAAACTCGTTTCTTCACAACAAATGCAGGACTCTTCAAGCCTCTATCTTGGTGGATACTAGGATACCCCCATAGGAAAAATACCAGCCCTTGTGCCGTATCTAAAGCCCCCAGACGAGCAGGACCTATACAAACCTAATGTTAAGATGCCTTTCCGGTTCGCCGTGTACAGCGGAGGAAAACTGGATCACTGGCGGTATAGATTTGTAGCACGAAAAGACCTATTGTTTGAGGTTAGATATATCAGGGCGTTATATTACAGAAACGTTGCGGTGGAGGTCTTGCTTATGGATATTTTCTCTCTTCTCTGGCACCTTGAACGGAGAGCGCTTCACGATCAGTCATGTCTGGAGTGTCTATATCCCCGGGAGTGGACATATATAAGTTCAGAAACGACCGTGTCCACGCCACCATGCTTCGAAACTGCGTGCGCCGAGTACAAAAAGCGCACCCGGAACGGATATCTAGACGACAGTTCCGTACATGATTCGCCAGTGGTGAGTGGTGCCGAGATAAACGATCATGACCTTGAGATGAAGTTGAACATCTTTCTCGACGGGCTAGATATGGCAAGCGTAGACCCAGAGGAGGTAAATGGAACATGGGTAGACGATACTATAGAGTTTCCAATGAGGTAGGACGCTCAGACTATCTAGTTCGTGAAAGGGGAAGCGAGAAAAGTATAGTCTTTCAGCGGCTTGAAATTTAATATTTAGCGTCAGGTCCTTGGGTATTCAAAAATCAGAACATTGTGTAGAGTTACTTACTATTACGACATCGGTTATGGGAAAGGTTGCATTAAGATCAACCCGAGCAGCGTTGAAGATAGATTTAGTCCGTCAATAATTAATATAGCTTCTACCTTGATATGATAGTCGTTATGCTCATAGTTTGGCGCTGGGGATATGAACATGCTCTACTATTCAGGAATTCAGACAAGGCTACAGAATGTCCTAACCGAGGTGCAACCAGGCTCAACATTTAGATACAAGTCGAGGAATAATTAGATTTAATAAATGATATAGCTGTCTAAATTCTATCCCACGAAATCCAAAAAGCCGCCACCGAAGAAGTCTTCCATCCTGGGGAATATCGCATGCTCTGATATGTCGAAGGGTGGGAAAATCGACTCGGATTCTAGTTGCTGAGCCCCTGGTGAGCATACTTCCCTCGCGTGGTATCCCGTCGCCTCATGATGATTGGGGCCATGACTATCGACTCCGGCCGGTGCGGTTATTTCGTCTTGCTCACTGCCATGACTCCGGAGATGCGTCCCCGTCGGCGTCTGGTGGTCGCTCGTCGAGCCTGAATCGCCGCGAGTTCGGGATTCCATTTTATGCTTAGCTAGCGTCCCGTACTTAAAGGACCAAGCTTTACCAGGGGATGTTCTAATCCATTGATCGATTTGTATGATCAAGTCTCGACTAACCTGGTCTGAGACCTTTGACTGCGACTCGTCGTAATGCGCGAGGAGTAGGGCGCAATACCCGATGCACAGGCACAGACACGTAGGGATCGCATCCATGAGGAAGGACGGCATTTCTAGGAAGGTCTGTAAAACAAGCATGGCGTACTTACACGTATTTATTCGCAAGGTATTGCCATCTCCGTCCTTGTTTCGTCGCGGATGTGTTGAAGCATGGCATTCGTTATTGCTTGCGTCCTCTCCATCTATCTCCGAGAGGAACGTCCGTGGCCGTAGCCCTTGTCCGACTTCTTCTAGCGACCGAACAGCTAGGATGAGACAGGCAGCGTGATATCCAATTTTCAGCATTGACGATGTTGGAAGGCCTATGCCGTTTAGCAGATGTATTTAATATCCCAATAGACGCGTAACTCACCTAATAGGTGGTTCCATTTCTCTTTCCACGATAGGAACTCTTTGCATTCACCGCCATCGCCAAGATATGACTGATGCGTGAGCTTCTGATGTAAGGTTGAATAGAGTAATATCTCAGCAACAAGCATCCCATCTTGCATAGTAGCTTGGTAGAAGTTGAGCAAAATGTTGCATTGGTTGATGTAAGAAGCTGGTATGATGGATGGCCTGCCTGTTGTTGCAGCCCAACTATAGTGCAAGTAGCGTATTAGTTACCAGAATGAACCACGAATATCAATACTTACTGGAGATGGTGGAGGCAAATCTTAGACCATAAGTGAATGGCTTTATGATCCTCACTCGTTAAGTTCCCTTGTTTTATGCTATTTATTATCTTGGAGAAACTTATGCTGAGCATAGCTTGTTTAGCACAGTAACCAGTCAATAACCAGCTGTCGACATAGTCGACTCCGTTCTGTTTGAAGTCAGAGAGAGGTTATCATGGACATCAACCAAGATAATAGTCACATACACCACCTGGGCTATTTGCATTGTTGCTCATTATCAACACAGCGTTAATCTCTTCGAGATTCAGGGGGCTCGATAGGAGAGCTTGTCCCAGTGTGATTCGAACTTGTTCGTACATCTGCCTATGCATCGATGATCCGCATATATCGCTACGGTAGGCGACGCCCATTAGACAGCAGACGCTGTGCAAGAAAGCGGATACCCTGCGAGTCTCGCTACTTGCAGCCAAGTCCTCTACACCACAGACGAGGAGGTTGTGACCTTGATAGCGGAAGAAACTTTATCTCATGTTAATAAGCACACTGCTACCTGAGATGGGCATTCGCTATTAAAGCAGGTTTCAGACTCACAGGTGGATTAACTCATTTGCAGTCTGTTCGTCAAGAAGCTGGAGCTGCACAAGATCAACATTAATATGTTCCAGTAACCTCCTGTAGCCTCTAGTGATTTGCTGGGATATTGATCTAAGCACGACAATCGGTGCAGACTGAGCCCCTTTATCGGCTGGGACCGAGAAATACTCAGGAATGTGAGTTTCTTGTTCCACGCGTAGCGTGTGGCCGTCGCCAACATTGGAAGAACTCTTGCTATCCAGAGCTCGACCATTTCGAGATTGAGCACCCGAAGTTAAGTCTTTAAGCATTGACTTGATCTCTTGTAATTCACCTTCATACCGTCGAAGCCTAATGAGCGTGTAAGCCTGCTACAGCAAACTGGGGATAATGGTTCAGAGCCACTCCTAAACCTAAGGGCTACAAGTATACCTTTCTTCGATGTTTGAAGTAGCTGACTCGGTATTTGAACTGGATGAAGATACTACGTTTTCTCCGCGGAGAGAACATTCAATTCTTTACGCAGACTATTAGTTAAAGCTTTTGACATACGCCGTGCAAGAATACATAGGGTACGGGTAAATACGCCAAGGATATCATTCTGCGAACCTCAATGTCTGACACCGATGGCAACCCTGGGCGCCGGGATCATATTCGCATCTGCACTTCAGCCTCTGGCACGACAGGCAAGAGAATGCCCGGCGCCGTCGCTTCTGCGGTTCCCCGGTCGGGTTGTCGTCCGCGCCGCGACGTTTCGCAGATGCGGGAGACGGAGATAATAACGTCTCCTCATGCTCAAGGCCATTGATACGTAAGCCGTTGGCAGGTCTCATTCTATACACGTTTGAGTGGCCTATAGAGATTATGCAGAAAGTAAATCATTATCGCCGACGGAAATCGAAGGCGGATTACAAAAGCTTTTTGTTCGACGGTAGCGACAAACGACAAACGCAGTAGCGATACGCGCCATCGGAAGACCCACCCGACGCCTTCCTTCCGGATTGAAAATGTCCGTCGGGTATCGGCGGCGGAACATCCAGCCTTAGGTAAGGACTTGGAACCTTTGGATATCCACTTTTTAAAAGGGGTCACTCCTTTACTTGGTAGGTATATACTTCGCTCAATCCAAGTATGAGCCATATCGTGATATGTAGAAGCTCCTACATTCCAATGTTTGATATGCAAGTATGGTATATCCAAGTTTACCTAGGGCTCTATGCTAGCGGATTAGGTTTATGTAGCTTAGTACAACAATCTGGTAAAAGATTCCAAAACCTACCTCTTTTATTTAGAAGCATTGCTATTCAGAGATGATTATACCAAAAGGCAAGCAAACCAATTCCAAGGTATAAGATGCACTTGTTTGCTATGGTTGTGTGCGTTATAAATCTTCCAAGATCATTGCACACCCTAGCTTATGAAAACCATTTCCAAGAAAATATAAACCCAAAGAAATCCGGCCAAATGAACATTTTTAAATAAGAATATTTTCTACAATGGAGTAGCTGGCTTCTTATCGCAGATAAATGGATTGTTGCCTAAAGTTGCACTTTCATGTTTTATGATAGATAATATTAAATGTTATTGCAAAGATCAATCCACTAACGGTTTGCTTTTTTCCAAAAGTATCCCCGTGTCTAATTCACAACTCTTCACTACTTAAAGAAATAGCTACAATACTAAGTTTCAATAATGAAATAATTGGTAGTACTTCCATATTCAAACTGCTGTAAGACAGCGTGGTTCTCTCAATCTTTGTGGCTACTTCTACTTACACATAGTCCTTCTATGTTGTATTTTATTCTCCTGGTTCAACTTCTATCTCTACTCCACGATATTTCGAGTGCGTGAATCTTCCATCATCCACCTTTTACTAGTTTCCAACCGTAGTTTCCTGTTCATCCTGTATCCTCGGCTATGATTAGCGCAAATACTTCTTACCTAGATATACGGTCTAGAACACCAATCGATCCTATCTACGTTCTTTCCAAAGTCGGCGAAGGATATCGTGTGCCTTCCTTCCGACTGCAGCTACTACTACCTAGCTATATCAGTCTAATTCACTAATTCAACTCCCACCGAACTGCTATCACATACCTTCCCAGTCAACTCTCCATAGTATTTTCAAGAACGACCCGTAGTATAAGCTAGATAGGCATCTACTTGTCGGGGCAACTTTTACTTGTCTTGTTTTTTCACCCTGCTAGATGTTTCTACTCTAACTGATTCTACTGTTTTACCTCATCCTGGCTAGAAAGCACCAGAGCCCAACGGATATAGGCTCCAGTCACAGCAGCCTCCCTCTTCTAGTCTTCATAAGCATCACCATCCCTTCCTAAATGGTAAGAAAACACGTTCTACGGTATGAATACGACACTCCGCCACTATGACCTCTCTATGCCTACTCTCCATACCTACTGTCTACCTTGACTTATCGTGTTAATGCTATGACTCGCCTCGCCTCACCGATATAGCCACTACTTATTTGATCCTTCTTCCCCTCTTCATATCGTCTCACCAACGTTGGCATCCGCTTTTACTACCAAATCAATAATCCCATCTTTCCATCCAAGTGACAAGTGGTAGGCAAATCGCCCTCTCACCTTCCTGTCGTCTATCCCCATTTTCTAGTCTATTAAGCTTGACACTACACTACCAAGTACTCACTAGATTTAGACGAACCAAGCTACTGACATCATGATCATAGTTGACACCTAAACAACCATGAGTCCAGATATTGATTCACTGCACGGCTCTGTGGGATGCCGCCGGCTTAGGCCGCGGGGAGAGTCCGAGGAAGAGCGCCCACGAGACAGCATTCAAGCTGATATTGAACGTCGCTTTCGAGAAATGCCGTCACATATTGGTCGCAGTACTGTTAACAGTAGCGGAGCTGACCAAACCGAAGAGGACGAGGACTTAGCAGAGGATATTGCTCAGGTGATCGAGGTAATTGATCTAACTGTGTCTGGGCCTGTAGCCGCATCAAGAGCGCCACGAAGGCCTCGGGAGAAACCCGTAAAGCGCAACCCAACAATAGATCCAGGTCAGCGGCTAGAGAGTCATGACTACGAGAACCAAGTACTAAAACGCGGTGTTCTTGTTGAGATGGAAGCAGTTTCAGCGCTACGACAAGCATCATTCCTGCTTATCCAGGATATTATCCTTACTGGGAATGGCATCGTCCTCCGAGGGCTCCCTCTAACGCGCGCGAGAAACTTAAGGGGGCAACTACCCCGACTCCGGAATGAACTTATATTTATGCTTGAGATCGACCAAGACGACCACCGACCTGATGAGGAACAAGCGGCGATTGAAATACCTTTGACCAAGGTTAAAGGGGTTCGGAACTTTCTCATCACCAACAAGGACTTTCCCGAACACAGGTTTCCTAACGGAATCTATAAGGATACTCATGAGATAGAAGAGAAAGGGGTCCTCATATGCCGTTGGAAGTGCAGAAACATCTGGAGCGATGCTATGAAGCGGTGTAATAGCAAGCCTCCTATCGAATTCGAGGTATCGCGTATAACCTACGAGGAGGTGCCAAAGGAAAGATACCGCACCCCTAGTCCCTGCTTGACAAATAAGTGGCGCGGTGGGATAGTTCGCGGTGGTTCGTTCGTCCCGGGCCAGACAAACGACTCGCGGATGATGGTAGATGTTGATGACCCTGAGGACCAATCTGGTGAATTTCCCGATGAGTGGATTCCGAGGAAGCCAGGGCAGCAATATACCTTTGGCGACATGTTCTGTGGAGCCGGAGGGACATCATGCGGCGCCAGGACTGCTGGCTTTCGTATCACGGTGGCTTGTGATTATGCAAAAGGGGCCTGCAATACTTACCGTGAAGAGTTTAGAGAAGCAGAATTACACGAAGACGATATGTATAACTTCATCATGTCAAAGCAAGCTTCCACTAACCACATTGATGTGCTTCACCTATCACCGCCGTGTCAGTATTGGTCGCCGGCCCACACTACTCCCGGTGCAGGCGACGAGGCGAATATCGCAATCCTGTTTGCCTGTCATGAACTGGTCAAGGTCTTCCGCCCACGAATTTTTACAGTGGAACAAACTTATGGCATCCTGCACTCGAGATTTGAGTATTATTTCAATGCTCTGATCCACGGGTTCACTCGGTACGGTTATTCTGTACGATGGAGAGTAGCCAACCTCCTTCAATGGGGAGCGGCTTCGCAGCGACAGCGGCTAATCATATTCGGCTCCTGTCCAGGTGAAGCACTACCGCCATTTCCGCCAGCTACGCACTCCAAATATCCGAATCCTGACCAGGGGACCAAGCCTTACAAGACAGTCAGGCAAATTCTGAATAAGATTCCCCGAGATGCCTTACTACATGACCCTCTTCATAGCACCCGTAAGCTTAAAGAGCTAAGAAATAAACGGTGGAACCCTGACGTACCGCTTGCCCGTACTATTACCTGCGGTGGTGGCGTAGGAAATTATCACTACAGTGGGAAGCGTGACTTCACACTTCGAGAATACGCAGTACTACAAGGGTTTCCGGTGGACTACAACTTCCAGCAACCAGAACAGAAGCGCCAAATCGGTAATGCTTTCCCACCCCTTGTAGTCCGAACGCTTTACAAGCATCTCCGCAGGTGGCTAGACCAGCAGGATCGAGTGTATGCCGATGGTGAACTCTCGGAGTCTGAGGACAGCGATAGTGGCAACGATGATGATATGCGAGGACAGGTAGAAGAACCTGATTATGATAGCGAGGTCGAATATCTCGGAGGGCTAGCAATCGACCGAAACGATAGCGTACAATATCTAGGGGGAAGGTATTTACATCAGCAAGGTAGCGAGCCACTTACTATTGACGACTCGGGGCCAGATGACTCGGAGCCAGATGCCATGGCCATAGATGCCATGAGCGAAGATGTTCACAGTCCTGACATTTGCATCGATGCAGTTCAAGCGGTAGGAAATGATCCTTTTCATCCAATCCAGATTAAGTGAAAGGAATGGACACTAGTCATACCATTTACGCAAGGGCATTGAGATTTACAGCATGGCTTTGGAGGAGTTTCGTCGAGTTTGCAGCTAGACTTAGAGGATATGAGCACGGGTTCTAGCACTGCTATGTACTGAGCCCCCGAACGCGAGTCGCGTTATTGTGCTCTCTATGTAAGAGGATAGACTAGGCATCGACCAATGCAGTTTAGACAGACGAGATAGATCAGATCACATTTGCTACCAAGTTTATGGATCATGGATCGTAAGCTTAACGGCATAATAATATTGATTACCCCCCTTCCCGAATAACAGTGTAGTGTTGGTTTCGACGTTTCTATTTCCTATGACAAATTCTTTAACCCCTGAGTCATTTTCATTTCCATGTCGTACGTAGGTATGTGATGTAGAAGAACTAGACCTTTCTCATTGCCTTAGAACGGTTAGGCTTGACACTGCTGTGAGCTTATATGCATGAAAACACACGGGAATCGTAAGACCCGGGGATATTAACCGTGGTAGCATTCTATTTCCATAATGAAGGGGTCACCGTCGAGTCTGGGTAAGGTTTGGAAGCATAAGCGATAATTACGAGAGCTAAAGTATGCTAAGTACCTATGTAGGCTGTAGATGACCTATTGCAAACCAAAGCCTTTGTCTAGCGGCTTAGAAGCTGTGGGCTATGTTCTCAAGGACGATGATGAGGCTGGTAGCGAGGTGAGCTTATCAAATCGGGTCACGGAGCCTGTTCACCAGGGGTGGAGGTCTAGAACATTAGAGCTGTGCCGTTAGTCGAATATGGGAATGCTGTCGAAGTTATTATTGTTCCGGGAGGACGAATCGGGGATGGCTTGGAAAAAGCACGTCAAAGCGGTAATGTTAGATTCGCAAGATATAGACTTACAAGCATAACAAATCGCTGGTGGCTAAGATTTCATTAAATTTAGGATATTCATATTAGAAGTAGCTATCCGGTTCGTCCAATTTTAGTAGTGCCTTTGAGGCTTGAAAGAGGCTTGTGATCCGGTATTCCCGTGGTCGTGGCTGTTGGAGACTCCGTATTGAAGTTATTGGCACCATATGCATGTAGGCAGCCTTTTCCTAGCCTATCTACCCAGCTAGCCATCCACAGTACCTAGTACCAGTTCAACTTCCGAGGCTTAAGTTTGGTAAATAGGTAGTACGAGTCCGATCTAGAGGCTAAGGGACAGGAGGGGCCGCCATGCAGCCAGAGTCCACAACGGAAGAGGCCGTCCGTAGAAGCAGACTTCGCTAGCCGAATGTATCGGACCCGAAACCCTGAAGAAACCCGCCGAGTTATTGCATGAAACTTATACTGTTGCTCGACACGTGTTTGGGCTAAGAAGCTAGATCTAGAAGTAAACACTACCGATGTATATACTGTGCCGCTGCGTGCTAAGTCTTTGCTTTACCGGACTTATTCCTTTTCAAAACGCCTAAGAATTAAAAAGCAATATAGCATCTACGGCATCGGCCGCTTTTGCGGGCATTTGTAATGGAAAAGCTAGTTTTATGTAGGTAGTTGTTTAAGTCCTGCTAAAACCCGACTTATACAAATAGTAACAAATACCCTGACATGAATTCTCGGCACGCTCGGCATTCGTAATTATCCCTGTACAAATAACAAATGGTAAGAAATCTGACGATTTCTTTTTTTACTATAGTACTAACCTAGGTATATTGGAATTTTTGCTTGTTAACAGGGCGAGCTACGGGCTAAGAGCTAGGATATAATTTTGGATTTAAGATCTATGGGGATGATGTTGCAATGCGGCTACGCAGCTAATCCCTTCGATGTTGCATCTGAGACATGAATACGATGTACGACATTGGAGACCCAAAGATTACAGAGTTCTAGACCGTCGAGACCGTCAACTTGTCGCTACGAATTTAAATTTGCTAAGATGGCTTTGGGCTGATATGGCTGACGGATGGTAGCATTTTAGATTGGAAGTCCTTACATAGTAGTCAAAATATCAACCGATTTCTTCCTTAAGGAAAAGGCCGATATACATATTGGGTTATAAGTTACAGGGCTACTGCATGCATATACATACATCTGGTACCTGGCATACGGATCATAGCGGATGGATCTGATCTCTTTTTGGAGTACGATAGGGCAGACCGGAAAGAGGACAGCTAATTTCAACATGCAACCGGTCGAGATGCAATACCTAGTTGACATACTAGGTTAGGAGGTAGTTACATCATGTAAGAATCCCAAAGGAAGTTTTGTCACCATAGATCGATGTGTCGATAACTAAAGTAGACTCTGCATAATAAGATGAATTATCATGCATAGGATCATGCATATGTAGTTTCAATCTCCAAAGTCGTGAAATCGATTTCCACTGCCGAGCTTTCTATTCCAGCAGCAACATCAAAGAGAGATTCGCAGTGACGCACACCCTTGCGTTAAACTGACATGTTTCGACGTGACTTGTCATAAAAGAAAGAAATATTTATGGATTACTCCGTGCGAAGAGAGCGCATGGACACTCGCATGGACATTCAAGTCAACATCAGACGAACGAGAGATTATTACCATAGCTTAGGTACCTATGTATTAAATAGCTAGGGTATGAACTCGGCCATCGCAATACCCACGTTTTTCAATATATCTTGAATACACTATATCTTATTTTCGATCTATCAGATCTCGCCAACTTCGTCTAGTGTATTCGTGCAAGGAGGCTAAGCTACGCACATATATAGAAACCCCTTCTATATTCTATATAAAGGATGATGTAGGATTTCGCGAACCGGATGTGAAAGTCGAGACTTGGATTTATTGAACCAATATAATATACATACGTAGTGTGTGGAGCGTAGTAATATATATGTTAGGTAGATTTCAACGTAGTGCTAACCAGGAGCAGTAAGCTTAACCATTAAGCATCGATGATGATTCGCGGTTCCTATTCCGCAAGCTGATATCCGAAATAAGGCTGCTCGAAAGCTATTGGAACCCTTCTTTTCTACTTGCACTGAATGTACTAAACAAATCATTTAGTTACCTACCATGTGCTATGTAGTTACGTAGTATACGGTGTGGCGTTACCGGTGTCGTTGTGATAGTGACTGCATTCTGTTCCTGACTAGTAACCCCTCTGCCCCTTAATTAACCATCCAGGGTCCTGGTTTGCCAAGCAAGATTGTGCCGATCTTCATTTTACATAGAAGCCTGTCAGCACTCCTAAAGCTTACTGCTCTAGCTTCACGATACATGCTATACTCATATAATCACAGTAGTAAATGGAAGTATACAAGAACTTAGGTTTCTTCTTTTTTCTTCTTCTTTAGCTACCTACCTAGTCGATGATACATACATAGTACGTAGGTACATAGTATATGTAGGATGGAACCGACAAGCGATTGCACGAGTAAACGTCATCCCGACGTACAGAGACGTTCGGCAGAGGGAGGGACAGGGGATCAACATAATCCTCAGTGGCTTGAAAACGGCAATCAAACTATGTACTGTGCGTATATTCCGTAAGCGTCTAAATATTAACGAACTTCATATGTATTACTGCGAGCTATACATAGGACGTTGTATTTCTTAGCCAATAGTGACACGCGATACCTCATATTTAGACGCGTTCAAACTTGAGATACACTAATGTACTTTTGCATGTCCAATCACATCAGTAATACTCGTTAATTTGCAGAAGATGAAGAAAGTACATATCTAGGTTAGGTAGGTATCTAGGTAGAGGTAGACGCATGTTCTCCTTTTCCTAATCTGTCACTCCGGCCCCCTTTCTCTCCTAGCTTTTTGTCTTGGTATCTTAATAGGCGCCCGTGCGTATTCGCTCAAAACCCCACAAACTAGAAGGTTGCCGAGATATAGAAAAGAAAAAAACCCCTGTCGACAGGCCTAGAAGCTCCACAGCCGAAGATACCGAAAGGAGGTGAGACGATTCAGGCGAGCCTCGCCATTGGGACGCCAGTCACTAAGGGCAGAATTTGACGATCTGAATTAGGCCAATCGTACTGACCGCTATGCTAAGTAGGTACTAGGTGAAGAAATGCTCCGAATTCATTGCAAGGCCTAGTACTGCCAAATCACGGGTGGCCGGGTAGCGATGGAAGCCCACGTAGTCCCCTTGGCCAGTGTGTTGATGCTAATTTCAGACGAAGGCATAGAAAAGAGAGCGTATGCCGTCTTTTGGAATGCCTCTTTTTCTTCCTTCACTCCCATCAAGCTTCGGCCAAGATTGTCACTCTTTTGTGCTTCCGGCGTAATCATTCTTTTTCGGAATATCTACTATTCCAGTCCATTCTTTAAGCAGTTACTGTTGCGAAGTTTGATTAAAAAAATGCGTTTCTCTACCCACGGCTCCGCGGCCGTGGCCATGGCGGCCCTCGCCAGCGCCACTGCCCCGGTCTCTGAGCGCCATCTCCTTGACGTTTCCAAGGACCTCAGCCAGCCTATCTCTGCTAACGTTGATTTGGGCGTGGACTTGAGCGGTACTATTCTCGTTGCCGGTGTTGTTGCCGGTGTGGCCGTTCCCCCTCTAGTTGGTGCCGCTGCCGATGTCGAGGTTTCCGTTGTTTGCGACACCTGCTACACCAAGGGTAGCATCGACGCCAGCATCTCCCTCGACAAGGTTGTCCCCGCTCTGAGCCTGTCCCTCAAGGATATCGAGGCCAAGCTCGACCTCGACATTAGCATCGGTGCTGCCGCCACCATCGCTGTCAACCTGTTCACCCCGGTCGCCCCTATCTCTCTCCCTCTCCCTGGTCTTAAGGTTGATGCCCTTATCTTCCTCGACCTTATCATCGGTGTTGAGACCGCCATCGACCTGTCCGCTGGTATCGATGTAAAGCTTCTGGAGGATGCTACGATCGAGACCGACATCCTCGCCGGAAAGATCCTTGATGCTGCTTTCTCTGGGTTGTCCGTCCAGGTCCTACCCATTGAGGTCCGAATCGGCTGCACCAAGCTATTGGCCGATCTCCGTCTCCGTGTCGAACTTGGTGTTGCTGCTGAAGTCGATATTGACGACATCGTCCCCATCCTTGACCTTCCTGAGATCGGTGCCGGTCTCGAGGTTGCCGTCTATGCCAACTTGCTTGAGTACGTCGGTTTCTTCTGCGCTACTCCTTCGTGCCCTCTCTCTAAGGAGTCGTATGGCTTGAACGTTGGTGCTGCTGTGGCGCTTGATGTGTCTGTTGAGGACCTTCTTTCCCTCCACCTTGCTCCTACCGTCTCCACTGCTCTCCTCAGCTATCCTACGACATCCATCTGCGAGCACCCCTCGTACACTGCACCAGTCCCGACTCTTGCTGTTCCCACCGCTCCCGTCTCTGTCATTGCTTCTGCTTCTGAGTCCGGATCCGCCTCCATCACTGGCCCCAGCTCTGCCTACGCTTCCGAGTCTGTCTCTGCTACTATCCCTGGTTTCCCTATCGGCTCTGGCTCTGCTACTGTCCCCGGCTTCCCCGTCGGTTCCGGCTCTGCTAGTATCCCCAGCTTCCCCATCGGCTCCGGTTCTGCTAGTATCCCCGGTTTCCCTATCGGCTCTGGATCCGTCACCGTTCCCGGTTCTGGGTCTGCTACTGTCCCTGGTTATCCCGCTGGCTCTGTCACCCTTGGCACCTCTGTCACGGCTCCTGTCTCGGCCCCTATCCCTACTGGTGGCTCCATCACCTCGACCGTCACCAACGTCCAGACTTTCACCATCACCCAGTGTGCTGCTTCCGTGCCTAACTGCCCTGCTGGTTACGCTACCACCGCTACTCTCATCCACACTACCGTCTACACGACCGTGTGCCCTGCTACCCAGACTGGTGCTATCACTGCTCCCCCGCCGAAGCCCACTCACAGCCAGCCCGCTACTCCTTTGACCTTGACCAAGACTATCGTTACTCTTGTTCCTTGCTCCGAGGCCTCGACCTTCACTCCCCCCACCAACGTCCCTACTGCTCCTTACCCCACCGGTGGCAAGGCCATTCCTAGCACCACCCCTGCTGGCAAGCCTTCTACTAGCTACCCTGCCGGAACTCCTTCCGTCTCGAAGCCCGCTGGCACTCCCTCTATTACCGGCCCTACTGGTCCTTCTCAGACCGGCCCCGCCAGCACTCCTGCTGCCAGCTACCCTGCTAGCTCTGTTACCGTCCCCGGTGGCAAGCCTCCTGGAACTTATCCTCCCGCTGGTAACACCAACACTCTCCCCGTTGGTACTCCAAGCAGCGTTCCCGTTGGCCCTACCGGCAGCTCGCCTTCTGGTCCCGTCACCCCGACTGTTGTGCCTCCTTACCCCACTGGCCCTATCGGTGGCGGCTCCAACAGCACCGTCCCTGTTCCTCCGTCTCCCCAGACTTTGACCACCGTTGTGCCCAGCGCCAGCACCGTCGTGCCCAGTGCTAGCACAGTCAACCCGGGCCCCTCTGGATACCCTACTACGGGTGTGCCTCCCATCGCCACTGCCGGTGCCACTAAGGTTGGCAGCGGTATCGCTCTCGCCGTCGCCGGTGCTTTCTTCGCCCTTCTATAAGGGATGAAGTGATATATATTTGAGGGTGTAGTTAGAATAGGGGGAGAGGTCTTCTAATATGTAATGTTTCATTGGAAAGCAAGCATTTGGCGTGTTATCATAGCTTAGGTATATACCATTTATGTTAATGGCAGCTTGTAGATTTAGAAATCTCGGTCTTTGGCTATTGTTGTGCTACTATGTGATATGTTTTGTCTACTAGTCGCTGAGTAATTGAATTATTTTATCGTGCCAACGTGCTTTATGCTGATCACATCCTTGGCTCCCTCATATATATCTATTGTGTAGTTATATTTTTACCATCACTTCCACCAGTAGTGTTTGACTTGTCACCTTGCGCTTCGCGAGTTCTGCAGGGTCGTTTTACTATGTACGGGATTCGCCGGTAATATGTGGTGTTGAGGGCGTTGCTCATTTTTATTGTATCCTACTTTCTTGATCCTCTGAATCCCATTTATTCTTCTCGGGTTTAGAAACTTTTAGTATTTTGGAATAGTTTTTAGGCTTAAACCATTCTATCGTTTCCCCCTTGAATTATCATCGGACGTATTACTTGATGCATTTAGTGTGCATTAATCGGGGGGTCACGTGGACCCTCTGCTTATGACATCCGGATATGTAACAATACATATGATAAAGCTGCAACTATTCCCACATCTCTCGCCTATCAAGCGCCTATCAATCGTAATAGCAAGGAATTTTGCGTGGCTGAATTAAATCCCACAATTTCTTAATATTCAACTGCCGTTGACCGCCGGATCAACTTGGCTTACAAGAGAAGTTAGGCCCCGACTAATATATTAGTTTGGCTCCATCGGTTACGAATCCCTCGACAAATCCGACGCTTCTGTCCTAGCAGATCCTCTTTAGCTAGTTCACCGTTTTCATAGCTTCGGCCGGTTCGGTCTCCGCTCTGCTTGATCTGCATTTTCGGTTGGTCTGTTGCACCAAAAGCGTAGGCCACGCCGCACGATCTCACGTTCTTCCCCGCACCTCAGGGATTATTAGGATTATGATTATACCAATTATGAACTAAGGGTCGGGGGACTCCTGCTTACTTTAGAGGTTTGCTGGAAATTTCCCTTTCAGTTTTATACAAAAGGAGTTGTGTGACCGATCCTCCTGGTGAGTGGATTCAAGTAGTAGTTATATTTGAGTCTTCTCGTCGCCCATCTGTCAGTCGATTCGGTTTGTTTCTTACATCTCTTCTATTTGCGGAATAAATTTACCATTGGAAATCCAGAGTAAGCAGATCAGAACGCCGAAACATCAGGTACCCTACCTATTTATCATTTCAAAATGGCCCCCCCGTTCCGTGCCGAGCACTTAGGTTCGCTACTGCGGCCCGAAGAGCTGTTAAATGTGCGTGAAACCATTCGGGATAAGGGTGTCTCGGCAGAGGAGGCAGGGCTACCGGCAATTGAGAAGAAGGCCATTGGCGATGTAGTTAAGCTGCAGCAAGACTTAGGCCTGAAGGCTGTCAACTCGGGCGAATACAACCGCACCCGGTTCTGGGGTCTCTTTTGGGATGAGATCGAGGGTACCATCCGCCTTCAAGATGCAGACGCTAGCATGTTCCGGTTGTATCACCCGGATGTTGTTAGTCTGATCGAGACAGGCAGGAAGGTTATGCCCGGAGAGTCTGTCATTGCTGGAAGCAAGCTGTCGCACAGCCCTGCTAAGGCCGTGTCCAATCTGTCTGAACTTCAGGGGGTCCAGGCGTTCGTTCCAAAGAGCGAATGGGGCAACATTAAGCTTACTATGATTGCGCCGTCTTGGTTCCACATGAGGTACAAGCAGGGCCAGGCCTATACCAAAGAAGCCTATGCCAACGACGCCGAGTACTTCGCAGACGTCGCTAAGGTTTATCACGCCGAATTAGAAACGTTATACAAGGCCGGGCTACGAAATGTTCAATTTGACGACCCTGGCATGGCTTGTAAGTCTGCTTTAAAATGTTTCTACAACAGTCCTCAGGCATGTGGCTAACAAGAAAACAGACTTCTGCTCCAAGGACTTCCAAAAGGGTTGGGAAGAAGACAAGGACAACATTGGGACATGGGAGGACCTTCTTGACGCCTACATCAAACTATACAACGACTCCCTTGCCGGCTTACCGGCAGACTTCCACTCGGGTATCCACCTGTGCCGAGGTAACTTCATCGGCGGAAGGCACTTTTCCGAGGGAGCGTACGATGTAATTGCGAAGAAGCTCTTTGAGGACTTGAACGTAAATACATTCTACCTCGAGTATGATACTGAACGAGCGGGCGGCTTTGAGCCTCTGCAGTTCCTCCCTAAGGACAAGTACGTCGTGGTTGGTGTCATCAGCACAAAGTTAAGGCAGCTAGAGGATAAGGAGGAGACGAAGGAGCGCATCTACAAGGCGGCGGACTTCGTAGCGAAGGGAAGTGGCCAAACCCGTGAGGAGGCCCTGAAGAGAATCTGCATCAGCCCACAATGCGGTTTCAGCACCCACGAGACTGGATATCCCTTAACAGTTGACGATGAGAAGAAGAAGTTGTCGCTTGTGAGGCAGATAGCTGACGAAATTTGGGCCGAGCCCTAGATGTGTAAGTATCTATGGATATGTGCATGACAGGAGTTCTCGGACAGGAGATTATCAGTTATGATTTGCGGAGGTTTAGCGGTGCGTTCTTGGCTACTTCAACAGTCCAAAATTTCAGGTTAGACGGATAAAGATGGGAAGCCGCAGGTGCGGCTGGTGGGCGCATGTTTTTGGGTATACCCACGGTGAATCAACTTCTAGGACGTACATAACAGGGACTCCGTCTTCTAGAGGCACGGTGAAATTTTGAAAACAGTCGATACTACACATGGTCTATAATCTGCCCGTTATATAAGGGGTACGATCGTAACATCAAATAGGTCTTGTGGCTGCGGCTGGCGTATCTTGGTTAGCCTTGTACGCTTTCATAATACTTTCATAATACTTTCATAATAGAAAGCGATGGTCTAAAACTTTGGAACCCGGCGACGAGCGGGCTATTTATGGAATTGTTGTGTACTTCAAAGTGATAACTGCGTGGTATCTGAATGAACTAACACATACCACTGTCCCGTCGTAATTTGAGACAGGTGTAATTTGTTGAGGAAAAACCATCATCCTTGGTATATTCTCTTGAATATTTGGGTGTGTGACTACTGTAATTGCGCAGTGACTTTGAGCCTTGGTTGCATTTCGTAGAACTTAGAAAATTGATGAGATTCGCTTCAAGGTTTCGTCTTTGTCAAGATAAAACCGTGATAGCCGAAACCAGAACCATCGCCGAGAACCTCCATCTCGATTTCCCAGCTAGTTCCATCGCAATTTAGTAGAGGTCTTACGAAATGCGGTTGTCGGTATGTCACGTAAAGGAACGCCCCATCATTTTTGAGGACTCGATTTACCTGTATAGTGTTAGTAGGCGTCTTATATGAATCGTATTATAAGATGAATTAAGATACAAGTAAAAGCGACTGCGTATATTTAGAGCAGCATGTTAGTAGTCAAGACCTGTCAAGACCTACCTCGCGGATGTATTGACCGGTATTCTGTTTAACATCGTCTGGTGGACTCCAGGGACTACCATGGATCATCGCATCCAAGGTTCCCTTATCAAAGGCGACATCTATCGACTTTTCAGGGATGTCATCCAAGTGGCGGACATCACCATGCTTCCATTCGATACCCTCCATACTGGAGTGTCTTTTAGACATGAGATCTACGACGACTGTCGAAAAGTCGACACAGAGTTGGTTCTTGTACCCCCTTTCCCACAACCCCACTGGCACGTCCTACGAGATACGTCAACTATGTTAATCGTTTCTTATACGAAGAAGATTATTTATTCTCTAGGAAAACATACACTATCTCCGGACCCTAAGTGTAAAATTCGTGGGTTTGTGTTGGGACTACGTGTTTGAAAGAGTCTCCGATCAAGAAAAGCCTCGAGTTCGACGAAATTCCTAAACCACTCATGAGTTGGTCGGTCTCCTTCGGCTTGGGCATAACGCTGATCCCAAAAGCTGGGATGCGAGAGACGCTCATTTTCTTCGTCTGACCCCATTTCGGGAACTCTTGACTATTTCAGCTTCAATTTCTGAGGGCGCAGCTCATCCCAAAGTTATCCTTGACCATCAACCCAAAGTCTAACCCAATCAGGCATATGTGGACCATTTTACACCATAATGGTACTAGCGCACCCAAAACTTAACTACCATTTCACTAACATTATATTTATGTAAATATATACTTTTACATACACAATATTATAAGACTTAATGGAATATAAATAAATTTAATGTAATAGATTAATAATTGTAGGAAGACCAGGTAGGGATAAATGATTAGGTAAAGATTAGGTGTACACCAATAAGCATACGTTGAAAGGAAAGGAAACACGGTACTGAAATGAGGCTATCACGATCTGTTGTTGTCTATTGTTGAGTTGTGTGTGTGTGGGTTAGCTTAAAAGGTAAACCCTTTTAGGCTTAGCCCCACGCACGTGGTGGCACGTGACTAGATTACATAATTGGCTATTCCCCATATTCCAACAATAATTAATTATTAATCGATTAATTATTAAGTTTTATTTTATTTTATTTAAATGTAAAAAGTTTATTTTAAAATAAATAAAAGATAAAAAATAGGTAAGTGTCAGATTAGTCAGCCATGTCAGGTGACCTGAAAAAAAATTTGTCACACAACTAATACGTACTGAATGGGCGATATATGAGGTCTAATTGATGATATTCCTGATGATCTGATCCATTGAGGTAAAATCGTGGGAACGCGTGTTACACCGCTATTTTACATGGGACTAGGGATTTTCAGGTCACCTGACATGGCTGACTAATCTGACATGTCGCATATAATAAGTAATGACATTTTATGATATTACAAGTTACCTTTTGGTCAAGTGGATAATCTGACAGTAAGCATATACTTAATCAATTCCTAATCGATTAGGAATTGATTAGATAAAGCGCGCTAAAAACCTAAGTGCTTAGCGCTATAATATAGGGAACTTAGTGGTTATAATGCGCTGTAATTACAGGGCATTTAGCCTTATTCTAATGATTAAAAACGCCAAAAACTCACCCCATAGTCGTACAAAGCTCACCCCAAAGCAGACCCCGTCAAATGCAACCAATCAGAATGTTGGATCCAAGGTCCCAGCTTTTGCCAAATCGGGTTAGACTTTGGGTTGATGGCCAAGGATAACTTCGGGATGAGCTGCGCCCTCGGCTTTCTTGAGTTACAGTTTTCCGGTTCCACGGATTTCGCTTATGCAGGTACGAGGCTTGTCAAGATACCCCAATCATCTATATCGATTGCTTGCGATCCTAGCTAGCTCTTCTTACACTTCACAGCTATCATGTGTGCTGTATTTCCGGAGCACACTACCATTCTCTAATTACGACAAGATGCTCTTGTGATGATATATTTTATATTTATCGTGAAAAAGAATTGGTAGGGCTGATAGGTACTTCTAGACTTTAAAGGCTAGTTAGATGCTTTAGGTTAGTCAGATTTCTATAATAAGCAATTTTGTAATGAATATTGCGTCACTTACATGGGCCAAGTGCCCATTATCGATAATACGTCATCGTCTTCCTCCTACAAACATGTATTGAAGAATAATAGAACTCTTAAGCCAAAACTTCTCCAAACAAAGGTATCAAACACAGAGGAGTCAATCATCCGAGAACCAGATATTAAAGAAATATAATGGCGGAAATCGCTGCTGGGATCTGGGCAGCAGAACAAGCCGTCTCTACGAGCATCTATGCTGGAGCGACTGGCTATGCCGTTGCAAAACCTACTATGCCTCTGAAGGCAACATTTTCACAGATTGCATCTACGTCAGATGATGCCTCGAGGTACGTGTACTTTCTATAATATTTAGCTTCTTGTCTTCATATTATACTAATTCACAGAAGGTCTTCACTCGCCAGATCTCATCATACACTCACCGTAGTTGGCGACAAAGCTTATATTTTCGGAGGCCAGACGAGCCAAAGAAAACTCGCCAGTAATAACATCCACTCTATAGCACTGCCAAAAGCCAGTTCTGCTGTACCTGAGTATCAGATACTACCGGCCATTTCTGCAGAGAAAGATGAGCCCGTCCCTAAGCCACGGACTAAGCATTCTGCTTGCGCATTGAATGACCGTGTCGCTATCTACGGGGGTTGCGATGAAGCTGGGAATGTCGTAGATGAAGGCCCTATAATCTGGTTATTCGATGTCGAGAAATTCACATGGAGTACTCTTAAACCTTCTAGCCATCCAGAGAGAACGCCACCTCCGAGGAGCAAAGCACATTTAGTCGCGCACGATGGTAATCTCATCCTCGTCGGTGGGATAAATTCAAGTAGTGAAGCGCTTACGGACGTTTGGCATTATAATTGCTTTACCCAAATTTGGAATCAGCTGCCGCATACCCCGGCCGTCGTCACGAGTGCAGCAATTTCCGGGCACACGTTATACGCAATCTCTAGCTCTGATACTCTTGGCAGTGAAGTGCATCATCTGGAAATCCTACCGTACACTGAACCGGCTTCGACCTGGCAGACCATCTCGTTTCCCACGAACCCTTTAACACCGGGACCTAGGCCAAGGTCTCATGGTGAGTTTATACCTATCACGACGGGGTACGGTCGAAATTATCTCCTCTATTTCTTTGGCGATAGTCAAGGAGAAGCAGAGAAAGGGGATCTACTGCAGTGGAGCGATCTGTGGACCTTTCAACTTCCATCTAGCGATTTAGAAGTCAAAGCGACTACGACAGTGAAGGAAGCGATCAAGCCGGCTAAGATCAAAGATCAGATACGCTCAAAACTCGGTGCCGATACGGGCGTGTCTAGCTGGGCTGAAGTTGAAGTACAGCCCCCCGGTGACCTTAAGGCACATGAGGGTAAGGTTCATCCCGGCCCGCGAAGTTCGTTCGGATATGATGTAACAACTGATGGACGGAGTGTCGTACTATGGGGAGGTTGTAATGCAACCGGAGGATCCGAGGGTGACGGATGGATTGTTGAATTCCTATAGAGCTGACGTTTCGTGGCACGACGGGTCTCTATTGTCAAGGATCTAATTAAGACAAGGAACGCTATATAGGGTACGAAGTTGTTGGATTGACTTTGTATTACGTAGTAAGATGAAAGGGAGTGCAAGTAACGATTGTGTTCTGATTGGTTTGATTAAGGTAGGAGAGGAGGGGTTCCCCCGAGTGGGGAAAGATATCTATTGTACAGATGCGTGGGCTGTGCGTGGACGGTGTGTGTGGGCAGAACCCTGGTCATGTGACCTCGTCACATGACCGTTATCCCAACAGAAGTAAAAAGGGAAATTTATTTATTCTATGAAACTCGCATTTCTGTTCTTTAAGAAAAGATAAAAACATTCAACAATAGACATGTTCGCCTTTATGAACATGCTTTGTTAACGCGGGGTAATAAAAGGCGCCTTTGGCTTAAGTAGTATATAAAGGGTTTGCCTAATAGGAGAGCGTTCATGTTAAACTTGAATCCGCAGCATAGAGAAATAATTTTGACGTTTTATACACTATTTCAATTTCCGTTCTATCTCAAACCGAATACATCCACAATATGGGAAGAGATCACAGCATTGCTTCGGTATACGATACCACTCCGTATCACGCCTACTGTCTATCTGAAGAAGGGGATGAAGATGACGATGTCTGCGTATGGGATGAAGGTCCAGAGCTTTTCGACCTGTACGATAGTGAAGATGAGCGAATAGTCGCTGAGATTCATAGTTCTATCCCCGAGCGTGATTGGATATTCCGCAGCAAAGCACGAAATGATGATACCCCAACAACGATACGGCCTGCAGGGGCAAATAAGAGAGACAGCACCATCACAATATTGGAAAACCCTTCCAAAGATCCAGAGAAGTTAACTGACGATGAGTTCCAAGAGCGACAGATCGCTTATGCACTGTCGACCGCCCGGAGGAACCTAACTAGAATGTCACAGTTCATGCTGAAGCTGGAGTGTCGCGCAGGGAAGATTACGAAGGAAGGAATCAAGCACACCCTTGATGCTACTGTCGCTGACAGTACTGACGCGGCTAATCAATATCTTACTTACCAGGATGAGCTTGAGGAAATCAAATACCTCAGCGATAACGTATGGCAGCGCTTATATCTCATCGACCGACACTGGCGACAGCAGAGCCGTAAGGACCGCGATGCCGAGGGTCGCAGTCCTCACATCGAGCTCGAGAGCGAACCGGCCGCGAGAGCATTCCTTAAAGAAGAACGGCAGACTAACCACCTCACGAGTAGGGATTCGTGTTACTATACAGCCGCGGACTTAGCGAGTGGGAGGAGGTTTGAAGACTGGATTACTTACTTGAAGGACTCTTGCGAGTTCAAGGACGGACCGGCCGAGGAGACTAAGCTTGTACATCTAGCCTGGCGGTTCTTGGACCGCGAGTTGCGCGGGCCGAGGCCGACTAATCCTGTGTGTATTGAGAATTTTCTGGCTGAGCTTAATGGCCAATATCAGAATGGTGCTTTTGGCGAGGCGATTAAGAACCCCGAGAAGCGGGAGAAAGATGACGATAAGGCATGGAGGGCTATTAAGAAGGTTTGGTTTTCAAGGTTTCAGCATTAGTTATAGAGCAATTAGAATTAATATATGGATTTATTACATCGATGACGCTATGTTCTCGTGTTAATTCAGGGGATGGAGCTGTGAGGTGTAAATGTAGATGTGTACCCAGCATCCCCCCTATTAAATAATACATGTAACCTAGTTTCTTATGAGCCTGTAGTTTGTAAAATTTCTACATTCGTGGGATTAATAATAAAAGGCTAGACCTATGTCCTAAATATCCATTTTAGACGTCGTTAGGAAGACGTGGTTAGCATTTCGAAGCGTAGGTAGATATAGGGGCGTACCTATGCCACCCTCAAGACCCTGATACTCCCAGCACGAAAGTTCTTCCCACACGGGTGTAAATTCGAGACTACGTTAAGTGTCATGTCATATTTCAGCCCTTGTGTCTATGTTTCGAAGCTACTTCGATTTACATTGCCTATTGTCTAGATACCTTTGTACTACACAGGCTGATAATCGAATGAAATAGTTGTTGGTTCCGTTATGCCTAGGTAGTTAGGTACTCAATACAATACAGTAATATCCTTTCAAGCTTTGCGGAAGATTTCTTTGTATCTGCTAATCATCTCAAAGGTATATTTATGAACCTCACCCAGGCTTTATCTTTTGGACAAGACATTATTAGTTTCATTGTGATGATGGTATCAATGACAATGCAAAGAATGGCTATGAAAATGTAACATAAGAGCTGTGTTAGGCCTACTTCCTAGTAACGAAATACAACAATTCTAGATTCTTGTTTTCACATAAGCTGCGTGGGCAATTGGATTTCTGTGGGAAACTAGCAGCTACGTTTACCCCTTTTTATTAAACCAGCCTCCAAGTTCCCTCGCTGCCATGTCGTACACTCAACGGACTCCTCTACTGGAGTCCTCAAAAAATATTAACTACGCCACCGTTAAACCTATGTTAGGTAGTAACATTCTTGTAAAGAAGCAGTTAGCTGAAATTTCGGGTAGTAAGGATTATGTTATTGATATCGAGAGAATAACTAAACTTCAAGAGGGGATTTCGCCTACCACGACGTGCTCTTACGGTAGCAGTTGCGGTGTATATTTCTGCGACTATTGTTCGCGGAACGGCTTGGAGCACTCCCAGGAAGGGTCGTTTCCGGAAAGGGATGAACGTAGCCTTTGGGTGAGATGCGTGGAAAGCGAGGGGTCGTTGGCGGTCCTTGAAACGATGATAACCTTTCAGATGCGCCTTCTTAGCGTGTTGGTACCAGCGCTCCTATTACTCGTTCTAAGGATATATATAGCAACATTGTTTTAAGATATATACATATCTAGGTTAGGTAGTTACCAAAGTAGGAATACTCGTCGTAATATACTTGTTTGCTTGTTCATAACCGGCGTACCTTCTCTCTTCGTGGTTTTCCAAGTGAATATCCTACATCGAATATACAACTCTACCTACCTTTACTTACCTCTCTCTACCTCTACCTGCCAACTACAATCTGATGATTCAACACCTTACAACACACCAAATACCTCATCTATATCAAAATGCAGCCTTCGAAACATAGTCTTGCTCCTACGGACTTGGGATAGCTTACAGCTTTTAAGCACCACCAGTCCATCCATCCTCAAATCATCTACTACTCTTATCGTCACATCTCTTTTCTCTATTATAGGTCTCATTCGTACTTAGTATCCTATAGGTAGTTACAGTATAGGCAGCTACTCTTCTAACGCCTTCTCGCTTGCCACCTTACGCACGACATCGAGCAGCTTCTTTACTTCTCGCTTACGGTAAGTAGTCCCGACAGGTAGTTTACTCTATCCTTCCCAATCCCCTCGTGATATCCTTACTACCACCCTCCTACCTACCTTGAACCAAGATGAGCAAGAACACCCCGGCGTGTGATGTTCCATACTACATAGTGCTGAAAAATACTAAGCTTATCAATCAACGCCCCTACTTGACATCTACCTTTTCATTCACTCCCGCCCCCGACGCCTTCGAACGGGAAGCCTATCTGTTTACCTCTATCTCCTTGAGCAGTTTTTATCCTTGTTAGTTCCTAACGATATCTTCTTACTTACACACCTCACTGTACAGCCCACGATCTCTTATCGTGCCGGCAATCACGCCTACTGGGCAATATGTCCAATATAGGCACCGACGACGGAATAAAGGCACAACTGCTGGTTGCTGCTACTGATGCAACAGCGCAGCATCTGGAACCAGATGTTTTCACATGGAACTCGTGCGGATACTATGACGACCAGAAGCGAATTAAGATCAAAGAGGAAGCACTTGAAGTCGGTCTCTTGCAATGTGGGAAGCTTATTCAAAAGCTCGAATCCTCTTCCCTCAACAGCACCCGTACAAGTGACTCATTAGTTTCAACTTCGTTGGGGTGGACAGATGTCGAAAAATGGATCCAGAAATGTAGTACGTATTTTATAGCTCTATGAGATGCTATACTAACAGCTATTACAGAAGCTCTTATCGCTACTCACAAGGAATTCAAAGTCCTTGTTGGCGTCGCAGGGCCAACCGGCAGCGGGAAGACGTCAGCTCTTAACGCCCTCCTTCGGCTAAGAGGGTTTTTGGCGACCAATAGCCAGGAGGCTGCCACGGCCGTGCCTTGCAAAGTATCCTACAACGACGACGATAGACCCTGGATGAAATACAAAGCTTGCGTCGTTTTTCGCACGAAGACGAACCTTGTTAAGCAGCTAAATGATTTCTTCCAAGATCTGAAGACTAGGGATGAGCTTCAAGCGGCATATACCGACAATATTGACTATGATGCTCTCGAAGATATTGGTGCCCGCCTAACACCTACCTTAGAGATGATTAGGGCAGTTTTTGGCCTTGAGGAGGAGAGCGTTGCAAAGATGACAACTCAGACGCTTCTTAATTCAAATCCGGGCGTCGTTAAGCTTCTTGGAGTAACGAAGAAGTTTCATGGCAACAACCTTGACCAGGTCTCAGAGCAGATTAAACCATACATAGATTCAACTACTGCAGATCACACAACGTCAAACTCAGAGTTTGCGGCTTGGCCCCTCATCGACGAGGTGGAGATATTCGTCAAATCTGATATCCTCCGAAACGGGGTCGTCTTGGTAGATTTGCCCGGGCTTTGTGACTGGGTGGAGAGCCGGGCTGCAGTAGCTAAGGGGTACTTTCATAAGCTCGCTGCTACCCTTATCGTGTCGCCTGCCGTTAGAGCAGCTGATAACTCTACTTCCATGAGGCTCCTGTCAGACCATAAAGGATTGTGCATGACGCTGGACGGGAAATTCAACAAACGCAGCTGCTGCGTTGCTATTTCGCAGATAGACGACATTGAGCGTGACTCTGCTTTAAGAAGTCAAGAGGCTAAGCTGGACACAGAATTGCAGCAGCTTCTTGAGAAGGAGAAGACTTTAAAACAGACGAAGAAGGACCAGGAAAGTCAACTGACGAGGGCGGAAAAAGAACTAAAGCGTACTAAAACTGCCTTGAATAAGGCGGCCAATAAGAGATCCAAGCCTTCCTACGGTATGAAAACACGACCCTTTCTAGTAGCATCTCACTGATAGCATATTATAGGGGTATCAAAGAAGAAATCTGAGGACCCACAACTCCAAACGAAGAAATTACGAGAAGAAAATAATATCATGAAACTTAAAGAAGGGCTCACTAAAATAGAGGGCGAGTTAGATGGGATCACCAATCATATAGTATTCCAATGTGTGAAGAATAGGAACAGATTCCTCGAGAACCGTATACAACGTGATTTCCAAAGAAGGAGATCATCTCTTATTCCCGGCGACGAAGAAAATAAGGATATACGCGATGATGTGGTTTCTGTCTGCCCATTCAGTTCTAAAGCATTTTGGGGCTATATTTCGGGCGAAAAGAGTGAGCTTGTGGCTGGATTTCCGGACGAGCGCTATTCAGGAATCCCTAACCTCTCCCAATGGATCCGCGAGGCCACCATCCCAGATCGCGAGTCTCACGCGCAGAGAATCCTACACGACCTTCATGGTCTCTACAATACGATTCGGACCTGGTCGGAGAATGAATGGAGTCACAGCAGATTGCAGATCGACAAGGAATGGGTGGTTCAGGAAGTACTCCCATCGCTTCATGGCGGTATAAAAAAGGTACCGAATAGCATCCCTTTTATTTCCAGGCGACTACCTGATATTCAGTACTGATATTGAATGATAACAGGAGCTGGGGACATATTGGACAGAGCTCAACGAGTCTGTCAAGAACTGCAATCCTCTAGAGAGAAAAAAGGTATCAATTGGAAAATGTGTAGAGGAATGCGACACAGTCGTAAAGAACTGGGTGTTCAAAGATCCCGCAAAGAAATCCAAGATACATTGGACGACATACCAAGCTAATATAGTCAGGAACGGTGGTGAGTTCTCAAGCAAGTCGGCCGGTGGTCTCATCAAATATCACTGGATGCAAGACGTGTAAGAGTCTATTCACTGTCTGCATAAGTTCTAAAGTTGCTAACTTCAAAACTAGTTCAGATGTCTTGCTGAGGACCATTGTAGCTGATTGGCATCGGGCCTTTCACGAAGAGATCCCTGAAGTTCGCCGTCTTGCTTGTGATTCTATCGACACTATATGGGATGCATTTTTAGAGCAATTGCAGGCTGGCATAAAGAGTGTCATACCTGAGCTTTCGCCACCCCTAGCGAAGATCATGCCTGATCTTCGCGTCATAAAGGAGCAAGTAAAAGAGCGGGTGAAGCAGGCTCTGGAGGACATTATAAAGAATGCGTCCAAAGTTCATCCAGAAATAGTCGATTCAATCCAGGGGAAATGGTCCCCCGTTTTTCAGGAAGCTGGACTGATTACAGGTAGGTCGAGGCTGAAGTTTACTTATCAGGCGTATCTAACTTATACGGCTAGGGGATGGCTCTTTTTTGAAGCGACGGGAGCATCTAGCTAAATTCCCAAGGAACAACGGCACCCGGATGTTCAATGCTGCCTTCGACAACACGAAAAATAAGCTAAAGGAACATTTCGACCAGTTTCCTGCCAGCCTCGCCAATATATCCAAGTTCGCTATTGAGGAGGTCGAAGATCAGATCAAGACAGCCCTGAATAGCGCCATGCTGCCTAATAATAAAATAGAGGAGGCACTTAAAGAGAAGCTTGAGTTACAGAAGGATGTCCGAAGTGTTCTGATCGAATGGGATTTCAAATGGAAAGCGAAGGGGACTATTCGTAGTCACCATACGGAAGGCAAAGATACTTCTATTCCTGATACATACTGCCCTACCAGGGTCGAAGAGGACTCGGAAGATGAAGAAGACGAGGACAAGATGGAAATAGATGATGAGGGGCCTGAGGATAAGGACGCCGATGAGCTCGCTGGCAAATCCTAGCCTCCCTACCATTCGCCATAACAACATCCCCCCAAAATTCGACGATGATTAATTTATTAGGTCCTACTAACACGCTAATCTTGACCTGGCTCGACACTGCGTTGCTTTGAAATACTCGATAGGAGGATCAACATCTACGGACATCTGGCACACCGGGCCCCCTATATTTGCGATGATTTCCCTACATTCGATATGAACCACCGGTATTCAATGCTTGCTCTACAGTGCTCATGAAGTTTCGCGGATGATATAATGCGATGGATTCCTCTTCCAATAGCGCGCATGTTTTTACATAAAGTAAATAATAAATAAATTGCGTGGATTCTGATTTTAGCCGGATCCCTCGTAAATATCTCGTACACCATGGCGGCTTCGAAGCACGTAGTCTTCTCAGTTAACTTTAATATTATTGTAGTCATTTAGTGTGTAATACTATCATCTAACAACTCGGTAGTCGAATAGGGGCTCACTGAATAAAATAACTTTAACGCAAGTTAATATCATAAGAAGCCCTTTCTTTAAGGAGACGATAAAATGGAATATTAAAAAAGGATTCTAATGCTACATGTTATAATCTTATAAATTCAAATAAATCATATTTTCTGGAAATCAGATGACATCGCCCACCTTACGTATGTATCTACCACGTAGATTCTTAGCAAAACCCAACCTCACGAGAACCCACATCCAACCACCTACCTAGTTCCACGAGGTATATTCCTGCCTCTCCACAGGCCGGACCACCTTATACTCCGGAGGGTTAAGTTTATAGATAATCTCATGGGCTATGTTTCTCAAAAACGCCGGGCTGGCGTTACCGCAGCTTTCATGAAGCCGTACGATGCCATCGTCGAGCTGCTGACGCAATGATGGGAAATAAGCGAGGGCGGCCACTAGGAGTATGGTGTGAACCCACACGCCCTTTCCGCTCCAGAGCTTGATGTCCTCCCTCGTGTATCGCGGCTTCATGGGCTGGCAGTACCGCCACCCTGCGTATAGCCACGAGAACCATATCATTACCCACGCGAACGCGGCTATCCAACTGGAGCTAGCAGCGACAGACGCGGCCAGGAGGAACAGCGAAACGGCGAAGGTGGTCAGGTAGCACGACAGCGTGACGATGTTATCGTAGTGGTGAGGGTCCACGAGCCTGCATAGCGTTACGCTCCAGGGCTCGGGGTTGCGACGGGTTTCGGTGCCGGTAAGGGAGCGGAAGAGGGTAATGAAGACGGACTGCCGAATTATGCAAAACACGAAGCTGGCGAACACGCAAATGCTGACGTAGAACAGGGTGTGGAAGACCAAGGAGAGGAGCGAGGCGTGGGGTTCAGGCAGCTCGAGTAGACGTAGTATTGCGATGACGTCGGCTACAGCATCATCGATGAGACTTCGGGGGTCGGGAGAGGGGCCCCCGCCGTATGGCCAGTCTGCAACCATTGGAGATATTATTTTGGGGTTAGGGGGTGATGGGTTAGTGGATGGGTAAATAGTGAAGCTTGTAGAATAGAAATCCTGTTGGTTTTAGAAGACTTAGTTCGCACGTCGAGTAACTGTCTCGTTGGTTATCAGCGGAGAGGACCCCGGGTCTAGATATAGGCAAGTGATGAAATGACGGTCTTTGGCGCCGAGATAAAGTTATTTGCAATAGCTTTGTATCTCGAACTATGCCTTTTTCTATCTCTTGTCTGGACGGAACAATCTGTATTGTTAGGTACATAAAGAGATCATCTCAATGAGCATGCTGGGTGAGATGGAATCCTTTGAATATAAGGGGCTTCTATGATACAATCCTCGAACAATAGACATTCAAAGCACGCTGGCCGTTATCCTAGCCCGACCGCTAACTCTCAGCTTCAGCAAAACACCGCTACGATCCAAAGAAAAGACCACCCCCGTCTATGATGCCCGGTGTCTGAGACCAGCGTGAAGCATCTCCATCATCAGCGTAAAGCCGGGATTATACACCCAATCCAGCCACCCGAGGCTGATCAGCCCATAATCTATCAATCTGCGCAGCTCAGGGCACCCCAACGCCACCCCGAGAAGCACAAGAAAGGCAATGGGAAGATACCCTTGGTAGACGACACTGATGCAGACTACCCCGTACCAGACGTAGAAGAACCAGAAGACGGTGGTGGGGTTTGGATAGTTGCTCATGGTCTCGGGATCGATGGTGTCAAATCCTGCCGTTACCGCCCTCATGCCCAGTAACCCGAACACTAGCATCCAGACATTAATCCCCCAGCGCGCGGTGCGGAAGAGCAGCTGTGGGTATCGTGCTAGCCATAAGGCGAAGACCGTCCACCAGGTGACTATGGAAGAGATAGTCAGTAGTTTACTCCTATGGGTAGTTAAGGGAAAATGAAGCAATATAAGCAACATAAGGTATTCAGCTCTGTCTGGATTATAACAGACGATAGCCTAACCTTTAGGCTAGAATATATACCACCTCCAGAGAATAACTGGGTAGGTAGCTCGAGATGATACGAAGAGGTAAGGAACTCTTGATGGTACATACTGGCAGCGGAAAGCAAGATGAAGTACAACATTTAGACTAATTTCATTTCTTCCACCCGGGGTATAGCTATTAGATTGGATATGCACACGAATTACTATAACTACCTCCTAGGTATGGAATCTTGAGATGCTTCTAAAACAACGTAAATATATCAAATGGCTCATCCAGACAACGGGGGCTGGCCTCTAGCTGGGGTTAAGGTATAACAATAGAAACCCCATAAACTATCCCCTTGTGTGTTTTCCCGACCCAAGCCGAAAGCAGTCTCGAGGATGAATGACAAAAGACCTCAATGCGTACTCTTCTCTTTTTTCTATTCTCATCTACCTTTATTGTACTTGATCGTTCACATAGTCTTTGTCAAATCGCGTACCTCGAAGTAGTCCACAGCCCATAAGCGGAGACAAAGAACGGACCAAGACAATCATCGTAGTATGCACATGTCGACTTGCTTGTATGCACAGTATGTCCAATTGCCATTGTCGTCGCATAGACATACACCAAAATTCGGCTTATTCCCTAACGAACAAGCCAGCCATACCCATCCCGGTACCCACACACATACTCACCACACCAACCTGTCCTCCGGTCCGTCCTAGGCCATGCAATAACGTAGCCGTCATCCTCGCCCCCGTAGCACCGAGCGGATGACCTAGAGCAATGGCGCCTCCGTCAGGGTTAACCTTGCCCTGTGCCCAAGCCTCCTGCAAACCAAGCTCTCTTAAGCAGTAGACGGACTGGCTGGCAAAAGCTTCGTTGATCTCCCAACGATCCACCTCCTCCGACTTGATATCGAGCTGGCCTAGAAGCTTGGGGATGGCCAGCGCGGGGCCGATGCCCATTTCATCCGGGGCACAACCGACCGTAGTGGCAGCTACGAACTTCCCCATGATACTCGACGCCAGCCCGAGCTCTGTCGCGGTGCTCCGCCTCATTAGGAGCGAGGCAGCGGCGCCATCGCTGACTTGGCTCGAATTGCCCGCCGTGCTTGTGCCGGATTCGCCAAGAACAGGCTTGAGCTTAGCGAGGCCCTCGAGCGTCACCCCCGGCCTTATGCCATCATCCTTTGCTACGGTGATCTGTTTCGGCTCTCCAATTTCTTTCCCTTGCTTGTCAATCTCCTGGAACACGGTAGGAACAGGCACGATCTCTTGGTCGAATAAGCCCTCGGCCTGAGCCTTCGCCGCGCGCCGCTGGGACTCAAAGGCAAACTCGTCTTGCTCCTCGCGCGAAACCTTGTACCTCTTGGCAACGTTCTCACTGGTAGCAAGCATAGGCATAATGCAATCGCGCGCATCTTTAACAGGGCTCTCGGCTAACACAGGCCACCTATCTACAGGTATGGCCTTGCTGGCGTAATTCCTCGTCATGCTCTCCATACCCGCGGCGATGCCTACACCAATCATGTCGACACGGATCTGAGCGGCGATAGTAGCCAGACCTTGCAGACTGCTGCTGCATGCGCGGTTGACAGTATACAGGGATGTGGTATTAGGGAATCCGACATGATTCATAGCCATGCGAGAAGCCTTGCTGCCGCCGAGTTCGGAGAGGACGACGCCGACGGCGACATCTTCTATCTTATTTGGCGGGAGGTTCGGGTTGGCGTCAAGCGTGGCGCGTAGTACGACGGAGAGCAGCTCTTCAGGGTAGGCATTCTTTAGTTGGCCGCGACCCGAGCGACAAATAGGAGTGCGTAGGGATGAGAGGATGACGGTGTCGGAAGGTGATTTAGCTAATATAGTAGAAAGTCCTCTAGGGAGTGTCATGTTTACTATAGAGACAGTTTTGGTGAACGAGGAAACAAGATAGACCGGTGATATAAAGATGGCGAGATCCAATGTCAAGCTTGCTATATACAATATATATATACCTATATATATACAATGGATATAAAAGAGGTAAATAGGTAGTCTAGGTAATCTAGTAGGAGAAATTACATATACAGAGAATTAAGAAGGAAGGAAATCCAACCAGACGATAGGAAATAGAATCGTAAAAGACAGCACAGGACCGTCGATTATCCAAGAAGCAATAATCAAACTGCCGGTCGCCGGTTCCGCAGGTGGGGTCTAATACCTCTTAGCCAGGGCTGCCAGGTACAATACCTAGGTAGACAGTATGAACTAGAGCTTGTTAACGTCAATGGCTTACACATTTACATGATGCCGGGGTTGGGGGTACATGAACACTTTCTATAGCTTCACCTGCATATAGACACTCGACACAAATAAATTATAGGTAAACAACTTACATCGTTCCATGCAAGCGTTTTGATTCTGTACCTAATTTAACATATTTATTGGTGTGACATGACTAATAAACATCCGTCGTCGTAAACCCATCATGTCAAATTGCCCAGTGCTTATTGCCTATTGCCCATTGCATAAGGCGCCGTAGTAAACAGTACAAGAATCCCCATTGCGACGATTCGAGACTCTGCCGTATAAGTGCGCTCGGAGCCCATAATCAAACAGACCCAAGCGCCGCCACAACAAGCCCGGGTATAATACAGACCTCATTCATTCTTGTCATCATCAGAGCCCAAAGCATGAACGATAATCCCAATCCAGCCTTGCCGTTGCCCAACCACAAGCAACCATCACCCTTCTCATCCACCAAAACCTTCCCAGCAACCTCCCCAAAATGCCATCGAACAAAAAACTTTTTAGGTTGTTTGGCCGTAGCGAATCCCTAGCCCAACACGGCTATTGGCCTCCGTGTTCCCCCCGTATCTCATCTTCTTAGGACTCACGACGTTTTCTCGGTGGCCCTCGTTACCTTCCGTGCTGGCGCTAAACTTTCGCTTCTCTGCCGCGAGCCCAGCCTTATTCAGACCCGCGAACAACTTGGATTGTAATTTAGCAGATTTCTCCGCCGGTGCCGGCGTACCATCGCGCGATCCAACCGAACTAGCCACCTCAAAACTCTCCCGCGGGTCACGGCGTAGCATTTCGGATGCTGCTTGGCTAGCTTGGCTCTCAAACACCTCTTCCTCCTCTCTCCGCCGGGACGCTCGCGAACCTTGTGACATATAAGACTGAGTAGCTGCTGCTACCGATTCTAGGGCTGCGCGGGCGAGCTCCTCATTGTCGTCGGCGGATATAGTACTTTCTCGGCTTTGACGCCCTCTTTTCTGAACCGGTGTCTCTAAACCATACCGACCGTTGCCGTACCGGTTTGGGGGTTCGGTTTGCGGTACTAGATCAACAGAAGGTAGTAAACCTGAGTACTCTCCGCGGGGACGTGCAATTGGCGTGGTAGGGAGAGACGATAGCGACTGGACTCCGCGAGTGTGCCTTGGAGGCACTCGTAGTGTAGGGCGACCGGTTGCTGTTGGGGTAGATGGTGCACTGTTATCATGACTTAAAGCCTGGAGAAGAGCAGCAAACCCAGCCTGGTTTGTATCATTATCGTGGCGGGCATCTCGATGGATGGTTTTGGGCGTCTGTCGTGGTGTGGCCCGATATTGTTGAGGTGAAGCAGCTGCGGGAGTCTTTGGCGTTAAGGCGCCGTGAAATACTCCACCGGGACTGCAGAGCATATGAAAATGTTCCCTATTTTCACGAATGCGATTGAGAAGCATGTCCCGCTCGTCAATCAAGCTGTCGCGTTCTTCGCTCTGCTGTTGAATAATCTTAGTAGCAGATTTGATGCGTTTTTGAAGAGCTTCGTTCTCCTTTACAGCAATTTCATACTGGGCTTGAAGTTCTCGATATTTGACTTGAGTTGAATCGGTAACCGCGTCCAGCTCTCGCCGAGCCTGTCGGGAATTCTCAGTCAGGCGTAGTACCTCGACTTCCCGTCTCGTCATGTCATGTTCTACTGCCGCTCTCTTTGCATCCTCGTCAGCCTGCATGCTAAGCAGGTTATATTGTAGTTTGTGATGGGCTGTCTCCATCTTCAACCTCGCGTTTTCAGCAAGACATGTCTGAACCAAAGCACGGAGCTCGTCGGCCGAGACGTCTGTGATTTGATCCGAATTTGGAACAACATAGCCCGATGCAGAACTCCCATCTCGTGCAAGTGTCCGGAGTACCGTCGCAGGAGGAGAGAACATGTTAGCTCTTTGTGAGCTGACATAACCCAAAGGCATGTTGGAAGCCCCGTTCGTCGTAGGAACCTGAGACGAGGGAGGTGGGGTCAAGGATGAGGGAATAATCTGGGAAGATGGGTTACGGTCATCCATTACCTCCGTCTTAAACGAAGCAGATGGATCAAGAGGCGAGTTTGGACCTTCAGTAGAAGGAATTGACTGTTGTGATGAAGAGTGGATGATACCCGTAGCATCAGGAGGAGTGGAAGGAATGTGGACAAAGTCGCTCTCTACGACGCCGTTCGGGAGCAAGTCGTTCGTTTGAGTATCAGCCGACATGATTGTATTCGATACTAGAGTATTGTAGAAGATTGACGAGGACAATAGAGCGATTGAATCCTTCTATTAGATGGAGTCGGTGTGAAACTAAGTTGGACACGAAGTAGTAGAGGCGTCTAAGTTAAAAGGTGGTGGTGGTGGTGGTAAGAGAGAGGGGGCGGTCTAGTTCGGAAAACGCAACATGCTCTTTTGAACCGAATCAAAAGAGTTCGCGGACGGTCAGATAAGGAAGGGGAGGAAAGTAGTAAGATAATGTTACTGCCACATCTGCCACATCAGAGTTGGTGGATGTTGGTGGATTGAAGATTGAAGAATGAAGCAAATGAATGAGGATGTTTTACGTGGAAGTGGAGAAGTATTGATGCGGGCTGAAGTGGATGGGAAAACTTCGTTTACTACATAACTGGAACTTCAATACTAGCAGTCCTGCATAGAAATCCTGAAGGCTGGCAGGGCCCACCCTCACTGAAAGTAAAGGCTGAAAGCGCTATGCGCTAAATGGATGCTACCTGACCCTTGTTCTAACCCGTGCTTCTTTCTCTGTTGTGCAAGTACCAAGATGGTCAAAGCACTAATAGCTCCCACATACATATACGCTAGAGCTTCTCTTAACCTTAATTGTGAGGCAAGTGCAACACATTCCCAAGAATTAAGTAGACTTCAATATTGTATATATGTAGGTACCTAGGTACCTACATATAGCTCGACTCTATTTGGCTCTACTCTCTGATTTTATATAGGTAAGGGTATAATACACACTAACGCTATTTATTCATACATTATTACTACTTATAATACGTACGGACGGAATTGGATCCTTTTCGTCACCTTTTATCACCTTTTATCACCTTTCCTCCCTTTTTTGAAAAGACCAACTTCCCAGTCTTAACACATACAATTCAACCCAACTCCCCTAGGACCTCACACGAGCCCAAATTGGTATCTCTATCGCTACACGAGAATGTCCACAAATGAACCCATAAGACGCCCACTCCAAAAATCCGCGCAGGTTTATATAATGGCACCAATGCATTAGTTATTAGTCAACATCGTTCAAAGCATCGTCTTCGCCTTCACCGGATTTCGCTCTCCACTCGGCCATCTCGGCCACGGGAACACGACCCCTGAGCCACCGGAGCGTTGCATCAGTTCCACGATCAAGAACATTCCACCGCGGGACTCTGAAGCGGTTTCCTGTCACATCTAGCCTCTCTAACCCTCCAGTGCCTCCTAACAGTCCAATGCGTGGATTCAGATGCGCAATTTCGTTATTGCTAGCATCGACCACTTTCATTCCCTTGATTGCCTCAGGATCAAGGTCTTCTAGGCGGTTATTGGATATGTGAAGGATAGTAAGGCTCGGGAAGAACTCCCGCAGAACCGAGAGTTTTACTATTCTATTGAACGAGACATCTGCTTTTTGCAGGTTTGGCGCACAAAGGTTTGTAGTAAGTGGCGTAAGGCTAGTGATAAAATTCGAAGCCAAAGAGAGCTCCCGAAGAGCAGTAAGGTCGATTGGTTCCGTCAACCAGCTCTCACCCGTGAGCTGGTTATCCGCTAACGAAAGAGACGTAATTGTGTCGGTAAAAAACGACAACGAATTGGGGAACTGAGTAAAGGTATTGTGCTGGAGTCGCACATCGCGTATGGTATGAACTACAGCGATCTTAGAGCAGACGACCGGGTGCAATGAAGATGATTGTGTGTTTGACCGATCAAGAATACCCCCAGGTTTGATGGGCCAGGTCTGGCTGCTCAAAGTATGAGACCGTGAGCGAGTTGGAGATTGAGGTGCTGAGGTTGGTGGAGTGGCAAAGTCATCTGGGTCTGACCGACCCTCCTCCTCGTTATCGCCATTAGCCAAAGCATCCGATTTTGCATCATTAGTATGAGGTGGGACAAGTGAGAATCCATTTCCGAATTGTTCGATCCCACCTATTTCAGCCTGAGGCAAAGGCTCCAACCTCGCCGCCAGTGTATCTTTCAATTCTTCGGTTGTTAGCGATGTGAACTTCTTGTCCTTGAGAGGGTTTCCGGTAATTCGCAACATGACGAGACTCCCCATTCGAGCCACTTCGGAAGGTATAACCCTAATATCATTGCTAGTAAAATCAACATGGCGTACATTCTCAAGACTCGTAAGACCCTTCGGGAAAGTTGTAATACTGTTCTCATCCGCATTGAGCGTGAGAAGACTAGTCCACGAGCTCATGTCGGGAAGCGATGAGATGCGATTTATAGACACCGTAAATTGATGCAGAGACGGCAAATTCAGAGGCTGGTCGTCATGTGTTATCTTTTTTATTTGATTAGCTGTCACGTCGAGGATTTGAAGTTGCGGAAAGCCCTCTACCCCGGGGCCGATGAGTGTCCCGGAGAGTTTGTTCTTGCGAACAAGCAGCTCAGTGAGGGGAAGCTTTGAGAGGCTTTCAAACGGCAAAGCTTCAAAGGCATTCTCGTTTAGATTTAGCATACGAAGGCGCACCATCTTGTCGACACCATTCGGGAGAGAAGAAATATTATTTCCGTGAAGATCAAGAATTTCAAGGTTCTGCAAATTGGCCAAATAGTCACCTTCCATGCGACCGTACAAAAGGTTATTGCCGAGCTTGAGGTCTCGAACGTTAGTTAGCTGTGAGATTATTTCGAGGCAATTGTTGGTGAGCTTATTGGATGCCTACAAAATAGTGAGCATTAGTTAGTTGCGTTTATAGGATTCGGAGAAAGGGGGAACCGACCAGGTTCAAAGACGTTAGCAACTGAAGACGTCTTAGGCCCATAGGCAAAGCTATCAACATATTTCCATGTAAATCCAGTGACTCTAACCCTCCAAATAAATGTCCT